CCTTTGGTAGTCAGCAGAGAAACATGAGAGATGCAAGTTCATGTTGAAATCCAATTAGACTTGTAGGATAGAGGGGAGCCGTTTGTGAAGGATGGCAGAATGCCACTCAAATATCGTGGCCATGGTGTTAGGATAGTAGAGCTCCAATATTTGCTTACCCAAGTCATGGCCTTTCTTTGAAAACAAATTTATGCAGAACTGCTTTGTGTTCAGTTTGTTGTCCTTCCCCCGTACCTCCGATTAGCACGGTTGGTTACGTACGGCGTGAAATAAGTTCAACATCGATAGTGTAGCTGGAGTGTGGTTCCAGTGTACTACGGCCCATGCTCATGTTAGATTTAATGGGATATTTTTTTTGCCAGTATCTACGTATGAAAAATAAGAATAGGTTTTACCATTTCTGGCAATAAAACAGGTGTTAAGATGTCCAAACACCAAATGGGTACCTTTTTCAAGGAATCAAGTCTGCATTAATCAAATGTACTTGTGGGAAAACATGCTCTGATAATTAATATATGCATTATCTTCCAAACGGATTGGCCTACTGTAGGCCAATCACAAAGGGTAAAAGCTATTCTTATGTCTGATACTACTCATGTTAGTTTATCGCTGGTCCGCCTGCAACATCGGGCACGACGCAATGCTGGGGCTTAGTTTGCGGGGAGGGAATGGGGGGGGGAGCTTCGTCCAAATTGGACACGTTTATTAATTTATTTTCAATATCTTTGGGTCTTTCGGTAAAGTCACGTAGATAGGTTCAAGTGAAAAAAAACCCCACGACGTTCGTCATCTGGCCACATGGCCAACCAGCTCTGAACCAATTCCTCCACCAAATTCACTATGGAGGTGGAAAATGATGGAAAGTTACCATTCTAAGGATCTTATAATCGAAAAGAGACAAGATGGCTCAATGGGACACTGTCTAGAAGAAAGCAACTCATACGGATACCTACCTAAAACCGGACTCCCACCACCATCCATCCCAGAAGAAATCCCTCATCAAAACTCTACACCATAGAGCTCGCTGTATCTCTGACCATCATCACCTTAGGCAGTTAACTGAAACACGTGGACCAAGTTCTCAAGATGGATGGATATTCAGAGCACACAATCCATAAAGCTATCACCCCAACCGTTGGGAAAGAACCATCTGAGGACCCAATAAAAACCATCACCTTGCAATACATAGCAGGGGTCACCAAAAATATTTCCAAAATCTTGAGCAAACACAAGATCCAGGCTCGATTTAACACAGTACATAAAATTAGTGATCTGATCCCATCTGTGAAGGATAGGATCCCTGATAAGCAATACCCTGGCGTCTACAAACTAAGTTGTCTGCGGCAGTAGTTACATTGGGTAAACTAAGCGACATGTCTCGGACCGTGTTCGTGAGCATAAGGCAGATCTGAAACACGGTAAGACCAATACCTTGGTCGTCGCTGATCATTGTTTTAATGCGGTTGGCTCACACGAAATTGATTTCTCTAAGACGAAGGTACTTTGTAAGCCCACTGGCTACCAACAAAGATTCGTTCATGAAGCCATCCACATATATAGACACAGACACAATTTCAACCGAGAGGATGGGTACAAACTCAGCAATAATTGGAAGGACGTCATCAACAAGTTTAAGTCATAACTGGCTGTGATGTTCCCATCCTGCCACCTTTTCCCCGTGGCTTCGGCTCTCTTATTTTACATTAACAGGTTTACATTTCTCACACCAACGCAGCCACCGCCGTGTGCCGACCTCGACGTGGCGGCGGCTCTGCGATCTTACATTAACATGCTAATCTCTCACTTGATTTGAAGCTTTCGTGACTGCAGGAATTACTCTTTGGTTCTTTCAGTAAAGTCACGTAGAAATGAAATAAATTAAATAATAGAATACGACGTTTCGATTGCAACATAAGCAATCGTCATCAGGTAAGAATGAATGAGAAAACAAACCTAGTAAACTAAGAAATATAATGCAATACAACACAGAGAGTCGGCTAACACAAGTTAACACCCTACCTGGTTGATTACGTTCTTTCAAAGATCGCTAAATTTGAGAGAGAGACAAAACATAGACACGGAGACACATAGACAGACACACAAGCAGAAATAGACACAGACAGAGAGACACACAGAGAAACAACGCCTCTGTGTCGAGGCCTTAAATAAAGAGTAGGGGGAAGGCAGAGAGAGGAGGGGTAGAGAAATTAGCATGTCAATGAGAGAGTTGTGTGGAAGTCCTCCCCGTAGCGGCCGGAGGAGAGAGAATGGACCTATAGACAAGCAAGCCTGGCAAAATTTAAAGAGAGAAATAGGAAGTTTGAGAAAACAAACTTAGTCAAATTTGTAAATGTATTCTTGGTTCTTTAGGTAAAGTCACGTAAAAGGGAAATAATAAAATAAAACATAATAAAAATTCTCACGTTTCGGCCACAACGCAAGCAGCCGTCCTCAGGTGAAGAACAGCTGTCAGAAAGACAGCGTCCTAATTAGCTTGCGTTGTGGCCGAAACGTCGTGAAAATTTGTATTATTTCCCTTCTACGTGACTTTACCGAAAGACCCAAAGAACATGAATTCCCGCAGTCACGGAAGCTTTAAGTCAAGATTAATTTTCAATAGTTTAGAATGAATTAGGACGCTGTCTTTCCAACAGCTGTTCTTCACCTGAAGACGGCTGCTTGAGTTGTGGCCGAAACGTCATGAGAATTTGTATTGTTTATTATTATTTTATTATTTCCCTTCTACGTAACTTTACCGAAAGAACCAAGAATATGAATCCCTGCAGTCACGAAAGCTTTAAATCGAAAAATTACCCTTTGGTTCTTTCGGTAAATTAAATAATATAATACACATTAACATCACTAGCCCCGCCCACTTCGTTCATGACCCTTGGGCTACACCCAATTTTAAACCTTTAAAACAGTTTGCCTCAGCAGCTTTCCCCCTCTTTTTTCCTCCTGATGACGATCGCTTGTGTTGTGATCTTAACGTCATGGTTTTTGTTAATTTTATTTTTTATTAATTTGAACCTATCTCCGTGACTTTACCGAAAGACCCAAAGAATATGAATTCCCGCTTTAAGTCAAGATTCATTTTCAATAGTTTAGAATTAACATGAAAATGTAATTAATTACATTCACCTGCGATTCCTAATGTGACGGACAACGCGAACCCCTGTACCCCTCCCCCCCGGAATATAGAAGTCAAACTCGACCGATGCTGTCTGCGGCTTGCTATCTAGAGGGTTGCAGGTTCACATTCTGGATGGTGACCAACTCAATATCCCTCACGGATTGATATAAAAAAAAAAACGAGTATCAATCTTTTTTTGGGGAAGTCAACAATGGTTGTCCTGTGGGTAAACTCACCTGCACCATACACACGTATGTGGAATTTCCACCACTCGCTCGAGCCTGAACGCGGATGAGAACTGCCCTCAAATGCTCATTTGAGCAGGAAATTGCCGATTTCACTTTGCAATTGTGGTGCCATTCATTGATTTACATGAATTCAAGTTGGTATTCTTTGTCCACAACTGTATCTTTAAAAAACACTATTCTTTACCTGGGATTGTGCATTTTAAATTATGGGAAAGCAATGTAATCCAACGCAAATAAAGTCAATATTACAATGATGGCTCTTGTGTTGGTGTTTTTCCTGTATCTAACATCCACATGTGTGTCATCCACGACTCTGAGCTGGGCCAAGGCATCCACAAGCAGGGCACCAGGTAGCCGTACAGCAAGTAGGTGGCTGTGGCATTTATCGTGTTAGCCCCTCATACGCAAGGGGTTTCTCCAGGCACTAGGGGGTTCCCTTCTACATTGCAGAGACACTGCAATGATTGGAGGGCCGAACATCGGAAGCAGGAGCCTCCTCCTCGTCGTTACGTCGCGAGACTGAGCTCTGCTGGGGCCGACGGACAGCAGCGTGGCTGCCACAAGGGCTGCGCAGGCCGCATTGCGACATCACGGTCAACCAATTGGCAACAATTGGTCAACGCGGGTAACAGTCATAAAATAACCCCATGAGATCTCATGGGTGGCCCGTTAAATACAAACATTGGTGCAATTTAAGTGCATGAGGCGAAGCTCAGCGTTGGCAAATGACATGTTGCAGGTGTGCATGAACATGAGGCACAACACAATGCAGGGGCTTTACTTTGGCTCAAGTCCCATGCCTAGGCAGGGATTGAGCACTCCCCTCTCATCTCCTGGCGAGGCAGGCAGATGAGTTAAATGTGCCATCTCTGCCCGGACTCAACTGCTCCACTGGGACTCGATTTGCCATTGCCGTTTTCTCTGGTAGGATATGGAGGCAAAACTCAGGAATTTGTGAGTTAGATTACTTCGCTGCGAGACTAGCCTGCAGGGAAGACGGATCGTGTGACAGGCACACGAGGTGCCGTGCGCCCTTTGGGGATGGCATTGTAGACAGGGGACTGGTGTGGGCTGCTTTGGGGCGTAACATTACAATTCCCAACATTGCCTGGCACGACTCGGTGTTGCAGTGGCCCGGCGCATCAATTTCCAGAGGCGACGAGGGTAAACACCGCAGTGCGACCCATCCGGCATGGAGAGCAGCATAGCTGCATGCGCAGGTTGCGACGACGTCCAGATGGGGTGAACAGTGAAGAACACACTCATGTTGACAGATATAACCTTGCATATATATATAAACAAAAAATAGTCCATACCCATTATGTACAATTCCTCACCAAACTTGAATAAAGTGGTTCTCCCAGGAGTCATTAAACTCCAACGACCATAATTTTACCAATTTAAATCCCATACACAGTGTGCATTGTACTGCATCATTACGCACACACACAAGAGGCAAACAGGGCAAGGTGATCAGCGCACCTGGTAGCATTTATGACCTCTACAAATTGCATAATGCAGCTGTGGGTAAATTAGGATTTAAACCACAACTCCTTCACGGAGGCATCTGCTGTTGAGAATGATGTCACTTCATCTCTGATTTGTTGCAGGTCGCGATCAATAATGTTAGAATTTAATTTGCAAGATAATAAACACGTACGATGTTCACCGATAGAAAAATAAATTTACAGACAATCCCAAAAACAGTCAAAAACATGGATAGCCGTGTAGTCCAATGATTGATATCTGACCACCGCTAATGCATTAACAGAACAATGCTGCGTTCGGTAAAACACTAAACAAAAGCACTACACTCGATGAAGTCACCGACAAATTCAAAATGCCAAACAAAAATGTAAGCCATAAACTAAACAAACCCAGGCTTCTTTTGACGTACTGAATGCAGCTATTACCAGAATGAATAAGTCTTTTTAAAAGAATGGGGAAGGCCATCGGCTGGGGCGCAGGAGGGGAGAAAGGACAAGGGCCGGCAGCTGAGAAATCGGCGCCTCCGTCACTTGCACAGGTTCTCCAGGTGATCCAACAGCCGCTTCACATCTTTGATCTGCTTGGCGAGGCCGTGCACGGGCTGCATGCCCTTGTCCAGCTCCTCGGTGCGCGCCATCAGTGTGTACATGGCCTGAAACGACAACAATGTGCCCACCGCACAAAGACAAAGATTACCCCCGTGTAGCCTTAACAGACTGTTGGGGCAAGTGCTGTTAGCGAGCACTTATGAAAGCCGGCACGAAACACGATGGGAGTGGGTGGCCAATATCACGCCCGGCCGCCTTTGTCTCCCTAGTGACTATGTTTACACACTGCACCAGGTACTCATTTGAGTACCTGGTGCAGTGTGATTTTTTGGTTAGATAGTGTAAATATATAAATGTGTCGTTAAAACCCGCCACCACCCGACACAGCCAACTAGTAAGGGTTGTCACGTAAACAGCACATGCCAATTCGTCACGAGTAGAGCACACCGGTGTGTTGGAGAGCCAGGCCACAACATTTACAATCTGAGTACAACGTTTTGCCATTAATTACAACTAGCTTCATCAGGCGACAGCCAGATTTGTGGAGAAGTCTGTTTCGTTCCTTATATAGAGGCGTAGATGTGGTAACCACACTTCTGCGCTCTTGCACAAAGTGGGGGGGGGGGGGGGGGAGTTAATGAGTCAACGCACATTATGCATGTGCATTATGCGAGCCCTTTGGTCTTGTTCTTCCTGTCTATTGCGTGTATTAAAATAGAAGTACCAACAGTAATCTCTTGGTACAATCTGAGGTAATCTTTCTGATTGTAACTGTTGTGGCTTGGCTCTCCAACACACCGGTGTGCTGTACTAGTGACGAATTGGCATGTTCTGTTTACGTGACAACCCTTACTAGTTGGCTGTGTCGGGTGGTGGCGGGTTTTAACGACAAATTTATACATTTACGCGATCTAATCCAAAAAACCTCTATTATGGATATTGGTCGCGAAAGCCTACGTGTTAAACTCTGCTTGGTTACCCAGGAATATCTCACCGAGTCTCAAGAATTGTTCAAGGGGCCTGCCAAGTTTTTACAGTACGGGGAGGTCTTGTTACTGTATATGTAATCCAAATTAAGTAATTTGCAGGCAATTATCTAATTTGCCAAATTTGGACCAAGAACCCCGGCAACAAGCTGCGAACGCGAAACGGCTCTGTCGTATCACCCCCTCCGCCATGTTGGATACAGGTATCTGTTTACCCTATCGACCACGTGACCCCATCCAGCCAATCAGAGCATGTGTTGTTAGCGCAACAGCTGCACATTTGAAACAAAGTTGCTCTGCGATGCAGACCCAAATGCAACTTCATTACATTGCACGAAGCAACACAGGAATGAACGTTGTTGCCTGCGATATTTCTGCAAGAAAAGCTCACTGTTAAGCTCTGGCTGGTCAAGCACGGAGGCGTCTCCGGCACTCGCTGACACGACCTCTTGACCTTAAAAAAATCTAAGAACCTTACCTTGATGCTGAGGTCAACAGACTCTCCCAAACTGTCCACCGAATCACGATACGTCTGTATGTAGCCCACGCTAAGTGCTGTCATCTGCAGAAAACAAAACAAACAATGGTGATAAGACTACATCTTTAGATTTATAGTAGGGAATGTTATCAGTCGGGTGTTAATGACTAATTCTTGGTATCTGCAATACCAATAATACCCACATTTAAATGGTAGTGACCAGCTCTTTTCCAAATGGGTTAAATACCGTAATATAGGCCAACACCATGCCTAGCCGCCTTCGTCTCCCCAATGTTGATGTTTACATACCACACTAGGCACTTATTTGAGGCTGAGTCGACATAGGACCGGTTCGGATAATCGTCACCGATATTGGCTGTGAGTGGGAATCGAATTGTTCGTAACACACTGCATTAACCACTTATTTTCTAAGTTTTCTCAGTCGAGGGCGATGCTGCTCCTGTGCGTAATCCAAATTGATTAATTGGCAAATAACATTTCAGCATTGGGACGTTTGACCAATACCGGTTACATTGTATGTATTTTCTAGCTATTAGAGGAACCCAATGCACAACAGCGGGAGAACATAAAACTCCACGCAGAAAGGCGCCCGAGTCGGGAATCAAACCCAGGCCCTTCTTGTTGTGAGGCTCCCCACAGTAACCACTGCACACCTACGTTCTGGATGGTGGTGTTGAGGGACTTCATCATGCGGTCCACATTGGAGGCCAGGTCGCGGGCCTGGGCCTCCAGGTCGGCCAGCACGGCGGGGTCCACGGGAGGGATGTCGCGCCGCGTGAGGAAGCCCCGCGACACGGCGCCACCGGCCTCATCTGGGCAGGACACAGCACAGTGCTACACACAGCGCCACCACCACCGCCACCACCGTCACCGCAGTCACCACCACCACTGCCAACCGCCACCACAGCTCCACAGTGACATCGCCTCGTTTCTCAACACCTCGAAAATTCGCTTCCTTCCCATATCAGTATCTCCACATGAAGTAAACAAGGTTCTTTTTGTTTTAATATATCCCACCAGCCACATACACACGTGACATTCTGGGAGTGATTTTCTTTAATAAGCAATGCTTTAAGACAAATTTTGACATTTAGTGTCTCATCAGCAGTCAGTCTTGCTGTCAATAGCAAGTCACGTCAGTCATGCTTACACCGATGATGGTGAAATGCCAATTGTTTATATGCACGGACCGTTTCTGTTAGATTTGGGTCCTCGACCATGTGGCGGATGGGGTGTGTAAAATACTTATTTTCATACGAAAGGAAAATATTGGAAGGATGTGTTTTGGCAGTTTATTTTGTTACTTATATTATCCCCATGATTGCTGTGGTAATCAAATTTCCTCTGTCTTCTTACTCCTCTCTATGTTAATTGTTTGGGTTTTGACCAATGATATGGGAGCCAAAGCCCAATAATTAAATTGGTTCGTTTTTACAATATATTTTTGGCAGGCAAAATTCTTTCGTTACGATGTATCCTGCCTCTCCATCTTTCTGTAACATTATTGAGCGGGTACCGGACCCATCACACACAAAATACAGTATCTAGTCTCATGATGGTAAACCACATACAAGGTTGTGGTTAAACAAATTATGTATCCACTTGATAAGTATACAAAACTGACCACACAATATACGGATCAGTTACCATTGAAAGTACAACATAAAGCTGGAATTTTCGTCTTTCAAGCATTTTAACAGTATTGTATTCTGCTCAACGAAGGTAGATATAACCAGTGTAACGGCAATGCATCAACAGATATTAAAGATCCATAAAATGTTTTTAATGGTTTACAAATCAATCAGTTGTAGAGAGCAAAGTGTCCTGACGAGTGTGGTATAAACTATTTTAACCACCCGCATAGAGCAAGTTGAGTACTTTTAAATCAATAAAAAAATGTACATTTAGTTACATGGCTCAATTAAATTTATATCAGGGCTAATAAGATATGTTTTAGTTTTTCTCTGTATCGTACAGTGTAAATAGGCTATTAAAAAAATCTAAATTTGCAAAACCAGGTTATTCAGTTTACCATGTTGTGGTGGTGGTGGGTTAACAACACATTTATATTTACGAGATCTAACCCAAACAAACTTTATTATGATCATTGCTCGCGAAAGCCTACTAGGTGTAAAACACTCTCTTAAAAACATCTTATAAATCACGAACATTCCAGCAATAAATTGGCACACGAAACGAATTGCCTTGAACGATGCTTCCATGTTCTATTGGGTCGTGGACGACCTCCGTAGGCGTGGTGAACAGCATGCGCGGGGGCCCTGCCGGATTGTCGCCCGTTGGTGAGACTTACCATCGAGGTTTCTGCTCGAGCTCAATTTGATCTTCTGCAGGAGGTCATCGGCCACAAAGTGGGTCAACTCTCCCTCGTGCGTCACGGTTCCTTCCAGCTCTAGCGCGCTGGATATAGTGGCACGGCGCCCGTCGGGCCGCCCCCCTTCCTTGGGCCGAGCCCCCCCGAGCACGTACAGCTGGCTGATGCCGTCCAGGCTGCGGCTATCCTGCATGCGCCACATCCCCCTGGGCGTGTTCGCGGGCGCGGCACCGGCCACCGCCGCCCCTCCCTTACTGCACACGTACACCTCTGGGAAGATGTGCTGCTGACGGGTGCCCGGCACGCCACTCGAGGGGCCATGACCAGATTCTCCAAAGTGATTTTCACAGATCTCCAGGTTGAGCTCGGCTTCGGGGATGTTATTAAAGGGGTTAATTCGCAGTCTCCGACTGGCGGGGCTGATCCATTTTGCCACGTCTTCGCCTGCGCAAACTACGCTGCCTAGGTCCTGCCTCTCTGCACTGCTGTCTGCAACGGCCACATCTGTCGAGTCATACGTCGGCTGGAGAGGCGCCTGCCCTAACGACGCAGATTCCTTGACTTTGTGCGCGTTATCAGCTGTGTGCCCTGTCCTGTCTTGCAAAACATCTTGTGCTGTTTGTGAATGTTTAACGCCACGGTTGATCTCCAATGCAACTGTAGCTTCTTCAGATGTTGTGTTATGTCCCTTTGTTGCATTTGCAAAGGATCGTGCATTGCCTTTGTCCTTGTCAATGTGCACTGTGGGCTCTAAGATTTGTCTAGTGTTTCCCTCATGTTCAATGGGATGCACACTACAATCCACACCTTCGGATGTTGCCACAGCTGTTGTATCCATGTTGTGATTTAATCTGTCGTGATCCACACCTTCGGGGCATTTCAACTGGTAACTTACATTGTGCAAATCTACCTCCTTCAGTTTATCACATTCAACAGATGCTATACTCTGAGATTCATGTAAATTAGTTACATTATTCAAATCAAGTTTTAAACTACACCTAGTATTGCGTGACTTGGATTGAAAGGCTGTATCAATTGACTGATCTACTGCCTCTTTCCCACAAGTATTTGGAGTTGAGACGTGGTCCACATTTTCAGTGTTGTATTCCTCATCCCGTTGTGCGTTGTTAATCTCACACATCCTCTGCTGGGCAACAGGATGACAAGTCTCCACGTTAACCGCAAGGTTCAAAGGTAACTCCTCCTGATCATCGCTACCAAACGAGCCGGGCGAAAGACCCTGCAACGAGGCAGTCAGCCCAGGTAACCCCACATCATTCTCATCACCCGCACGGCCTAAGTTCTCACATTTTTTAATGGGCCCACTCTGTAATCCAACACTTTCAGTCTTCTCTTGCTTAGGCTCTGTGTCCATGTTTGACTCCTCAGAAGTGGGAGTGTCTGTATTCACACAGGCAGTAGAAATGGATGGAGCAATTTCAGTAGAAGGAACACCATCACGACCACCAGTAGTAGTAGAAGCGGCAGCAGGCACAGCAAGGTCAGCGCTGCCAGCAGGCTCTGTGTCTCTGTTTGCCACGTTATCTTTCATCCCACCCACACGAGGCTTCTCAAGACGACCAGTGCCTCTATCGAAGGACTTAGTGTCCAATCCCTCCTCCATGTTACCTGGACATCAACAAAACGAAACAGTTAGTGCAGAGCACGTGTTTGGCCATTCGCAATTATTCAGTGCACATACGAAATTGGCACCTCTGAGTCGTAATCGCTCTCAAGTCATCGGGCAGATAAATAATAGCCTTGGTAATTTTTTTATAATGCTCTTCAAATAAAAAGTTGCATTAACTCTTCTATGGTACCCTCTGAATTACAACAAAGGTTCAATGGTGTGATTCCAATTCCCTTGGTGTATGTCACTCAACACGTAAGAATGGCATTGGTTTGGGACTGTATGGAGTCGGGCCGCAGAAGCGCATCGGAAAGCGTGCGATGCAGCAATCATCTTTGATCAATGGTTAGCCAAAAGCCGCTGCTGCGAGGATGACCGGAGTTTGGGTGAGGGTTTATGCTCCTCAATGAGATCACCAAAGTGTTGTGGTTCATTTGTGAGCGCGACCTTATAACTGCAACACAATACCTGCAAACCCAAGATTATTTTGGCCGACTTTAAGAGACCTGCAGATGCATTCAGCAGGAGCCGTACCTGCATCGTCCTCCGTGGAGGCTGCCTGGTGGTGGTGGTGGTGGTGCGTCACTATGAAGCCACACGCTGCCTCGTCATGGCATTCCTCTTGCTCACCTCTATCTGCAAACTCGCCAAGTACAGCAAATGGGTTGAAAATAAACAAGTCCTTCGTAATGCTTACCATTATAAAAGCGATAACGCTTTAGCCCTCTCAGCTTGTAGCGGGGATCACGAGAACTCTCGTACAATAAGGAGTTATTGTTAATTTGTGTCACTGTTGAGGACTTAAACAATAAAAAAACAGGCAAATGAATATAAGAGTTGTCATACATTCATGAATTAATTCACTGAGCGTTAATGTTTTAGGCCTCTTCAGCCGTCACACGCCATGGCTGATGACAAATGGACCTAACCTGGTCTCGCCTCGATTCCCCAGGCAGGGAAACTAGGTGAGGCAGGCTTTTTCCCCAAGCAATTTCTTACATATTTGACAAAATTTTGGGCAATGAGAGAGAATATTTAATGTGCAAAGCCATTCCCACAATGCTCTGGTTTTTTAATGAAACCCTGCCGAGCACATCAACTGTCAATACACACCCTGTGGAAAGTGATCAACCAGGAACTCACAGGAGTAATTGGCTATAAAATTATAAAGGTGAGGAAATTACTCAAAAGATGCTAATTACTTTGACAACACGCCTCCTTCCCATATCTGTCTCTCCACATAAAATACTAATTTTACACATCCAATTTCCTATACGGCCTTCTGGGAGTGCATTTTTTCTGCAGTATTGGTTTAATTCAAGCACATTCTGAACCGGTTTTGACTTTCAGCGTTTCAACAGCAGCCGGGCTTGCTTGAACTAATGCTGGTGAACTGCCAGACATTCATAGGAAAGGATTATGCTTTTGTAAATATATTCCACATTGACTACTGATATATAAAAAAAAATGTAATTACTCACTTCAATTACAGTACTCATAACAGAAAAATTGAACATTCAAGGAAAATGTAGCACATCTTCCCGACACACAACTACATTTGCTTTAAATCAAATCACTTTAACAACTGAGATGGTCTCTGTCTCACCTGCTGCTGATTGCTCATTCCTGGACATTCGGTATCCACGTGGTTCACTACTGAGACAACTCTTCTCAGAACCCTGAAAACCGTAAACAAAAAGTTACATTCTCCATAATAATGTCAACAAGAGATAGGTGCACACCATTACATACAGATCCACACAATGTGAAGAAAAATATATCCAAAAACACGAGCGAAAAATAAATAATGCTGCAAACTGTACTTAGAACTTTGGTTCAAGCAAACCTGACACTGCTTGATGAGACACTTAATATCAAAAATGGCCCATATTTTGCTTGTATTTAATACTGCTGCTGAAATTATGCACTCCCAGAGAAGGCCCGTGTGTGTGACAGGATGTGTACAAAATACGTTGATGTGTTTTTGTGTGGAGGGACAAACAAGTGGAGGAAGCGGACTGTCTGGGGCTTATCGTCCAGGGCTGGGATTGTTGCATCCTTTTCGCTCCGGCTATTGGTAGCGGGCAGCAGCAGCAGGAGTTGGTGGTGGTGGCAGCAGCAGAGGGAGTTGTTGGTGGTGGTGGCAGCAGCAGAGGGAGTTGTTGTTGGTGGTGGTGGTGGCAGCAGCAGAGGGAGTTGTTGTTGGTGGTGGTGGCAGCAGCAGCGAGAGTTGTGGGTGGTGGTGGCAGCAGCAGCGAGAGTTGTGGGTGGTGGTGTGGCAGCAGCAGAGGGAGTTGTGGGTGGTGGTGTGGCAGCAGCAGCAGGAGTTGTTGGTGGTGGTGTGACAGCAGCAGCAGGAGTTGGTGATGTGGCAGCAGCAGAGGGAGTTGTGGGTGCTGGTGTGGCATCAGGAGCGAGAGTTGTGGGTGGTGGTGGCAGCAGCAGAGGGAGTTGTTGTTGGTGGTGGTGGCAGCAGCAGGAGTTGGTGGTGTGGCAGCAGCAGATGGAGTTGTGGGTGCTGGTGTGGCATCAGGAGCGAGAGTTGTGGGTGGTGGTGGCAGCAGCAGTGGGAGTTGTTGTTGGTAGTGGTGGCAGCAGCAGGAGTTGGTGGTGTGGCAGCAGCAGATGGAGTTGTGGGTGGTGATGGTAGCAGCAGATGGAGTTGTGGGTGGTGGTGGTGGCCGCAGCAGCAACGAGAGTTGGTGGTGGTGGCAGCAGCAGGAGTTGGTGGTGGTGTGGCAGCAGCAGATGGAGTTGTGGGTGGTGATGGCAGCAGCAGATGGAGTTGTGGGTGGTGGTGGCAGCGGCAGATGGAGTTGTGGGTGGTGGTGGCAGCAGCAGCGAGAGTTGGTGGTGTGGCAGCAGCAGAGGGAGTTGTTGATGGTGGCAGCAGCAGCAAGTACCCGCGGGAGTCCAACAACGAGCATCTCCATCTTGATTTGAAACTTTCGTGACTGCAGGAATCCATACTCTTTGGTTATTTCATTAAATTCACGTAGGTAGAAAACTAATAGATCACGACGTTTCGATCGCAACACAAGCAATCGTCATCAGGTGGGACAATCACAGCAAGAACAACTGCTCGACTTTACCTAAAGAACCAAAGAGTAACGAGAATCTCCACATTTAGATTCCTTGTTGAATCGATTTCCATCAACATCGATTTTGGAATTGCCACAAACTCTCTAAAACGGAATTAATCACACTGGGAATTAGTTTTTTTTACTGTTTTGACCGTTTACATCAGTTGTATTTACTTTAAAATAACCACGGAATGTAATGCACATTACAAGAATTCCCTCCCGCGTGTTGTTGGTGGTGGTGATGGCCCCCAGGGCCACCACCACCACCAAGACGCGGGGCGGCTCCCTTGTCCGACTCCGCGACTCGGGGACACAACAAGGATTTAGGCGGACCTCGGGTCGGCGTTTTAAAACATCAACAACAGCGTGGACTCGTGGAGCTTGCTGTGCTCACTCAAGATACAAAGTAGCCACATGGAAGAGAGAGGTGACATGGGGACACACAGGGGAGACATTTGAGGCACAATGAGACCCGGAGAGACCGTGAGACCACGGGGAGAGAGGGGGGGGGGGGGGTCAACGGGAGCAATTGGGAAGTGGAGACACAGGGACACAGAGAGACACAGGGAGACACAGAGACACACAGGGACACACAGAGAAACAGGGAGACACACAGAGACACACAGGGACACACAGGGACACAGAGACACACAGAGACACACAGATACACACAAGGACACAAAGACCCACATGGACACACAGGGAGACACAGAGACACACAGGGACACACAGGGACACAGAGACACACAGGGACACACAGATACACACAAGGACACAAAGACCCACATGGACACACAGGGAGACACAGAGACACACAGGGAGACACAGAGACACAGAGACCCACAGGGAGACACAGGGAGATAGACACACAGAGACACAGAGAGATAGACACACAGAGACACGACGCGGAGACCGCCCCGGGCGCTTCTCGCCCGGGGCTTCACCCCTCCTCATGAGGCAGCGACTCTCAAGAGTTCGACTCCTGTGTGGTGACCCACTCGGGGTAACTCACTCGGGGTTGACTATCGTGGCGTTGACCCTGTAGTGAGACAGGCGCTCTCCTGGTATTGAGACTCAGGGGCGACTCCTCCCTCACGGGGTGGTTGACTCTCACTGTGTGGGTGACTCTTCCCTGTCTCTCACGGCGTGGTTGACTCTCCGTCTCGTCTCTCACGGTGTGGGCGGCTCTGGGTGACTATCTCCCCCTCGTCTCTCGCGGCGCTGTTCTCAGTTCCTCTCCTGGCGCTCGCTGCCTTCAGCCCACAAGTCGAGTCCCGCGCAGCTGAGCGCCGATCGGAGCGGCGCCGATTCGCGTGAGCGCAACAACGCGGCCCGGCCACGGCGCTCGCCGAGAGCAGAGCTCTTAGGGGCGAGCAGGCGCCGCCAGTGAGTTGCGGGCGAGCGGCCGAGGGGAACCCCACGGGTTGCTGCCACCGAACCGCGGGCGGCCGCGGACGTGACCGTGGCGAATCGGCCTCCGCGGTGTCGCGTGGCACTGCCCCGCCACGTGACGCGGATGCGGCCTAGACGAGGTGTGGCCTTGGCTGCGTGCGCCATCTTGTTTAGTTCATGCCTCCCCCACCAGCTGCGCGTGCCATCTTGTTTAGTTCATGCCCCCTTACCAGCAGGGCGCGCCATCTTGTTTAGTTCATGGGCCCGAGAATTTTGAACGGGGACGACTCCCCCTGCCGTCGTGATTCGGAGACTCCGCTCGAGGGGTTCCCCACGCGAGCGGCTGCGTGGGGGCGCGCTGCGCACGGCAAGAGGCATCCTCCCGGGTGCCTCTGTGTGGAGTTTGTATTTCTTACTCTTTGGTTCTTTCGGTAAAGTCACGTAGGTATAAAATAAATCACAAGCGTCCGTCATCATCTTCTTTCCTGCTCTGCGTGGGTTCTTCCCCGGTGTCCTCCCATAGCTAAACCCCCACACGCAGTGGAACTGAATGAGAGCACAATATGTATGTTTACTGGAGGAATCCAATGAGCCATAAAGCTCTATTTCACAGAACGTTACACCAACAAACAAGTACACGACAGGAGTGAAAACCATAGGATAGGTAAGCAAATCACTTAAAAATATACAAAGCAAACTAAATTATATATTTTAATTTTGCCAGGCAAAGCCCACAGCTTATTGTTCAGAAGCGACCTGGCCACAAATGATAGCTCAACAAATTGGCTTATCATGTGTAAATGTACAGCAGTAAAATTATCTAAGTAATTTAAACGAATGTTACTGGCATTATCCAAAAATCCCAACGCTTGAAAAATTACTCAATTGATTAATTGAAAAATGACTCAATTGCAAATGACTAAATTTGGACCACCCTACCGCGAAAACTCGGCTAAGACTCCCCCTGTAAGAGTTTGAGACTCCAGTCCAGTCCTATCCTCGCGTCATGGTCATTGTGCTCAACTACCTGGCTTGCACCGTCATTTTTAAAAATGGAAACAAAACCCGATTCGATGACGTGCAGGGCCATCATTATATCCCTGCTCGCACCTGCACGAACATCGCTGAAACAGGGGACGGAAGATACTCTTAGTTCTTTCGGTAAAGTCACGTAAGTAAAAAATGAAGTAAAAATTAAATTAAAATAAAAAATCACGACGTTTCGGAGGCAACACAAGTCTCCGTCATCAGGCGGGACCGTCACAGCCAGATTTGCTGCATCAAGTAAGGCAGGGATTCAAGATGCAAGCTCTTAAATACAAGTTAAGGGGGAGGAGAGGGGGGGGGGAGCTTATCAGAATGTGGTAGCCAATGAATGGAACGTATCGGGAGGGGGGGGGCTAAAAGAGGGCACGAGGTGCTCGACGTGTGTTTGTGCGCAAGTCACTGTTGTTGCACATGATAACGTATTGGAAGGGGGGGGGGGCTAAAAGAGAGCACGGGGTGCAAGTGTACGTGGACATGCCTGTGCACAAGCACCTGTTGATGCACAAGATAGAAAAGAACAAAAATGCCCATGTTTATACCAGTGTTGGCTGACAAAGAGAGTACTGTTGAACGCTGGGGGATGTTAACACTAAGTAAAGTAAAAGTGCCTGTCAGATAAGATGGTCCAAAAATGTGTAGTTAAATCTTTTTTACTTGGTTAATAACATCTTTCCAATGATTACTAAGTTTGTACCCATCATCACGGTTGAAATTATGTCTGTGTTTGTATTTCTGAATGGCTTCGTGTACAAACCTTTGATGGTAGCTAGAGGGTTTGCAGAGCACCTTAGTCTCGGAAAAAACAATATCATGAGAGCCCACCGCGTTGTAGCAATGATCGGCAATGGCGGAAGACTCAATTTTACCGTGTTTCAAATCTGACTTGTGCTCGCGGACACGATCAGAGACATGACGTTTCGTTTCCCCAATGTAACAGTCACCACAGCTGCAACTCAGTTTATAGACTCCAGGGTATTGCAAGTCAGGGATGACATCCTTCACAGATGGAATTAGATCATATGTTATGTACTGTACTGAATCGGACTTGGATCTTATGTTTGTTTAGAATTTTGGAGATCTTTTTGGTCACGCCTGCTATGTATGGCAACGTGATAGTTTTGATCGGAGTTTCAAGTGGCTGTTTCTGTGTGGTGGGAGAAACAGCTTGGCGGATGATGCGTTCAGAGTATCCGTTCATCCTGAGGGCCCGATGTACATGTCTTAATTCACTGGCCAGGTGGTGTTGGTCAGAAATGCCATGAAGCTCTGTGGTATAGCGTTTTGATGAGATAATTATTTTGAGATGGGTGGTGGTGGGAATCCGGTTTCAAGTAGGAATCTGTGTGGGTGGCTTTCCTGTAGACAGAATGTCCCAAGGATCCGTCAGGTCTCCTCTCAAACAGAATATCTAAGAATGGTAGTTTACCATCTTTCTCCACTTCCATGGTGAATCTGATGGATGGGTGTCTGGAATTGATGTGGTCCAAGAAGTGGTTCAATGCTGGGAGGCCATGTGGCCAAATGACGAAAGTGTCATCCACATACCTCTTCCACAGGGAAGGACGCAGGGTGGATGTCTGGATGGCGTCTGATTCAAACTTTTCCATGAACATGTTGGCTATCACTGGTGACAAGGGGGAGACCATAGGGGTACCCTCATTCTGTTTGTAGAAGGTGCCATTCCAGGTAAAATAAGTGTTGGTGAGGCAATGCCTAACCAGCGCAGGTACATCCGAATTCAATCCATGTTGGACCAAGTCCTCAATTATTGTTAGGGTGTCAGGCACTGGAACTTTGGTAAATAGAGATACTACATCAAAACTGACGAGGATATAATCAGGAGATAGTACCATGTCCTTGACCATAGAGACTAATTGGGTTGAGTTGAGTACTGCCGAAGAGGTCTTGCCTGTGAAGGGAGTTGATCGTTGGGTTGTAGCGGGGTGCCTTCTTTATGGATCTTGGGAAGACCATAGAGTCTGGGAGGTCTAGCCGCCGAGGGTTTTAGAGGGACGTTTGGTTGGTTCGATTAGGGAAGTCGAACTCGTGATGATCTTGTTGGTTTTTGTCGTTAGGCTGTTAGTAGGATCGCTTTTAATTTTGGAGTAACTCCCATCATTAAGTAGGTCCAGGATTTTGTTGTATGATTCTTTATCCATGATGACCGTGGCATTGCCCTTGTCTGCCGAGAGGATGACTATATCATTTTTTTTTGTTCGCAAGTTCAGAGCATTCGTTTTTGCTAATGTTACAAGTGGGTTTCTTAGTATTCTTAAGAATCGTGGCTATTTCAGCTCCTGCTACATCCGCATGGATGTGTCCTATGCCTCTGAGGGCAACATCAACCTGAGAAATGACATCCTCTACTGGTATATATTTAGGGGTGACAGCGAAATTTAGTCCTTTGGCCGGTACCGTTTTCAGATTGTCAGAAATTGGGATGTTACTCTGATTAATAACGGTCTTGTTGACATCCAGCATTGTGATTTGTGGCTCCGATTTCTTCTTAGATAGGAGGTTGAATTTAGAAATCAGGTTGGCTTTGCATTTGGCTGACAGTGAGTCAGCAGAAGCAGAAGTTGTCAATGTGGTTCCAATCAGAAGGGGACATTTTTTTGTGTTAACATCCAAGGCCTAAATATATATATATATAATATTTATAAGTAACAGTTTATAATATTTCATGCGAGGAGTGATCTGCACATACAGATAATTGGTTGCTTATGTAGACAATGTACTGTATTTTATTCCGTAAACAATGTTATTGATTTATGAATTAATGTTCACGGAAGGTCTGCTTCAGTATGTTTGTCCACTTCTGTGACAGGAGTGTTTTGCAATTTCATGGGCAATACACGCATCGGTCTACCAAGATGGGTTCATGAATCTACTTGCTGCACTCCCATCTGACCTCACAGCTCAGTAAGTTTTGGCGATTCACAGATCTGTCATCAACCCCAGCCTCGAAAGCACTTGGATATGGGCGAGTGCCGTGATGTTAACAGAGAAAGAGCAACATTCCAAACCGTCATGCTTTTTGTTTAAACTTTAATTCTATCAAGACTGCCAAGTTGTGATATGTGCACAGCTAAAAGCACATGCAAGCTTAAACATATACACGACGATGTCAGACGTAAAAAAGAAATTTTCAATTCTATTTGAGTGTTTACAAAAATAACGACATGTGGCTCTTTTCTAAGTTCCCTTCACAGTGATTACAAAACAAAATTTCCCCACGTAATTGAACGGTGGTGAGAATTTAAAGGTGTAAGCTTAAGCACAACCCACAAGCTCATAAAGCGTCTGTGCAATTGAACAGAGCCCAACACAATAAAGCTTTCATGTTTCTAGCCAAAGCTCTTTCACAGCGAAAAACGGCTGCAGTTGTGAAGCATATTGCACGTCCCAAGCGTCCACCAGTATGATCGTACACGTTTAAGGTACCGATTAGGGCTGAACGATTTGGGCAAAATATCTAATTGCGATTTTTCTGACAGATATTGCGATTTGATTTACGATTAAACATTTTAAAGTCAAGCTTCAAGTTCAATATTCACTGTGTAATAGATTTAAAACACGTGATGGAGCATTACCACATGATACCATCAAAATATGAACTGCTCTATATATTATAATGCAAGGATGATAACTTAAAATAGATTACTTGCTTCCAACATGTATTTATAAAAATAATGTTAATTGAAATAGAACAAAACATAGAACAATTGTTAAGTTTAACACGTAGCCTTAGCGACCAATATCATCCATAAGAGGTTTTTGGGTTAGATCGCGTAAATATATAAATGTTTCGTTAAAACCCGCCACTACCCGATACAGCCAACTAGTAAGGATTGTCACGTAAACAGAACGTGCCAATTCGTCGCTAGTACAGCACTAACTGGTGTGTTGCAGAGCCAAGCCACAACATTTACAATCTGAGTATTCAGATTGTAAAGTTGGCTGTGTTGGGTGTTGGTGGGTTTTAACGACACATTTATATATTTACGCGATCTAACCGAAAAAAACCTCTATGATGAACAATTGTTAAGTTAAATAAACAAAAGTTATAATAATAATAAAAACAATTCCAATAAGAAAGTAATAGGACTTTTAAAATCGCAAATAATCACAGTCTTTGCGATTTGCTAATCGCATTGTTTCAAATTGCGATTTCGATTTGAAATCGAACAATCGTTCAGCCCTAGTACTGATATACTGATGTACAGAATATTCCACCGCTGAGAAGTTTCAGCCGCTGTGCGTTACTACAAATACGAGAGGTTTGGCGATGTTGTCCAGCTACAATGTAGAATGGATAAACTGTTAATTGCATGTTAAATTACTGACAATTTACATGAAGTAAACAACAAAAATATTACTCGACATTACCCGAAAGATAAACTGACTAAAAGGTTACTCAATATCTGGCGATGAAAGCCACACTTTTCATGATGATACTATAATGCATAGTGATGCGGATCCTTAATCTTTGCACTCTATTAGGTTCACAGGGGTTTAATTGAGGCTTTTGTAATGAACTGAATGCAATAAGATTTCCATGGCTGATACAGCCTCACCAGATACACACACACAAGCACTCACTCGCACACACGACTGCGAGGTGGACTTCGTAAAGCTCATTTATTATCATAGGCAATTCCGGGGTACTTCAAAAGGTAATCGGTCTGATTACTTACGTTCATAGATAAATTCTTATTTGCGATTTTACGAGTAATGTAATGTTTGATTACTTCAAATAAAGAGAGAAATAGTATTCGTTTATGTTGTGTGGAGCGGTGGCACAGTGCTTAGTGCACTGCACTATAAATCCTAAGTTCGATTCCGGGCCAGAACAACATCAGTGGTGAGTATAGCCCTCTGTGTTTTTAGATGTGTACCGAGTGTTGTTCGGTGCAACCCAAAAGCACACCAGAGCGCAAGCGAGCACAACTTGCGAAAACCTACACACGGGTAGAATCATTGGTGAGATATCCGAATCCTGGGGGCCCCTTTATCAACCCGCACTGACCTGCATGGTGAAATATGGTTAAACAACCCCATGACCGACACGGCATGGGGAGAGTTTTATCCAGTACTGGATTAATTGCTACGAATTAGTTTAATTTGCTTTGTGGTATATATTTTCCAACAATTGGTACCGATGTTTAATTAGCTTTGCATTGATGCCATCCTCGCATTAAACAAATGCTGTCAACTTGATTTCGCATTAATTGCTTGGCACAATCATTGTGTAAAACATTATAAAAGTAATCAGTTGATGCATGCCATGTAAAAATGACCGATTACACACTAAAAACAGGATACGGATCACTGCTTACGATGCGTAAAATATTACTGCCAAATTCTGGCTGTGCAGGACAATTTGACAGTTTAATTGTTGTCGATATGGGAGACCAGTTTCCATTTCAGATATTGCCATAACGTTTACAACACTTACATGTATGTATAAACCACTTCTGTGAATTAAAATACGGTACAAAACGCACTCTAACCTCAAACGATTCATGGAGGATATGAGTCATGGCAGGGAGATATTTTATCGGTTTAACTTTTTCAAAACCAACGATAAATACGCTTTCGGTTTTGAGGCAAATTAAACAATTTTCAAACAGTTGTTTCAAGCGACGTAACTTGCGTCTTAACACAGCACCGAACACTCAAATACATTGGGTGTCAGGGAGATTGTAATTTGGTGTGACAGAAACTGTTGGGAGGGGCTTAGTCCTATGTTTCAACTAAACATGCAGTTTCAAGACCAGGCTGCAGTCAGCCTGGAGCTGTCCTGGCACCATCCCAGCACCTTTTGGATACATCCTCTTGAACCGTGTGGTCCAAGCCCGTTCCTCAGGCAGCAAATCAAAAGTCAAAGTGATATCCTGGAAAATGAGCATTGCGATGCGCTTCTCATCTCCTGTTTACAGCCCTGAGCCAGTGGTGGAAATCCTACATTACTATGGTGGGGGTGAGTCTGTCTATCCATAGGATAACCACTTGACCTCCCCACAAAGCGCGACTTCTTTTACTTGTACTAACCCCGGAGGGATGATGAGCCGGGTGAAACACTGACCAGAATTTGAACTCACATCCCTTCCATTTGGGAACCGCTTGCTCGACTGCTGAGCCACCTGGCCAATTTACGATTGGTGGAGGACATTCTGTTGCAAGGTTTTCAAGGATGGTACAGAATCAAATTTTTATTTATACTGGAGGAATCCGATGAGCTATGAAGCTTTTTTCAACAGATGTCCAGTAGGGGCGGATCAGAGAGATATAACGACACATGATACAAAAACACAATATGAGTGCAAGGTATAGGAAGGGTAAGCAAATCACTTTAAAAATAAACTTTTTATTTTACCAGGTAAGGCCCACTGAGCTATTAGTTTCTTTTTCAGAAGTGACCTGGCTACAAATGATAGCTCAACAAAGTGGCTTATCACGTGGAAATTTATATCAGCCAAACATTCTAAATAATCTATAACTGGGCATGTATGAATTTGGGACTTTCATTAGTTTTTGCATTGATTTCCGAGTTCTGGAAATGTGGTCGTGTGGGTGTGAGAGCGTTAAAAATGCTCTGGATGTAGGAATGTCACAGCGAACGCTCTGCGATGTGTAACGTATGGCTGTACTGTCATTCAAGGCTCTCATATTCATGAGATATGTAGCTCAAGTTCTCCGAGGGGGGATCCAATGGACGATGGTATTTTGTTCAAATATAAAATGTGCTTTCAATTAAGAGTTACTGTGCTATATGCTATCAATGGGACATGCAATATTACCATCTTCCATCAAAAATAATACCCAGACACTTACCTTTGATGCATATCCAGTGCAACACGTCATACAGAATCTGGTCAAAAGCCCGAAATACAACAAGTACAGCCTTCAACCTGTAACAATGCTGCAACAGACTGAAACCCGTTAAAACTAAACACTGTATCTCTAGATCATGACAAACATTGCTTCTTTACCTGAACTGAGAAATTAAATGACAGACTAAATAATGTTCTCATCATTGCCTTGAATTAAACTGGAAATATTTCGATTTAATAATCTAAAGCAATTAAAGTAATTAAAAACATTTTCTTCTTACAATAGCTAAACATTGGGTGGAGCAATTACTTTTGGGGTAATAACTGTTACACTTTTTACAAGCAGCCTTTGTCAAGTTGTTACAAATGTAGCACTACCAGCAAGAATACAACTGAGCGTTTTTATAGCTATAGCACATTGATCAGTGATTATTTTATCCATATCAGCGTGACGATACCGGTTTAACGTCTTAGTGTTCTGTACACAGCATTTTGGAATTTCTGACAACCCTAAGAATGCACTGAACATATTATGCTAGAACTTCGCTTGTGGCAGCACACATATGGGCAGTATTAATATATAGGCTTAATATATAGGCTGCCAGTCCTTATCACCCCACTCATCCCCCATCTTGTTGGACTTTTTCACTCCAAAGGTTATGCCCTTACCACTGCCACTGCCTCCTGGTTTGCTGCCTCCTCCTGCACCTGCAGAAGCGCTGCCCTCCTCCCCTTCGTCCCAGCTTTCTTCTACTTCGGTGCTATCTGGAGGAGAGTCGCACTGCAGAGGCTGCCAGCCCTCTGAACTCGTTTTGGGTTTTGTCTGTCCCTCTTCTCCAACAGACCGTGCTCCAAATGAAACCCAACTCTCGGCTTTCGGAGACCGCTGGCCTTCCTTCTTTGCAAAAAACTCTTGGCTCACCGCCGCTTCCCCTTCTCCAGCTGCCGACCTGTGGAAAACAAAGCGATGGGATGGTGGAGGTCAAAAGTGAAATTTTGGGCGTGATTGTAGTAGGGTTTGCTACCTTTTTCATCAGACCAAACCCGGACATATTTCTCATGCGGCCTCCATCATCATCGTCGTCATCACGAGCCATGGGCAGATAGCCCTGTAGGTGTCCACTGCACATTTCGTAATTTGTTTGCACTTTTCTCTGTCTTGTGCCAATATGCTCAAGTAGTGCCACATCTTTCTGGCACCAATCTCTTACGTGGTCGTCAAGCCATCCTCTGTCAGGTCTTCCTCTCTTTCCGGTTCCTTCTATTTTTCTGGAAAAACACACTTTTAATTTTCCTGTTGTTGTCCATCCTACAGATGTGTCCAAATGGTTCCAGTTTACTTCGCATCGCTGCCTCCATCATTAGGTCTTCTTCCATGGTGCGAGCTTTTTCTTACCTCTACTTTGGTCACTCAGTCAGCCGAGGTCTATCAAAACTGTGCAATGTACGTACTCTATCTTAATTTTGGAGCTTTCGTGACTGCAGGAATTATTCTTTGGTTTTTTCGGTAAAGTCACGTATAAAAATAAAATAATAAATTAAATAATAGCATACGACGTTTCGATTGCAACACAAGCAATCATCATCAGGTATAATGAAATAGCGACATAGAATATAACCAGAAAACTATAGACAGACATATAAGCAGACAGATATCACCAAGATACATAGAGAGAGCAACCCAGGTACAGAGAGAGGTGATCGTCTCTGTGGGGTGGCCTTAAATAGACAGAGGGGGGCGGAGGCAGAGAGAGGGAGGGGGTAGGGAAAACATTTACATGTCAATGAGTACGAAGGGAGGGGAGTAAGGTAAGCAGGCATAGAGGGAGACAGAACACACTAAATTAAATAACCTAGCAAAGTATCGAAATGTTATGTAAAACGACACAGAGAGTCGGTCAACACACAATTAACGCATTGCCTGGTCGATTACGTATTTCAAAGATTGCTAAGTTAGAATTTAAGTGTGAAAATTCCAAAGAAAGACAAAACATAAAAAAAGAGGAACGGAGACACACAGACAGAGCAGAACCTAAGAACGATACAAAACGAGTGTAGACAGAGAAGGTTATTTAGGTTGCTAGGTTATTTAATTCAGTGTGTTCTGTCTCCCTCTAAGCCTGCTTACCTTACTCCCCTCCCTTCGTACTCATTGACATGTAAATGTTTTCCCTACCCCCTCCCTCTCTCTGCCTCCGCCCCCCTCTGTCTATTTAAGGCCACCCCACAGAGACGATCACCTCTCTCTGTACCTGGGTTGCTCTCTCTATGTATCTTGGTGATATCTGTCTGCTTATATGTCTGTCTATAGTTTTCTGGTTATATTCTATGTCGCTATTTCATTATACCTGATGATGATTGCTTGTGTTGCAATCGAAACGTCGTATGCTATTATTTAATTTATTATTTTATTTTTATACGTGACTTTACCGAAAAAACCAAAGAATAAGTACGTACTCTAATTAAGTTCATGACTTAATACGTCAGTTTCACAGACAATATTACAATTAAAAGTAGATTTTAGGTTAGGCAGTGTAAATGATCTGATCAAATCTGTAGTTAAGACCCTTCACCACCCCACACAACCAAGCAAATTAAATGGATCGTGTGCAAGCGTGTAACGTGCCAATTATGATTGTGTCAGCTCATTGGTAAGTTGAAGAGCAATTCTCACAACCGCATTTAACAAATGTCCCTTCACTGGCTCCCTGTCCATACCCATATTGATTTTAAGATTCTCCTGCTGGTTTTCAATGCCTTATATGGACTTACTCCTCCCTACATTCATGACTTCCTTTAGCCATATATTCCATCAAGATCATTAAAATATAAAGATTTTGCATTGCTCACTCTCCCACTGTCTAGGCTTCACACTTGAGGTAGCGGTGCTTTTGCAATTGCAGCAGCTAAACTCTGGAACTCGTTGTCCCGAGGTCAGGACTTCCAAGACATTTACAGATCTTCAAACCTCGACTAAAAACGTATCTGTTTCAAATGGCTTTCTCTCTCTTTCGTTATTTTCAAACGTCTCTCATTTCTTATTTCCTTGGTTGATGTTAAACTATTTCCGTCTTTCCATGCATAGCGATTGTTTAAGGGGCGCTTTATAAATTTGATTATTAATTGCTATACTTGCTTAGATTATTCCGTGGTATAACCCAAAACGCAATTATTAATCAGCGTTTATCCTGTGGAGGGAGCTGGTCCCCATTATGGGAATGTGGAATTTCCACCACTGACTTAGGGCTGCCAACGTAGATGCAGACTGCCAAGGGACATGTCATGTATTTTCTCATCTGTGGATCTTCAAGTGTTTATAATTGTTTAATTGGATGATACATGACACCAAAGGCATGTTGTACGAATGATAAATCGTTCTTACAAAATTAAACAGCGCATTGCCCACGGTTGCTACTGGTCTGATTGCATTGTGGGAGAGGATGAACTACAATCTGCATTCTACCCCGCTGTAACAATTCATCATCACTTTAACTCTTTCCCGTTCAGAGATGACTGCAAGTTGCAGGGTGGGATCCCGTTCATCGCTGAATCTTGGAACGCGGTTCAGCGTTAACTTTAGAGATACATAGTGCCGTTGTTTTTAAAGCTGTTGTACTCACCACAGAGAACTGTAACGACACGACCGCACTCTACAATAGCTGGTGCCACACTGTGCCACACACCTTCCTGCATGGCCTTGTGGGAGCCTCGGTACCAATAAAGTTCATTAATTTAAATTTTTATTCCGATGATGTACACGTACGTGACATACACGTACATCATCAGTTCGAAACAGGAGAAAACGGGAAAGGGTTAATACACTAGCCTCGCATTACAGGGGCAGCCAAGACCGCAGCTTGCTAGCCACATGCGGATCCCGAGCAGTTCCAGTGCGGCTTGATAGAGACGCAGCTCATGATTAACTTTTCAATACTTTATTTGAAACAAGATAAATTTGTAGAAGCGTGAATGGCGCAAGGTACTTGCCCCTGGCAGCGGTGCGGGACACAAGGACTCCCAGGGCACTCCCGCAAATGTCTAAACTCAAATTATCCGAACAGCCAATAAGTGTGAGTGAACCAGACGTGTGAGCCCCACGTGTGTCCTGTGGCTATCGGCCATTTTGCTATGGGGCTCATAGGGGAAGGAAAGTTGACAACCGTCCGTGGCATTATTAAACAATTGCAATATATCACTGTATGTATATCTCAGTATTGCAATTCTGGTTGGCGTCAAAAGGGTTCTACTCAATGGTAAGGTTATGATTTTAAATTCTTGTAGAATAACACAGCCCATCATCTCTGTCAGGTTGATAAAATGAGTACCCCTTTCAGCAAAGTCAAAAGGAGTTTTCCTTTTCAGAGAATCACCCCCGATAAAGGAATGGAGAATTTCCGCCACTGGTTCAGGCTCCCCGTTTGAGCGAAGCACACTCGCAATCGTTTGAGTGCATGGAGATAGGTTCATCATAATAATTTAGAGTTTGTAACGTGCACAGTTTTCATTAACTTTTAGAACTGGCACAAACAGTTGCCGAAGCTCTGTGGCCCTATATTTGGATGCATTGCCAATTCTATGACTGAGTGGTTATATATGTGGGAAGAAACTCTGGGATGAAAAGGGGTAACACTCAATCCCTATGCCATGATGAGCTAGGAGACAACCATCTAGAAACACCCGTTTAGAGTATTTGGCAGCTATAAATTTCCACATGATAAGGCACTTCATTGGGCTATCGATTGTGGCCAGGTCACTTCTGAAATAGAGCTACATAGCTCAGTGGGCCTTACCTGGTAAAATAAAATAGTTTAAATCGTTTTAGTGGGTTTGGGAGTTTCACAAATGTGTGTGATCCACTGACCCTTGCCTCCCCCAGTGCTGTATCACAGAGCACGTACAGCACAGCCACCAGCGATACGTCGTCAATCACAGCCACGGATGTGATGCTCACCCCTCCAGCAGAGGAGAGTCGTTTCCCGAGAGACGCTCATGGCCTCCGTGCTTATTCGAGAACATGGAGGTCACTTCCTTCCAGCCTTTCATCCCTTGTCCCTGAAAAACTACAAAGAACATTAAGAGGTAAAGGTTTCAGTGTTATTTTCTCCCCATCAAATGTTTAAAGACAGCTTCACTGCTAAATTCCACATGCAGTGTTCCAGCATTTGAGCTGTGACTCCAGAGAAAATGTTTTCAAAAGCTTTGAGTTACAGGAAACACTTACCAATACATATTGTTGAAAGCACCAGCAGAAATCAGAAAAGAATTGCATAATTTTTGGTTAATGCAAGTTTACTCACCAAAATCATCCAAGACAAACACAACAAGAGGATCAAAAGCAAACGTTGTAATAGAAATGAGCAATAGAAAGTAATGAAAAATAGCAATATGTGTGCACGTGCCAAAGTCCTGATCACCCCCCCCCCACCTCCGTATTAAACCTGCACGCACATGTCCATACACTTTTAAGTCTTGTTAAGTCTAGGTTTAAAACTAATTTATTTAGAACTGCTTTTTGTGTTTAGTTTGTTGTTCTTCCCCTGCACCTCTGATGAGCATGGTTGGCTACATACAGTGCGAAAGAAGTTCAACATATAGGGAGAGAAAAAAGTATTTGATCCCCTGCTGATTTTGTACGTTTGCCCACTGACAAAGAAATGATCAGTCTATAATTTTAATGGTAGGTTTATTTGAACAGTGAGAGACAGTATAACAACAACAAAAAATCCAGAAAACACATGTCAAAAATGTAAAAAAATTCATTTGCATTTTAATGAAGGAAATAAGTATTTGACCCCCTCTCAATCAGAAAGATTTCTGGCTCCCAGGTGTCTTTTATACAGGTAACGAGCTGAGATTAGGAGCACACTCTTAAAGCGAGTGCTCCTAATCTCAGCTTGTTATCTGTGTAATGCGAGCAAGAACAGGGTGGTTGCTGGCCTCCGCGCCACTCACACGGCCCGGAGTATTGGGGGGCGGAGCCTGGTCGGCGGAGCGTGTGGGAGGAGCCACTGCTCACCTCGGCTCCAATGGGAGACGGGGTGAACGGGGGGCGGAGACGGGGGCAGTACGGGAAGGAGGAGTCAGGGTCACGTGATGGGGAAGATGTAAGGAGAGAGCCGGAAGAGATCGAGAGGTTGGAAGAGTGTGAGAATAGAGAGGAAGCCACGCTGGGCAGTGGCGGAGAAGTGGCGCCATTTGCCACGTGGTCGGAGACCTACGCGCACCGTAGGCCAGTGGTGTGCGTGGGGTGCCGGGGCTAGCAGAGTGTGGAGGGGCTAGCAGAGTGTGCGGGGCACACGTAGCTAGTGAGTGGCTAGCAGGGTGTGCGGGGGCACACGGACCAGCGGTATGGCTGGCGGCGTGTGCGGAGGGGCACACGGAGGAAGCAGAGCGGCCGCGGTGTGGGCGAGGGCCACAGGGAGCGTGCGCGGGGCGCACGGCAGAGGCAGCGCGGGTCCGGACGAGGACCAGCGGGGTGCAAGACAAGAACCCAAATAAAGGACGAACGGAGACCTACATCGCCTGACCGAGTCCTTTATTGCACTGGTGTCAGAAGTGGTACGAGATGTCTAAACATCTCAAGAAAAAGAACATACCTGCACCATCTTCTGAAGATAAAGACGATCTTCCAGCGGCGGTGGCGCTCCCGACGATAGAAGGCGGAGGCGAAGTGGGGACGGGCGACGCGCTAGGAGTGCAAGATGTCGTCGGGGCGGCCGGGCCGTCTGCATCAACGGGCGCCGAGGAGGGCTGGCGACACGTGACGGCCCAACTTGATTCGCTGCGGGCTGTTTTGATGCAATTACGCACCCTGGTGACAACAGCGACGAGGCCGGATCGCCCAAGCGGGGAGCCTTCGAGTGGGGCCGAGCCGTCCGCCATTGGAGCCTGTGCGACGCTTCCCGCCCTCTCCGACACGCGGCAGGACGCCGCCATCTTGGGCGTGGTCGGGGACGAACCGCGGGAAGCCGTCATCTTGTTGCCTCCACCGCGGGAAGCCGCCATCTTGACCCCGCCGCAAGGAGACGCCATCTTGTCGCGACTGCGTGGAACACCTGCAGCGGGAGACGGCGACTCGGGGACCCGCAGCCATCGTATGACGACGGTCAAGGAGTTCTCGATCGGCGGGGATTGGAGTGCATTTGCCTGCCGTTTTGAGGCGGCGGTCCGATCCGCCAAGTGGACGGATGCGGAAGCCTTGGAGGTCCTACCGACGCTCCTGGACGACGAGTCTGTGAGGTTCTTCCGCTCCATCAAGGCCGCGAGGAAGACGACGCTAAAAGGGGTGTTCGAGGAAATGGCGGAGGCTTATGAGCCCCCGGACGACGCACATCGCAGATTCGTGCAGCGGCAACGGGCACCAGAAGAATCGCCAGTGACTTTCCGGGGCGCTGTGTTGGAGCTGGCTATGGCCGCATATCCGGACACAGAGCCCGACTTGCTGGAGCCTTTAATATTGGGCAAGATGTTGGAGTTGTCCAGGGATTTGGGCATCCCCATGCCGGTGTGCGGCCACGAACAGCTGACCTCACGGATAGAGGCTAAGTGCCTGGACGCGCAATTCAACCTGCGCCGGTGGGAGCAGGTGACGGCCTGGACGGCAAGCCCCAACATCGAAGGCGGTGCCACAGGGTGGGATCCATCCAAAGCTGTCTACGTACGGGACGAGAAGGGGCCTGAGGCGCTGGCGGCAGTATCGACCCAATGGCCTACTCGAGGGGGAGCGGAGTTGCGCTCGGGGCCACCGTTGCGGGATCGCCAAGACAGAGGGGGTGCCGGACGACGAGCCGACTTGTCGTGCTTCCGCTGCGGCCGTCGGGGGCACTTCGCCAGGGAGTGTTGGGCTCGCTCTCGGCCGCCGCTCCAGCAGGAGGCCCCTGCCAAGGACGCGACATGGCAAGATCACCCACGACAGGCAAGTCGGTACGCATCAGACACCCGGCAAAGCCTGTCATCTCATGCATCACCATCGCTACGCGGTCCGGATGGCATTACTAACGGGGGGGCGCTGAGAGATCCGCGTCGCTCGCTGACGCAATGGCGGAAATTGGCGCGGAGGGTGGTTGCGGCCGCTACTGGGTCGTCCACTGTGCCGGGTTCGATCCAAGGGGTCAACGTGCGCATTTTGGTGGACTCGGGTGCGTCTGCGACCATTATCTCCGACGTGATATTCCATCTCCTGTCCATTCCGCCAGGGCGGGTACGACCGGTTTATGACTCTTGCATAGCGGCGAACGGGGGAAGTATGGGCATTGTGGGTCAGGTGGACGCCAGCATATCGGTTGGGGGTGTTTCGGCTTCAGGGACGGTGTTGATTTCCAGGTCCCTCGCGGTGCCCTGCTTGTTGGGGACCGATTTCCTGGCGAAAATGCCCATTCAGATAAGGGTGGATCAGAATTGTATCGAATTACCGGGGGGCCGCAAAATTTCTTTCTTTCATCCTGGGGGCAGTCCGCTCCTGACCGCCAGGTGCAGGCGCTGTCTAAGGTATCGGTTGATATTCCACCTGGCTCGCAGATGCTTATTCCGCTGTGGTATCGGAAACCAGTGCCGGGAATCGAGGGTGCGGTGGGCGTGTTGTTGTCGCCGTCCAATGCTATAACGGGTGGCTTGACGCTGGTCGGGGCACAGACAATTGTTCGGCCGGGTCAGCCTCCGTTTTTACAAGTGTTGAATGGGAGCGCGGATAATGTTATTGTGCCGCCCGGAATGGTTTTGGCTCATGCTACGACTGCTTTCACGGCCCATGACGATCGGGGCCGCCGGGGCCTCATAGGGGGGGTCTCGGCCTCCACGGATCAGGATGATCGCTGGGTTGCCGAGTTGTGCCGGGAAAATGCGTCCTTGACTGGGGACCAACGGTCCGCGCTTCGCGCGCTGTTGGGAAAGTATTCCGACGTCTTTAGTTCGGACGATTTCGATTTGGGACGCACCTCCTTGCTCTCCCACCATATTGATACGGGGGATGCCGCTCCGATTCGGATGAACCCTCATCGATTGAGTCCGACGGAGCGGGATCATGTACCCGGCGCGGTGGAGGATATGCTGGCCGCTGACATTATTTCCCCGTCCAACAGTCCGTGGGGCGCCCCGGTGGTCCTTTTGAAGAAAAAGGATGGGAAATTGCGATTTTGTGTCGATTTTCGCAAGTTAAATAAGGTGTCAGTTGCGGACGCGTACCCCCTGCCGCGTATGGATGATTCCCTCGATGGCTTGTCTGGGGAAATTTTTTTTTCGGGATTCTGGCAACTTCCCCTGGACGAGTCCTCGAGGGAAAAGATGGCTTTTTGTACACCGCAGGGCTTGTTTCAGTTTGTCTTCCCATGGGCTTGAACGCCGCCCCGGCGACGTTTTAGCGGCTCATGGAGCTCGTGTTGGCCGGTCTGCAGTGGGACACGTGTTTGATATATTTAGATGATGTTATCGTCTTCAGCCGCACGTTTGAGGAACATCTGCGGAGATTGGACGCGGTGTTTGCTAGGATGCGTTCCGCCAATTTGAAATTTAAGCCCAAAAAGTGTCACCTATTGCAGCGATCTGTGCGCTATTTGGGCCACATAGTCAGTTCGGACGGGGTGGCCACGGACCCGGAGAAGACAGCGTGCGTCCGAAACTGGCCGACTCCGACCACAGTGGGGGACGTGCGTCGGTTCGTTGGGTTCGCTTCCTATTACCGCAGGTTCGTTCCAAATTTTCCCACGATCGCTAGGCCGTTGCACCACCTCACGGTGAAGGGCTGGAGGTTCAGCTGGGGACCGACGGAGGAGGCGGCGTTTCAGAGCCTACGCGATCGTTCGGCGTTGGCGTCGACGCTGGACTATCCAGATTTTACTCGCCCTTTTATTCTGGATACTGACGCGAGTGACACCGGGATTGGGGCCGTTTTGTCCCAGTCTAAGGGCGGCGTCGAACGCGTGGTGGCTTACGGTAGCCGCGTGTTGTTTCCGGTGGAGACCCGCTACTGGGTTACTCGTCGGGAACTCTTGGCCATAGTGCATTTTCTTCGACAATATCGGCCGTATCTTTACGGCCGTACGTTTATTGTGCGCATGGACCATGCGGCTTTGCAATATTCCCTGAGGGTTGACCAACCGTCTGGCCAATTGGCATGATGGTTGGAAACCCTGCAGGAATTTAATTTGAGATTCAGTATCGTAAAGGATCGCGTCACGCGAACGCGGACGCACTCTCCAGATTGCCGCAGGGGTCCCTTTGTGCCTGCGTTTCGGGCACGAATAGGTGCACACGGGTTCCGCTGCCGCCTCGGCCTGTTATGTCCGATGTGGAGGTGCCTGAGGCTCCCGCGTGTCCAGAAATGGCTGATGGGGTTTTGAATCTGCCGCGTTCGGTATGGGTTCGCGAGCAATTGCTCGATGAATCGCTGGGGGCCTTGCGGGGTCGGGCTGCGAAGGAGAGACGTGGACCGCTGTCCGATGGGATGCCGGGAGCTGCTCTCCGGGATGGCTTGTTGATGTGGAGGGAAGGGTTGCACGATCGCTGGCATCTTGTTGTACCGCCATCGTTGCGATATGAGTTGATTCGGGCTCTGTTACATCTCGGGGTGCAGAAAACCTTGTTGACGTTACAGCGGGATTATTTTTGCCACGGCATGACGACTGATGTCGTCGGGCACATTCGGGCGTGCTCCGACTGTGCTCGGCGGAAACCGCCTAAACACCCATATGTTCCACCAGTGCAGTCCATACAGGTGTCACGGATTAACGAGTTGGTGGAGTTGGATATTTTGGGACCCTTTCTGCCGTCCGCTCAGTGGAATACATTTTTGTTGGTTTGGGTGGAATATCTTTCCCGCTGGCCGATGGCCTGGCCCTTAGCCGATCAGTCAGCGGCGTCTATCACGGAGGCGTTCCTGTTCGGATACGTAATGGACAAAGGGGCACCGGAAAGGTTGCTCACGGACCAAGGGCGAAATTTTTCTTCCAAACTGTTGGCCGAGGTATGCGCTGCACTGGGGACCAAGAAGGTTTGGACGTCTCTCTACCATTCGCAAACGGATGGGATAGTTGAACGGCTCAATCGGACCCTGTCGACCATGCTCTGTCATACGGTTAGCGAAAAACAGGCTGATTGGGATTTGCATATCCCTGGGGTGCTCTCCGCATACGGGATGACGCCACATGCGTCGACGGGGTACTCACCTTTCTTTTTGATGTACGGCTGCGAGAATGTGCCGCCGGTGGACGTGCAACTGAGCACGGGGGCGAAGGGTCCTGTCAAGCATCTCCCTGATTATATTCGAGACACCGTTCGTCGTGTGGCAGAGGCGCGGGAGGGATCCCGATTGGCTACAGCCAAGACCCAGGCCCGGAACGAACATTGTGCACGACGCTCGCATTGTGAGTCCCCCTGGCGGGTGGGGGACATGGCCTGGCTGCACTGCCCGCAGGTACCGGTGGGGACCTCCCCTAAGTTGCACAAACCGTGGCAGGGGCCGGTTGTGCTTATTGAGGTTCCTAGTCTGCAGTCCGCGCGTGTTCGGTTCGGATCGTGGCGCTGGTACGTTCATACGTCTCGATTGAAACCCTACGTGGCCCCGCGGATGGATGCGTCATCTCCTAATGTTGCCTTGCCGGTGTCTGTCGCGACCGACGCGCCACTGACTTTGCCTGTTCAACCTGCAAGCGCGCCTGTCGTGCCTCCTGTAGACGGACCGGCTGTGATCCTGCCGGACACGGTGATTCCTGCTCCGGGTGGGCCTACCACGGCGACGGGGACACTTGGCCCCGCTGCCCCTCCAACCCCGCCGCGGGCGCAGTTAGAGGAGGCCCCGACGACGGGCCTCTCTGGGGAACGGGACGCTGGGATTGACAGGTCTCCAACAGCGGCGGGCGGTTCCGGTCCTGCCGCTCCTAAAACCCTGTCAAGATCACGGTCCGTGCGGGGGCCGCCCCCCGTGCGGGACGGGCTGGCGACCCGCACTCGTTCTAAGTCCCTTCCCTTTCGTTAATTGTTGTTGTCCTAATATCCGTTTGTCTTGTGATTCCTGATTGTCATGTTGTTGCTCGCATTATTGTTGTTCTCTTGCAGCCGGGGACGGCTGGCTTTTTCATCAGGGGGGGGGGTCATGTAATGCGAGCAAGAACAGGGTGGTTGCTGGCCTCCACGCCACTCACACGGCCCGGAGTATTGGGGGGCGGAGCCTGGTCGGCGGAGCGTGTGGGAGGAGCTACTGCTCACCTCGGCTCCAATGGGAGACGGGGTGAACGGGGGGCGGAGACGGGGGCAGTACGGGAAGGAGGAGTCAGGGTCACGTGATGGGGAGGATATAAGGAGAGAGCCGGAAGAGATCGAGAGGTTGGAAGAGAGTGAGAATAGAGAGGAAGCCACGCTGGGCAGTGGCGGAGAAGTGGCGCCATTTGCCACGTGGTCGGAGACCTACGCGCACCATAGGCCAGCGGTGTGCGTGGGGTGCCGGGGCTAGCAGAGTGTGGAGGGGCTCGCAAAGTGTGCGGGGCACACGTAGCTAGCGAGTGGCTAGCACGGTGTGCAGGGGCACACGGACCAGCGGTGTGGCTGGCGGCATGTGCGGAGGGGCACACGGAGGAAGCAGTGCGGCCGCAGTGTGGGCAAGGGCCACAGGGAGCGTGCGCGGGGCTCACGGCAGAGGCGGCGCGGGTCCGGACGAGGACCAGTGGGGTGCGAGACAACAACCCAAATAAAGGATGAACGGAGACCTACATCGCCTGACCGAGTCCTTTATTACACCTGTATAAAAGACACCTGTTCACAGAAGCAATCAGATTCCAAACTCTCCACCATGGCCAAGACCAAAGAGCTCTCCAAGGATGTCAGGGACAAGATTGTAGACCTGCACAAGGCTGGAATGGGCTACAAGACGATCGCCAAGCAGCTTGGTGAGAAGGTGACAACAGTTGGTGCGATTATTCGCAAATGGAAGAAACACAAAATAACTGTCAATCTCTCTCGGCCTGGGGCTCCATGCAAGATCTCACCTCGTGGAGTTGCAATGATCATGAGATCGGTGAGGAATCAGTCCAGAACTACACGGGAGGTTCTTGTCAATGATCTCAAGGCAGCTGGGACTATAGTCACCAAGAAAACAGTCGGTAACACACTACGCCGTGAAGGACTGAAATCCTGCAGCGCCCGCAAGGTTCCCCTGCTCAAGAAAGCATATATACATGCCCGTCTGAAGTTTGCCAATGAACATCCGAATGATTCAGAGGACAACTGGGTGAAAGTGTTGTGGTCAGATGAGACCAAAATGGAGCTCTTTGGCATCAACTCAACTCGCCGTGTTTGGAGGAGGAGGAATGCTGCCTATGACCCCAAGAACACCATCCCCACCATCCCCACCATCAAACATGGAGGTGGAAACATTATGCTTTGGGGTGTTTTTCTGCTAAGGGGACAGGACAACTTCACCGCATCAAAGGGACGATGGACGGGGCCATGTAGCGTCAAATCTTGGGTGAGAACCTCCTTCCCTCAGCCAGGGCATTGAAAATGGGTCGTGGATGGGTATTCCAGCATGACAATGACCCAAAACACATGGCCAAGGCAACAAAGGAGTGGCTCAAGAAGAAGCACATTAAGGTCCTGGAGTGGCCGAGCCAGTCTCCAGACCTTAATCCCATAGAAAATATGTGGAGGGAGCTGAAGGTTCGAGTTGCCAAACGTCAGCCTCGAAATCTTAATGACTTGGAGAAGATCTGCAAAGAGGAATGGGACAAAATCTCTCCTGAGATGTGTGCAAACCTGGTGGCCAACTACAAGAAACGTTTGACCTCTGTGATTGCCAACAAGGGTTTTGCCACCCAGTACTAAGTCATGTTTTGCAGAGGGGCCAAATACTTATTTCCCTCATTAAAATGCAAATCAATTTATAACATTTTTGACATGCGTTTTTCTGGATTTTTGTTGTTGTTATTGTCTCTCACTGTTCAAATAAACCTACCATTAAAAATATAGACTGATCATTTCTTAGTCAGTGGGAAAACGTACAAAATCAGCAGGGGATCAAATACTTTTTCCCTCACTGTAAACATGTATACATACATGAAAGTAGTTCAACATACGGACATACATGCATATTACCGCCACGTGCTGTTGCACACGGAGACCTAAAGCATGAACACGAGTGCAACTACGGTGTACCGAAAAATGTCAGCAGGGATGAATAATGAATGAAACACAAAGCAACGTGTTCGCTGTGGCATCGACGAGAGATCCCGCTGTCTCACGGACGTGGCGCGCGGGAACTCTAAAGCGGGGTGCGCAATCAGAGTGAGTGTTGGGAAGTGAAGCTTTTGTGAGGCACCTGCTGCTTGTTTTTCCAGAGCTGCTCCGAGGCAAAAAATCAGGCAGAGCACAAAGGCACCACGTGTCACCCAAGGCAGCAAGCACGAAGAGTAGGTTCCACAATCGCACGTAAATGGAGCACGTGGTGAGGATTTAACGTGTACGTGTTCACAGCTGCTTGATATTTAGGTGCAGTTTTCTGGGTTCGGTTGAGTGTGGAGCATTTTTTATAGAAATATTTCGCCACGCATACCTGCAGGCACCGTCTTAGCACGGTGACATAGTCTCCTGGTAGCGCATTTGCCGCTTGCTGCAGATGTTCACGGTGTGAATCCAGCGCCCGCCCTGATTAATATTGCGAGTGTATGAACCATTATAATACAAAACGTTCATCTGATTCACAGAGAACGTTAAAGATCCCATGACATCATGAACAAGAGGAAGCCGATGTGTGTTGGCGTCATGGTCAGAAATATAAACATTTGAAAATTACCCGCAAATTACCCCATTCAAAATAAACGCAGCAATCACTACCCTCGGCTGCAAAAATCGGGCAGGACCCTGCTGAAAGATGTCATGCGAATCAGCGAGGCTTTCCTGGGTGAACGAGTGCAGTAATAATTAAATAAATATTAATCTCGAATTAAACTCCTCGAGATGCCCACAGTAGTGCGTCATGGAAACAAGGGAGGAAATGCTGAACGCGCAGCCAAACCAGGAAACCACACTTGTATGGAGCGAAGGTCCCCTAGCACACGTTCAATGACGAATCGTAGCATGACAACGTTAAACGGTGCGAAGCCCCAAAGGTGCCGAGTGGTCCGATTGAACCGGGGGAGGGGAGAACCCTGCAGCGTGCAGTCTACTCTGCTATATCAATTCACCGTCACATTTCCTACGTCCACCTGAGCTTTACAGTCCCGTGGGGGAAGGAACGTAATATGAACATTAATGAATACACAATTACCTTTTGTGAGGCTTGGGATCCAAACTTGGCAGCCTGAAATAAACAGGAAAATTCAACTCTGAACCAAGTGCACCGTAATTTTGTAATAATTCGTTTTTTTACATTTTCACCATTAACCTCATCAACATTCGTGTTTCTTACTTGCCTTTGGACAATTTATAAAAAAATGTGAAAACATTTTCCAAGGCCGATTTTTTGTATTCTTTATCCATAAATTGTACTCTGCTAATAATGATTCCATCTTGTAACATGCCGCACATTATTTGCACACTCTAGTGTGAGAACGACTCAAAGGCGCGAGGAGCAACCACAGACAAGCTGGACGGCTGCCACACCATGAGCCGGTGCTAATAATCCCCCAAGCTCAGTCGTCCTCTACATATGAAGGTGTTATCAGTCAATTAATGAGTGTTTACATGTGGGAGAAAACCGGAGCATCCGGAGAAAAGCCACACGTGCGACAGGGAAACACTCCATCTCATACAGACGGAACAGGTGGAGCAAGCTATTTTTCTGTACTGCTATCTTGCCATCCAGGGTATGGCTGATCGATGCCCCCAGGGAGTTTCACAACATGTGTACTATCCACCAACCCTCACTGCCTCCAGAGCGCTGGATTACAGGCGTGAGCCATCACTTCCCGACGACAATCTATACTTGCATGCCCACCGTCATTTGTGAAACGCGTGTTCATTGTCTTTCCTTTTCAGTTTATCATCTTCTTATTTGAGATACATACAAAATTATCAGATTCCTATTTAAGTTAAGTCAATTAAGGGAGACTTTCACTTGTGTTTTAATGAAATTGGCTGATGGAGCCAAAGCCAGGGCATGAACGGAGGTGTTTGTTTTGGTTCAGTTCACATAAGGTTACGTTATTTCCCGTATAAACTGGAGTTGCTATGTACACGTAGCTTATTTAGGCTGTTTAGACAACATGGTTCGTGCACGTTTTCTTATTTGTTCCACGCATTACCCATATAGACCCTCCTTCAGTATAATGTGTTCAGTGACGGTGCTGTCATAAAGCATATTTACACAACCAAGTGTGAAAGTGCTCCAGCCAATCGGGCTGAATAGGTCAAGCCGAATGAATAGGTCAGGCCTGGTAAATAGATAAGGTATGTGCGAGGTCAGGCATGACTTGCAGTAGCAATTAAGATCTATAAGCTGCAATATTCCTATTGAAACGTGCAATAACATTCAGAACATGTCTATCTGTCATGTGGAGCTGTTCATAAAACATGTGCACATATACCATTACATTTAAGCCAGGTCAGAGAGTTGGGACTTTACCAGAGCAACGATGAAAGTAATGTCCACCTTCTGAATAAAGGTGCACTTGGGAGAATGCCAGGAATGCCATGTAAGGATAGGGTCAGTAACTTAGGCGTTCGCAATCGAACATGGCAAGAAACCTTTGACGATGTAGTGGGGAAAAGTGGGCGGTGATGGGCGAGACGTGGGCACAGGATGGAGGAGGGCAGATTACCGAGAACGGCATTGGAGCGGTACTCAGAGGGCGGCACTAAGATCGCAACGCATGTCACCACGTGGCGGCACACAAAGGGGGATGTACATCATGTCTTAATCAGCATAACAGATGCTACAAATGTATGGTGGGGAGGGGGGGGGGGTTGAATGATACACGTGGGAAAGTGTGGAGTCAGAGAAGGCTTAATGCAGGAATGTTTCAGATTGTTTCAAGGAGGGGTTTTGTGGAATTTCATTTTTTATATATCAGTGCAGGAAAATATGCAAAGCTAAGATTATAAAAAAAAGGTTTCTCTGTTATTTGGTCTTAATGAAAAGCTAAACATGTCGTTCAAGACTAACACTGAGAGGTCATGTAATAAAATGTTTGTGATGCCAATGCAGATGATGGTAACGCTGATGTTACTAATCATGCTCCTTAGCCATGTATCAATTAAATCGTACAATCTGAAGATGGATTTTAATAAACACGTACGCCAAGCTCTTAAAGCTAATGGTTACACTGACTACACAATCCGCAAAGCCATCACTCCAACCATCAAGAAGGATCCTGTTGAGGAGCCTTTCAAAACCATCACCTTACCCTACATTGCTGGGGTCACAAAAAAGATCTCCAAAATCTTGATAAAACACAAGATCCAGGTCCAATTCAACACAGTACATAAAATGCGTGATCTGGTCCCGTCTGTAAAAGATGTGGTTCCAGATATATAGTACCCTGGCGTCTACAAACTAAGTTGCCTCTGTGGTAGCAGTTACATTGGAGAAACCAAACGACATGTCTCGGACCGAATCCGTGAACATAAAGCAGACTTGAAACACGGTAGGACAAACACATCAGCCGTGGCAGATCACTGTTACAATTCAGTGGGCTCACATGACATTGACTTCTCCAAGACAGAGGTTCTCTGCAAGCCATCTGGCTACCATGAGAGATTCGTTCATGAGGCGATCCACATATACAAACACAGAGAAAATTTCAACCGAGAAGATGGATTCTGGCTCAATAATCATTGGAAGGATGTAATAAACCATTTCGGATCTTAACTGATTGTGTTCACGTTTACAGTGACTTTCAGACCGCGTTCCACTCACTGGCATTGACTATATATCTTGTATTCTCTGCAGGGAATAGATTCTTTGCTCCGCTGCAAGTCTCCAACCACCACTCTCCCATTGACATATTTCGCTGCTTCCTCTTAGTATCTTTCACGCGACGGTCAATGGTATAGTGTATAGCGGATTGTATAATAATAAATAGTATAAAATTGTAATGTTTAATACAATGTACAAGGTAATACATGGTGTCGTAGTTGTATGGTGAATATGCAGCAGTGTGGTGTGCAGTAGGGTGGGTAGAATAATACACATTGTCAAGGCGCTCTTCCTCCTCCCTCCCAGCTTAAATAGACGCTCCAAGCCCAGGACGTGTTATTCAGACTCTGTCTTATCGACAGACCTGTTCTTCACCTGAGGACGGCTGCTTGCGTTGTGGCCGAAACGTCGTGATAATAATTTTATTAAGTTTTATTTTTATTATTTTATTATTTCCATTCTACGTGACTTTACCGAAAGAACCAAAAAGATGAATCCCTGCAGTCACGAAAGCTTTAAATTGAAACAAAACAGGTGTTAAGTTGTTAAAACATCAAACTGACACCTTTTACAAGGAATCATGTCTGCATTAACCACAATACTTGTCGCCAAAATGCAAACAAAAAACACTCTGATAATACATGCATTGTCTTTGAAACTGATTGGTCCACACCAGAGACAGCTTTCTTTTGAGCCATATCTCAAATGGTGTTACACCAGACGACGCCAAAATGCGTAGAGCACAAAGACAATGCCACTATCAGAGTAATGAGAGCTCGGTGAGAGCAGCTACACCATGGGACCTCCTTTACCAGTACCAAAATATGAGAATAAGTTTTTCCCCTTTTATCTGGCAACAAAACAGGTGTTAAAAGTTGTTAAAACACCAAATTGAAACCATTAATAAGTGTAGTGAGTCCAACTGAGTCGCAGACGTTGCTCTTTGGAGGCAACACTTTTATGTAACATCAACACCTAAGACAATGGGGGTAACTGCCCCTTCACCAGATACAGCCTAGGGTGGTGACCACCAGCTAACTACGCTTTCCTGAGGAGTTACAGCTACGAAGGGTCGGGTCCTCGACCACGTGTTGATGTCTTTGGAGCGGTACTCAGAGGGCGGCACTAAGATCGCAACGCATGTCACCACGTGGCGGCACACAAAGGGGGATGTACATCATGTCTTAATCAGCATAACAGATGCTACAAATGTATGGTGGGGAGGGGGGGGGGTTGAATGATACACGTGGGAAAGTGTGGAGTCAGAGAAGGCTTAATGCAGGAATGTTTCAGATTGTTTCAAGGAGGGGTTTTGTGGAATTTCATTTTTTATATATCAGTGCAGGAAAATATGCAAAGCTAAGATTATAAAAAAAAGGTTTCTCTGTTATTTGGTCTTAATGAAAAGCTAAACATGTCGTTCAAGACTAACACTGAGAGGTCATGTAATAAAATGTTTGTGATGCCAATGCAGATGATGGTAACGCTGATGTTACTAATCATGCTCCTTAGCCATGTATCAATTAAATCGTACAATCTGAAGATGGATTTTAATAAACACGTACGCCAAGCTCTTAAAGCTAATGGTTACACTGACTACACAATCCGCAAAGCCATCACTCCAACCATCAAGAAGGATCCTGTTGAGGAGCCTTTCAAAACCATCACCTTACCCTACATTGCTGGGGTCACAAAAAAGATCTCCAAAATCTTGATAAAACACAAGATCCAGGTCCAATTCAACACAGTACATAAAATGCGTGATCTGGTCCCGTCTGTAAAAGATGTGGTTCCAGATATATAGTACCCTGGCGTCTACAAACTAAGTTGCCTCTGTGGTAGCAGTTACATTGGAGAAACCAAACGACATGTCTCGGACCGAATCCGTGAACATAAAGCAGACTTGAAACACGGTAGGACAAACACATCAGCCGTGGCAGATCACTGTTACAATTCAGTGGGCTCACATGACATTGACTTCTCCAAGACAGAGGTTCTCTGCAAGCCATCTGGCTACCATGAGAGATTCGTTCATGAGGCGATCCACATATACAAACACAGAGAAAATTTCAACCGAGAAGATGGATTCTGGCTCAATAATCATTGGAAGGATGTAATAAACCATTTCGGATCTTAACTGATTGTGTTCACGTTTACAGTGACTTTCAGACCGCGTTCCACTCACTGGCATTGACTATATATCTTGTATTCTCTGCAGGGAATAGATTCTTTGCTCCGCTGCAAGTCTCCAACCACCACTCTCCCATTGACATATTTCGCTGCTTCCTCTTAGTATCTTTCACGCGACGGTCAATGGTATAGTGTATAGCGGATTGTATAATAATAAATAGTATAAAATTGTAATGTTTACTACAATGTACAAGGTAATACATGGTGTCGTAGTTGTATGGTGAATATGCAGCAGTGTGGTGTGCAGTAGGGTGGGTAGAATAATACACATTGTCAAGGCGCTCTTCCTCCTCCCTCCCAGCTTAAATAGACGCTCCAAGCCCAGGACGTGTTATTCAGACTCTGTCTTATCGACAGACCTGTTCTTCACCTGAGGACGGCTGCTTGCGTTGTGGCCGAAACGTCGTGATAATAATTTTATTAAGTTTTATTTTTATTATTTTATTATTTCCATTCTACGTGACTTTACCGAAAGAACCAAAAAGATGAATCCCTGCAGTCACGAAAGCTTTAAATTGAAACAAAACAGGTGTTAAGTTGTTAAAACATCAAACTGACACCTTTTACAAGGAATCATGTCTGCATTAACCACAATACTTGTCGCCAAAATGCAAACAAAAAACACTCTGATAATACATGCATTGTCTTTGAAACTGATTGGTCCACACCAGAGACAGCTTTCTTTTGAGCCATATCTCAAATGGTGTTACACCAGACGACGCCAAAATGCGTAGAGCACAAAGACAATGCCACTATCAGAGTAATGAGAGCTCGGTGAGAGCAGCTACACCATGGGACCTCCTTTACCAGTACCAAAATATGAGAATAAGTTTTTCCCCTTTTATCTGGCAACAAAACAGGTGTTAAAAGTTGTTAAAACACCAAATTGAAACCATTAATAAGTGTAGTGAGTCCAACTGAGTCGCAGACGTTGCTCTTTGGAGGCAACACTTTTATGTAACATCAACACCTAAGACAATGGGGGTAACTGCCCCTTCACCAGATACAGCCTAGGGTGGTGACCACCAGCTAACTACGCTTTCCTGAGGAGTTACAGCTACGAAGGGTCGGGTCCTCGACCACGTGTTGATGTCTTGCAAGACGTAGAGCTTCAGCTTGTGGACGTGGAGCTTCAGCTTGTCGGATGCAGTGACCCCAGTCCCTCTCAGGGACCCATCTTATATCCCCTCACGGGTCGGGACTGCTCCGCCCTTGGCCCCGCCTGCCTTCTGGAGCCTTCTAGCTTCCTCTCGAGAGCTCTCCCCGGACACGGGGTCAACCAGAGTGCATCGTGTGCCGTGGCCCTCTCGGGCCGGCACCATACGGTGACATCCCCGATGTCACTACACAAGGAATAATGTCTGAATAAATCACAACGGTACTGGCAAAGAAGGTCCCATGATGTAGATGCTCACCCCGAGCTCTCATTACTCCAATAGTGCATTGTTTTTGTGCTGTACGCCTTTTGGCGTCCTCTGGTCTAACACCATTTGAGATATGGCTGAAAAGAAAGCTGTCTCTGGTGTGGACCAATCAGTTTGAAAGACAATGCATATATTATCACAGTATGTTTTTGTTTGCATTTTGACCACAGGTATTGTGGTTAATGTAGACATGATCCCTTGTAAAAGGTTTCAGTTTTGTGTTTTAACAACTTAACACCTGTTTTGTTTCCAGATAAAAGGGGAAAAACTTATTTTCATATTTTGGTACTGGCAAAGGAGGTCCCATGATATCATATATTTTGTATTAGTGGTTCTATTAGCCTATGAGGTGCATTTGCACGTAATTTGCATACATTGTAAATCATTGATTCGTAGATGCACGATGCGTGGCATACATTATGAGCATCGGAATCTAGGAGAGTGCGAGGAAAGTGACATTGGTATACATGCAGCTCTCACCCCTTCTTTGGCTGCAGCAGCGATCTTGCTGGCTCCCACCGCAAAGCTGCTCCAGCCCTTTCAAAAGCAACACAAATCATGAAACAACTTGGATAGTGCCAACCACTGTTTATTATTATTATGCTTGTTCACCCAGGAGAGGCTCACTTTAGTCTCAATTCTTTTTCAGCAGGGACCTGCCAAGTTTTGGCAGTAGAGGGGTGATGTTGCTGCCATGTGTGATCCCAATTGAGTCATTTGCAGGCAATCTTTCAGCATTGAGGGCGCCACAGTGGCAAGATTTTATCTGCCTTGCCTGGTATACAGGAGGTTGTGGGTTCGATCCCGACCCTGACGCCTGTATATTTTGGACTTTGCACGTTCTCCCCGTGGTGGCGTGGATTTTTCTCTGGGTCCTCCGGTTTTTCCCTCCACATGATAAGCCACTTCGTTGAGTTGCCATTTGTGAAAAAGAGCTCGAGAGATCAGTGGTCCTTACCTGGTAAAATAAAAATTAGTTTAGTTTAAGTTTAGATGTTTGACCAATACCAGTTATACTATTGTGTTTTTTTTTGCTCTAAGAAGAAACCCGGAGAACCCGGGACAAAGCCCATGCAGAATGGAAGGGGGGGGGGGGAACATACAAACTGCAAACAGAAAGACGCCCAAGTCAGGAATTGAACCAAGATCCTCTTTGCTGTGAGGCACAAGTGTTACCACTGTGCCACCCTGCCACCCAATAACATATGAATGTATGAGGTTGTTCGTCAACATCATTCGACCTGGTTTTGTGACTGTTGTTCCTATCCAAACACTTCCCCGTATAAACATCATCATGAACATCATCACCATCGTGGAACTTGGGTGAACAATTATTAATTATTACAGGTGCGACAATAACCCACATGTACGAGAACACAATGTACATCTTAGGTCATACAAATAACGTTGTTTAAATCTTTGCATACTAAAATTTCATTATGACAGCTCTATTGGATTTGTATGTTTTTTACCTAAAAGTTTCCCCCAAGGGACAGTTATTGTATATGTCGGGTTATGAAATTTTGATTAAAATAATAAATATTAATCAAATAAAAAAAGAGTAATTCGAATAAATTATGCTAATGTATATAATTATATGCATAATTTATGATGATTACGGAGATAATCGTATTAATTTATGTGATTGCTTGCAATTATGTTATGATAATTAGGCTTAGCTTCGTTATCCAGAGTTGTATCAATCAGTTATAAAACGATTATCTTTGATTAAACATTTATTGATTATCTTAGTGTGTTTATATTATGTTAGGTCTCCAAATTCATATCTCAACGCAGGATACAGTTCTTATAAATAAGAGTTTTGCATGGACTTGGAAAGAAACACTCAAACGCTTTTGTTTAGCAATTTTAATTCTAAACAAAAATATGACACTAATATGAAAAGGCGAAAGCATACGTCAATAGATTCATGAGCAAGATTATGCAATTAACGAAAATGAATGACTAAAACACTTCTTATTCATGTAACTCGATGGCAGCAACTGCTTTGCACAATCAGTTGATATTGAACGCACCACCTTGAAATGGTAACCCTTTTCGAAACACAAAGATAACTTTTTGAAATAGTCTTCTTCGTGTACGTGTTGCGTGTGCGTTGTATTGTTCCCTTGATAACTATTGTTTTAAGCAGAGGCAGGGCGCTGTGTCGGACCTTGTGGGGTGGGGGAGGGGTATACAACCAGCGGCCAGAGAGGTTCCCTCTCGCTTGGGCGTGGCCGCAGCGAGCCCGTCTCCCGGCTTTCTCTCTCCGCAGCTGGATTGAGCGGCGTTGGCACGATGTTCGCCGTCGTGGTGCGCGATGATTCCGTTGTCGGATAACGTGCAGCTCCGCCACTGCTGGACGTCTTGTCTGTTCTCAGCGGATGCTGGTCGATGTGTGTATGTATTAAACACACGGCGCATTCGATGGCGCTCTCCTCTTCCTCTCGGGCGGCCGATCAGGCTTTTTCCCCTGTTGGATTACGGGTCGATAGGACGCTCGGTCGCTTGACGCTCGGTGACGCCCGGGTGGTGATGTTCGTGCGCTCTCTCTCTTCACTGCTAGACGAGTGGCGTCGGCACGACGCTCGCCGTCGTGGTGCGCGATGATTCCGTCGTCGGATAGCGCGCAGCTCCGCCACTGCTGGACGTCTTCTCTGTTCTCAGCGGGTGTTGGTCGATGTGTGTGTGTGTGCATTAAACACACGGCGCATTCGATGGCGCTCTCCTCTTCCTCACGGGCGACCGATCAGGCTCTTTCCACTGCTCCGTTCTCTCTGGCGATGCGCGATGGCTCTCGTCGCTGATCCGCTGCTGTTGGTCCTCTGCGATGCTCGCTTGGTCGATGCTTGGCAATTTCCGCCCTTTTCTCCAGGTTGATTGCTTGTTGTCGCTCGTCACTCTCTCTCTCTCTCATTTTCTCCGTGCTCTCTCCTTGATCGCTGCCAGCTTCACACGGACACACGCCCTTGCGTTGGCCCAGGCTCTGGACGACGCGGCTGTGCGCACTCACCGGCTTTGAGTGCTCTGGCGATGAACGATGCTCTCGTTCGTTGATGGGTTGACGTTGGGTTGATGTTGGGTGTCTTCGCTGGCTCGAGAATGATAACTGAAATCTCCGTCAGTTTCACTCGCACCTCTTAAAACAACTGTGAAGGCTTAGTACAAGGCCACTTGTTGCAATCCTTGACTTTGCGAGCATATCAACACATCAGGGTAACTGTAGCATAACTTTCAGCAATCCTCTTGTCGACTCATGCTGAACCCAACTCTCAAACACCCATCGTTACTGCTCTTTGCGAGACATAACACCCATGATATATCGGTGCCCGGCGCGTTTGCGACGGCCCCGTAAGCCTGAGCAAGGCTGAAGCAAGGCTCGAACCAGACTGCTCTGCGTGATGTGCGTTTGTGCTTAAAACCCAAAAACGTGAACCCCTCCCCTCTGCGCATCTCTTGCGAGAGAAACAACAACAGAAAAACAGACGTCCCCTGAATGTCAGGTCATAAACCCTTTTCGCGACCCTCTAACTCCCTTGCTCCCCCTGCGTGGGTCATCCCGAGGCCAGACCCCTCTACGGATTTGATGGCTGGCATGTTTGTGCCGAACCGTTGGAAGACAAAGGTGGCAGGGAGGTCCTGACGTTTGCTGTTTTTGATGGAATTCCACGTTTACCAGATGCACGGCGTGGAATGTGACGAGTAGTGGGTTGTTTTAATTATTTAATTAAAATATATATATATATATAATAAAAAAATTTGGCCTAATTATTCTTAACAGTCAGTGTTTGATAATTCAATGAGTTTAGGATATACAGTATAATTAAATAATGAAAGTTATAATTTACATTTCTTTTATTTCAAATAATTCGTTTTTATAATCCCGCAGAAGAAAGTTTGGTTTTAACTGCACATTTGTAATTTCAATTGATGTGTTGTTTTCCAATTTACACACACGCTACTAAATGTACATACCTCCCATATGGCTGTCGCGGATGGGATGTGTAAAAAAATACTTTTGCTTGTTATGTGGAGGGACAGATATGCGTAGGATGCACATCGTCTGCTTCGTCATTTTGTAACTTACCGAATGGAGTGAAGAGACACTGTTATTCGCCGCTTCCTCGGTGTTCTTCTCGGTCACCGTGGTACTGCCGAAGCCCACGTAGCGGCTTCCCTGTCCTCCATAGCCTGCGCCCCTGCAGCACACAAACCCAGCGGAGGCCAGGCAGCCAGCGCTACACAGTGGGATGCGGCCGATGAAAACAATGTCGCTCGACTGGATCGGGGTGACACCTCTGCTGCCAAACATGAGCAGGCCATATGTACTGCATATTGAACCTCTTTCGTACCGTACGTAGCCAAACGTGCTAATTGGAGGCCATCTGCACACTGCCCAGTACAAGACTTCTTCCACCCTCTCTAAAATCTCCCCATTATCCGTGAAGAGCTGGGAGGATTGAGCGTTCAATGGGAGTGCTAATACGGGTCTTTAGCATTGATACAATGGTGATAAGGCACCATCTTATATTTTCACGGTTCAGGTGCAGCAGCGTTGCAGCCTAACCTGCCCACAATTGTGAAGGTACCAAAGGCACGTGGCAGCAATGAACATTTATGACTGTGCTTTACTGACGATTCCGAATGAGGAAGAAACCGTCTGCAGTTGTGTCTTTGTGTCACTGCTGCCTGTCGAGATGGCCACATTCTCAAATCTTTGAGATGGTGCTCTACATGATAAATATGGCAGCATAGTCAGTTCTTTGAGGTGATGGTCTCGATAATGCCAAGAGCTTCGGTAAATACAATGCTGGACACCTTTGTGTGTTTTTAAATCCTGATCATGAAGGTCCTTGCTTGTGAACAGGGAGTTGATGACCGTAAAGGCACGAAGAAAGATGAATACGCACAGATCACTGCGGCGTTTCACAACAACCAGCGCATTTGTGTGGCACGTACACAAGAAGCAGCATGCAGAGTTCACTCACTTTTGGAAGGAAGTCCCATCTTCATTGAGCCACTCTTCAAAGCCGTTGTCTGGGTTTGTCTGGGATGACTGCATAAACGGTGGACTTCTAAAATTTGCGACAAAGTCACATTCAACTAAAAGGTTAGATGCAATTTTCAGCAAAGTACAATCGATGCAATTTACACACAATCCATTGATCTTAACCCTGTACCAAGTAGTTACGTAGACTAACCAATCAGAATTCCAGTAGCTGTACACGAGTCTGACCTGTAGATCAGTTGCCAAGGGAATTGGAACAGGATACACAGGGCAGGGAATCTATCCCCACAATAGTTGAGACAGGTTTTTTTTGTCAAATCCTGGTTAGGAGATGACTCAGCCCATCATCCCTCTGGGGTCAACAAAATAAATATCACTTTGTGGGAAAGCCAACAGTGGTTTTCCTGTGGATGGACTCATCCCCGCCATAGAACGTACAATTTCTACCACTCGCTCAGTGCTTGATTTTTTTACAGTCAACAGGCCATTACGGTCGATTATGTAGATGCCTCCACACCTGACCGTCGGTTCCTTCTGCCAAATCCCGTAGCCGTTGTAACCAAATACTGCGCCGGGATGGTGGGCTTCCCTTGGTCTAAACTAAACACTAAACTATAAAAACTTTTTTTATTTATTTTGCCAGGTAAGGCCCACTGAGCTTCATAGCTCTTTTTCAGAAGTGACCTGGCCACAAATGATAGCTCAACGAAGTGGCTTATCGTGTGGACATTTCTCGCAGCCGGATACTCTAAACGCATGTTGATTCTAAATGTGGAGGGAAAAACCGAAGGAGAAAAATCTGCACGACCACGGGGAGAACACGCAAACTCCAAATATCCAGCAGGCGTCGGGGTCTGGATCGAACCCACAACCTCCTCCATACCAGGCAAGGAAAATAACATCTCACCACCACGGCGCCAGTCTCGGTAACCTGCCACCCCCTCCTAAACACGTGTCCCACCCACCACAACCTCCTCTTCCTTATTAAATCTACAACACTTTGTTGTGAAAATTTTGGTTATTACTTGTATTACGTTATCTATGAAACGTCTAGCATTCTCCGCATGCACCTATATTCAAGGGACAGACATTTATTTTCAAGTTACTTTGTTAAAGTCCAATTCCCTGACCCCAAACGAGTGGATTTTATAAGTCCTGGGCGTGTTCCCATTGTGAAGATGGTTTATATTGAAGGATGAGGGCAATTTCAGTTTTCAGTGTTTTTTTCCCATTATAAAAAGGTAATGATGCAGCCCTGCAATGTCTTGCTCACATCACTGCTGGCGGAAGGGCCTCCAAAGGAGGAGCCCTATAGAGCCCCTCTTAGACCCTATTCAGCCAAATCTTCCACGTTGGTCGGACATCTTGGAAGAGGTGGGAATAACCACACTTTACACAATGACCTGCCGACCAACTACCTCCTGCAGTGTCCCCATTTATTCTGATACATGTATGGCTAAGCTTGGGAATTGGTGTACTTAAGCAATTTGAAGTTATATATGTTATATTAATAAAACATTTGTAATTTGCTTACCTTTCCTAAGCTTTGCACTCCTATCGTTATTATGCATTGTTTTTGTTGTAACTTTCTGAGCCGCCCCTAATGAACATCTGTGAAAAATAGAGCTTCATAGCTCATCGGATTTCTCCAGGATAAATAAAGATCCTGATGCTGATCTATGTGCTGTAGTTTTCCCGGCATGAGTGCCTTAATAACACAAAACCAACCATGAGCTGGCTCTGTGTTGTCATTTCTACGATGGCAGGACACGACCTGGGCAGGCGAATGACCGTGAAACCGGTTCAGTGGCTGTGGTGTTTAGACTAGGAATGGTGCACGTACTTGAGTGTGGCTGATGGGAACAGTTTGGGTTGGGCGGGGAGCCAGTCTCTGGCGGGTGATGTTTCTATGGTCCACTCCCGACCTTCTGCCAGAGCAGCGATCTAAAACGCAAACACAAGCAACGGTTGCAACGCACGTAACCGCTGCAGTCGTCAGCGCTGGGAAAAACAGCTGAGACAATATCCTGCAGAGATTACAAAATGCCGTCATGGAACTGTTTAAAAAAAGAATAGACGAGATGTGGCCTAAAATCATATAATAAAGAAATGGGAAACCGTAAAAGTGTGGTTTGTGTGAGTGTAGGTAGAGCGATGCCGAGGGCCTTGCCTTGTCCCTGTAGAGTGCTGCAGCTCGGCTGTTGTATTTGTCCTGCAGGGACCAGCTGGGATTGAAGTCCGGCTGCGTTTCCAGGAACTCGCGGAACTTGGAATTTCCTCCTACAAGCATCTTCTGCAGCTCCTTTTCCTTCCACTTGTCCATTGTCACAGAACGAACAAAGCTAGAAAACACCGAGAAAAACATCTCGGCATGTATTCCAACGGCGGTAAAATAATTTAACCTCACACTGACAGGCGAGGCACCGTGTCAATGGAAGAATTTACCTGCCATGACGTGCGCGTTTATGATGCACGCGGTGGCAAGATGTTAACTCCCTCGCCTGGTATGGAGGAGGTCGTGGGTTTGATCGCAACCCTGACTCCTGTATATTTGGAGTTTGCATGTTCTCTCTGTGGTCGCGTAGATTTTTCTATAGGTCCTTTGGTTTTTTCCTCCACATTTAAAATCAACATGCGTTTAGAGTACAGTATTTGGATACTATACATTTCCACATAAGCCACTGCGTTGAGCTATCAATTGTGACCAGTCGCTTCTGAAAACGATCTAGATAGGTAAAGAAAAGAAAAACATAAGAGTCGACCTGCGTGTTTTCCTTCCACCCCTAGTTTTTTTAAGTTCTTAATATTACATTGCCATGTGCAGTTAAGTGCAGGTAAGTGCTGAACGCGAGTTACGCATCATAGTGGGGCATAGCGACCAACAGCTTCTCTCGCTCAATGCATCACTTTGCTCGCACCTATACTCCTGTAATGGGCTCAGATAGGTACACACAACTTCTTGGGAGGGAACACTATTTATTAACACCAACAGGTTACACTTAACATAGGGTGGTAACCACCGACCAGCTCTAACTAATACACACCATCACTCGCTAACACGGACTCTCAGTTACAGCCAGGTGGGCTACTGGTGGGTCCACTGACTGGAGGCTTGACTCTTCTTAGGAGGCGTCTTCACGATGCATCTTCTTTCTTGACACGAGCAGCCCCGAACCCAGTGGGGAGGCTGCTTATATGGGTCTCGGCGTGTCCGGGCCCCACCTCGGTCAAGGCGGGCCGAAGCACGCCGGAGGGCGATGGGGTAATGTTAAAACAGGTGGGCAGCCGCGGCCCCTCCGGCGGGGCGGCGGGGCTGGCGGAGGTCCATGGGGCGACCTCCGCACCACCTGGAGCGGGACGTCCACACGAGCAGCTCCTGAAGATATGGAGGGGATCACGGGTTCCAGTCTTGCGGGCGGGACCACAGAGCCACCCTGAGGGTACCTCAACAGGCGCGTCCCCCAGCTCGCCCGGCGTACCAGACATGCGGTCCTCGGGGATTGGGGATGAATGAACACGCCGGGGTGGAACGAACGGTTTAAGCCGCGACGGGTGAACAAACCAAGACCGACGACCGAACCGTATTTTCACACACTGGGGGCGGTCGGCTTCCACAACCTCGACCGGCCCACGCCAAGGTTTGTATAACTTTGGAAACGTCCCAACCGGCACCTGCGGGCAGTGCAGCCAGGCCATGTCCCCAGGGACCCACTGTTTGCCTGACACCCGACGGCCCCGCAAGCGTTCGTTGGCCCACTGCTTAGCAGCCAAATGTGCTCTGGAGGTCTCGCGCGCTTCCGAGACACGATGATGGGTGAATCGCATTGGATTGGGAATGGCCACCTTGGCCTTAGAAGGACTCACCTTGAGCTGAATGTCAATGGGGGGGGGGCTAGGTTCCCAGCCATACATAAGAAAGAAGGGCAAGTAGCCCGTAGAAACATGGGGGGCCATTTTGTAGGCTGCAAGCACCCCCGGGACACGTAGGTCCCAATCTTTGTGACTCGTCAACCTGGTGGCTCAGATTAAGCCTTTCCACCATTCCATCCGTTTGGGGGTGGTAGGGCGAGGTGCGAACCTTCTCGGTGCCCAGAAGATTGCACACCTACTTCAGCAGGCTGACCGAAAAATTTCTCCCTTGGTCAGTAAGGAGGTGCTCCAGGGCCCCTTGTCCAGCACGTACCCATGCAGGAACGCCTCAGCAATGCTGACAGCTGTCTGATTGGGGAGCGGCCAAGCAGCAGGCCACCGTGAGAAATATTCGACCCCCACAAGCAAATATTTGTTTCCCTGGGCCGTAGTGGGATATTGTAATAAATTGCAAGGGTGGGCAGCATTTAACAGGTGGCGGCTTCCGGCGTGCACACTGCACACAACCCTTGATGATATTCGCGACATCCGCCGCCATGCCGGGCCAAAAATAATATAATTTCAGGGCAGTAAGCGTCTTGTGCCGTCCCAAGTGCATCAGCCGTTCATGAACGGCGACGACCAGCCTACCTCTGAGGCATGTGGGCACCACGACGTTATAACGCTGCAGCCCGCCGTCCTTTGAGGACGGCAGTAGCAACCTCCCGACGGCCTGCGGCATCACAAGGGACGGGAGGGCGGCGTGATTGGAGCGCACCTCGAAAGTCCTGCCATATAAATAGGGCCGGTACTATGAGACATTTGTACCAGTTGAAAGGGTAAAAACCTATTACTATATTTTGCCACTGGTAAAGGAAATGTCTCATAGTGGAAATGCTTACCCCGAGCTCTCAATACTCTGATAGTGCACTGTTTTTGAGTTGTACGCCTTTTGGTGTCATATGGTCCAACACCAATGGAGACTAGGCTCTAAGAAAAGCTGTCTCGGGTGTGGACCAATCAACTTCAAGGACAGTGCATATCATTATCATTATCAGAGTTGTTTATTTTTGTTTGCATTTTGACATCTTGTGTTGTGGTTATTGCAAACATGATGCCTTGTATAAAGGTGTCAGTTTTTGTACCAGTTGAAAGGGTAAAAACCTATTACTATAGGGCAGGTACTGCTGCACAAAAAATACAATGCCGAGCAGCTCCCTCCGCGTTACACAATAACGCTTCTCGGCCGGCGAGAACACCCTGCTCCCGTACGCCACCACCCTCTCGACGCTGCCAATCATCTGCGACAATACAGCACCGATGCCCGTATTGCTGACATCGGTGTCCAGGATGAAGGGTAGGGAGAAATCAGGGTACCGCAGGGGAGGGGCGTGCACCAACCCATCCCAGAGTGCAACCAAGGCGGCCTCCTCCACACTCCAGTGAAATTTCTGCCCCTTCACCGTGAGAGCATGGAGAGGCTTGGCAATGGTGGCGAAATTAGGCATAAAATGACGATAATACGAAGCGAAGCCGATAAACTGTGGACCTCACCCACAGACGTGGGGGTGGGCCATGTGCGCAGACACGCAGTTTTATCGGGATCAGTCGCGATGCCCGATTCGCTCACAATGTGTCCAAGGTACCGCACCGACTTTTGCAACAGATGGCACTTTTGGGGCTTGAATTTTAGATTAGCCAGTCTCATTTTGAGAAAAACAGTGCGCAACCTCCCGAGGTGCTCCTCAAACGTGCGTCCGAACACAATTACATCATCTAGGTAAAGAGTCCTGCCAAAACCAATTCCATTAACCTCTGGAAGGTAGCCGGGGTAAAGTGTAAGCCCATCGGAAGTCTGTTAAATTCAAACAGGCCTTGCGGCGTCCGAAAAGCCGTCTTAGGCCTGGAGGAATCATCAAGAGGCAACTGCCAGAACCCCGAAAGGAGATCCAGCATAGAAAAGAATTTGGCCCCTGCCAACGCGTCCAACGAGTCATATCTACAGGGCAGGGGATAAGCGTCTGCCACCGATACTTTATTGAGTTTGCGGAAGTCCACGCAAAAGCGCAGACTCCCGTCATGCTTTTTCACAAGCACTATTAGGGCACTCCTGGGACTCGTGGACGGGGATATAATATCGGCCGCCAACATTTCGTCAATAGCGACTTGTACGTGTTCCTTCTCAGCGGGGCTCAGCCGGTAGGGGTTTTGTCGAATAGGGGAGGAGTCGCCGGTATCAATGTGGTGGCTCAAAAGGGTGGTACGACCCAGATCAAATTTCCCGTGACTGAACTCGTCCCCGAATTCCACCAGCAAAGCCAGCAACGCGGACCTCTGGCCATGGGAAAGGTCCCGATTCTCATTCCAAAGGGCGTCAGCCCACTTAGTATTGCAAGACCACGCGTGCACGCCACTGCGTGACCCATCAACAGCAGCAACACAGTCTGCCCGTGCCACCCCGACCGACGCGTGAGCGAGTACCGTACCCACCTGAATGGCAGACGCGTCCGAGCCAACATTTAAAACTTGAATAAAGGGCTGGCGGTCCCAAGACACCAACGTCTGCGCCTCCACAAGCGCCATCGCTCGGGCCGCTTAATTCGCGGGTGTAAGTACGGTATCCCCCTCGGTGGCATCGCGATCAAGCGGCTTGCGCAACCGGAGGGGGACGAGTATCTGTCCCCCTGGGGGAACCGTAGCCGTGTCCGTCACAAGCGCCTGCACCGATGCACAGCCCTTGGCTGTGTTACCAGGTGACGATAAGAATGCTATCCGCCGTCCCGAAGGCAACTCCAAATACCTGTGGGGCATCTTCCCGAGGAAGTCTGTCGCCAATAGACACGGCACTGCCAGGGAATCCGAAACCAAGACGGGCCCCCGCAGCGAAATGCCACCGATGGAAATCTCCGCGGCAATCTGTCCCAAAATCCTCAGCGAACCCCCGTTAGCCGCAAAATATGGAACGGGGATGGAACGTAACAGACGGCAATGAGCCGGCAATATATTAAAAAGCAATTCCGAAATAATGGTGGCGGAGGCGCCGGTGTCAACGAGGATCTGCACATCAATGCCCTGAATGGTACCGACGACCGTGGACGACCCGACGGCCACGGCAACGACTCGACGGGCCAACTGCAACCACTGAGTGCGCACAAAGGACTAATTCTCACCTGATGCGGCGGAACCCCCGTGCGGCGCAACCCAACGTGAAGAAGCGACGACCATGCGCGAATCGCCATGATAAAAAGATGGGTGAGGTGGGAACGAGGACCGAATGTGTGGTGCACCGCGACTCGCCTGGGGACCCTTGGACGTCGAACGCAGGCGAGGAGACGAAGACGGCGGCCCAGGACGTCCTCAATGCGGCGCCCGGCACTCCACAGCGACGTGTCCTGGCCGCCCGCAGTTGAAGCAGACGCCGCGAGTGGAGCCCGGACGAGGAGGAACCCGCGGAGGCCGGTCGCGCCTCCCTTGGCGCTCGGTAGCTCGCCGCTGGTCTCGGCGCCGGTTACGGCGGCACAGAGGCGGACTCGTCCTCCTCAGACGTCTCGCCCGCTGGTGTAGCACAAACCACGAGGCCCGAGCGTTTCTTCAACCCGAGGTGAGACTGGATACATCGCGCGGGCAGGGCGACGTTCAGCTCTTTGGCCAGCCCCAACAACCGGTCCAACATCAGGGAGTCGACACCCGTCGGCCCAAGATTCGGGTATGCTGCCTGAGCCAGCAACAAGAGGGCACTTCTAAAGGCGAGGGGCGACTCGGTTTCCCCCCGCCGTCGTTCCACGAATCTGTTGCGGATGGTGGGCGGCGGATCGTAAATGGTGGCCATCTCCTTAAAGGCCAACGCCAGCGTAGAGCGCCGTGCAGGCAGAATGGCGTAAAACGCCCCCAACGCGTCATCATCCAGCGTCGTGGGGAGCGCTTTCAACGCTTCCTCGTCCGTCCACCCCGCCAAGGTGCAGCTTATGGAGAACCGGCATTTAAACGCGATGCAGCGCAGGGACGTCCCGCTGCACAGCTGGCGGGCGAGGGGAAATGGCGGCCTCCACGCCGCGCGTTCCCGCCAAAATGGCTGCCGCGTGGTCCGCCGGAGTGGCGGGAATTTTGCGCGGTCGGACCGCAGCCGCGGTAGCGGCGTCGCCATGTGGTCCCGGCCCGTCCGTCGACGGCTGGCCGACGTCGAGCTTGGCAACGAGCTCCGCCACGGCGCCCAGTAACTCCCCGATGCAGGCGCTCGTCGTCCGGTGATCGTCGGCCGGAGACGGGTCCGCCGGTCGGACCGCACTGCGCTGCTCCACCGCCGGTGTCACGTCGGCGGGGCCCTCCGGGGCTGCCATCCCCGGGGCTGTCGGTGGGAAGAGAGCTCCGTCGTCCTCTTCCTCTCCAGAGGAGTGCCTTGCAGGTTGCCTATGGCGTGTGGTCATAGCGCCTCAAGGTAAGTCTAACCTTAACGTTTGCCACTTCTGGCACCAATTGTAATGGGCTCTGATAGGCGCACACAACTTCTTGGGAGGCAACACTATTTATTAACACCAACACATTACACTTAACATAGGGTGGTAACCACCGACCTGCTCTAACTAACACACACCATCACTCACTAACACGGACTTTCGGTTACACTAGCGTGACCCAGCCAGGTGGGCTACTGGCGGGTCGGCTGACTGGAGGCTTGACTCTTCTTAGGAGGCGTCTTCACGATGCATCTTCTTTCTTGACACGAACTGTCCCGAACCCGGTGGGGAGGCTGCTTATATGGGTCTCGGCGTGTCCGGGCCCCACCTCGGTCAGGTCTTCCTTCGAGAACCCTCTCGAAGCTCCTCCGCTGTCCACGTGGCTCCCCAAGGTGCTCCCCGGGCCCCACCTTGATCCGGTCACGTGTCCAGCCGGGTTCACTCAGAGTGCCACGGCCTTACACAACCCCCGTGGCCTCACCCACGGTCTCCCGATCCCTGAACCGGCCCTGACGTCATTCCCGCCTCCAGACGGGATGACGTCATGTGTGTGTGTGTGTGTAAACCCGTGTGGTAATGACGCTCCCCCACATAGTGACGTCACACGTGTGTCTGTGTACACAGTAGCGACACTGCAAGTCACTACACTCCCACGCGTCATCCATGCTGTCCCCATCTCTCTCTCTCTGCAAATCTCTCGTGCAGTGCCTCTGCCTCTCTCACTCTGTGCATCGCCCATCCCACTCCGTATACCTGCCGCCTCTAACTCCACATGTTCCCCATGAAGAGTCTGTCTCGAGCTCCCTCCTCGTGGCCGAACATGCTCACTATCATGGCTCTTTGTGCCATATCGCTCTCCGCATCTCTCACCGTCTACTGGACATCTGTAAAAAACAGAGCTTCAAAGTTCACCGGATTCCTCCAGTCTAAAAAATAAAGATACAGATTGTGATCAACTGCACATCTACCATGCCTCATCTCTATATATCTGACTCCATGCATCTCCCATCTCTTCCTTTACCCACCAATGCCCCAAGGCATTATTTCAGGAGAGTCCTGCTCATTGATTTGGTCAATTCCTTAAGGATTTAGGCCTTGTGAATAAAAACCTTATGCAGTATTATTGTAGTAATCATTACTCTTGTTTACCCACACAATCTCAGGACTCTTTTTCAGGAGGGTTTGGCCAACTTTTTACAGCTGGGGCTGTAAAGTGCCTTGGAATGAGGCGCTATATAAATCACGATAGGATAATCCATTTAGTGATAATAGACAAGAATTAAAATGGCATAACCTACTTGCAGTACTATCCTCCAACAGGCACCAGATTGCCCCGAAAGTGGGTGCCTCACCTCACAAGATGGCCCAATCTTTGTGCCGTGCCAAAGTCCGCAACGCGCTATCCCGAGTGCGTGGATCGCGGCTAAGCGCCTGTGCTACCTCCACTGCCGCCACGCGGGGCCACTGCAGGTTCGACGTAGCGGCGCTGTGTCCGCGCGCTCACCTGAGGTGCACGCCGAGGCCCCGGTGCCGACCCGAGCACTCCAGGCAGACCCAGATGCCGTAGGTGACGCTTGCCCACTGCGCGCTGTGTGCACCACATTCGAAGCACAGCTGTGGCGGCACAGACGGTGCCAATTAGACAGCAAGGGAAGAGAACCCGAGTCTCTCAGCACCACGGACACCGCAGGTGTCCTATCCACGTAGCAGATTCATGCCCAATCACAGAGCTTGCGTTTCAGTTGAAGTCGCTTCTTCAGTTCACATGTAGGGTTAAGGGTTACAGGTCAGGCATTGGGGATACGGTTTAGACATCGACGTTGGGGTTTAGGCGTTGGAGTTAGAGGTTGGGGATAAGGGGTTGGAGGTTAGGGTATGGGTTAGACGTTACGGTTTATGCATTGGGGTCAGAGATTAGGATTTTGGCAAAGGAGATATGGTTAGGGTTTTGGCATGGGGGTAGGCGTTGGAGCTTAGGGTTGAGGCATATCTGATATGGTTTAGGGTTAGATTGCAGTTTAGAGTTGTGAATAGGTCTCAGGACAATAGTAGCAAAGGCCGCGTTCCTCGCCATGCATCAATGAGGACAGCAGTCTTGGCCCACTGATAATATCTCTCCGTCCGGTACCCACGACATTCATGCGCGCTGCCATCCTTAACACAGCCTGCAGGGTCACCTTACACACACAACCTGTATGGTCTCACACACACACACAACCTGTATGATCTCACACACACACACACAGCCTGTAGGGTCACCTTACACACACACACAACCTGTAGGGTCACCTTACACACACACACACACAACCTGTAGGGTCACCTTACACACACACACACAACCTGTATGATCTCACACACACACACAACCTGTAGAGTTACCACACACACACACAACCTGTAGGGTCACCTTACACACACACAACCTGTAGGGTCACCTTACACACACACACAACCTGTAGGGTCACCTTACACACACACACACAACCTGTAGGGTCACCTTACACACACACACACAACCTGTAGGGTCACCTTACACATACACACAGCCTGTATGATCTCGCACACACACACAACCTGTATGGTCTCACACACACACAACCTGTAGGGTCACCTTAAACACACACACACAGCCTGTATGATCTCACACACACACACAACCTGTATGGTCTCACACACACACAACCTGTAGAGTTACCACACACACACACACAACCTGTAGAGTCACCACACACACACAACCTGTAGAGTCACCACACACACACATAACCTGTAGAGTCACCACACACACACACAACCTGTAGAGTCACCACACACACACACAACCTGTAGAGTCACCACACACACACACAACCTGTAGAGTCACCACACACACACAACCTGTAGAGTCACCACACACACAACCTGTAGAGTCACCACACACACACAACCTGTAGAGTCACCACACACACACACAACCTGTAGAGTCACCACACACACAACCTGTATGATCTCACACACAACCTGTAGGGTCACCTTACACACACAGCATGTATGATCTTACACACACACATGCATACGCACACGTTACACACCATGCAGGGTCACCACACACACACAACCTGTATGACCTCACACACACGTTAACGTGGTGGTATGGCAACGTGGCGTGGTAACACAGTGGCGAGGTGGCATGGTAACGAGTTGGCATAGTAACGAGTTGGCATGGTAACGAGGTGCCATGGTAACGAGTAGGCATGGTAACGAGTTGGCATGGTAACGCAGTGGCGAGGTGGCATGGTAACGAGTTGGCATGGTAACGAGGTAACGAGGCGGCATGGTAATGAGGTGGAACGGTAGCGAGGCAGCATGGTAGCGAGGCGGCTTGGTAACGAGTTGGCACGGTAACGAGGTGGCATGGTAACGAAGTAACGAGGCACCGCTCACGCTGTTGTCGTCCACTGCCTTCGCGTCCTGCAGGACTCGGCGCGATTTGGGGCTCGCCATGGCCACACCAGCGTCTATGTGTCTCAATGTGTCTCTGTGTCTCTATGTGTGTCTGTGTGTGTCTCTGTGTGTCTGTGTGTCTCTGTCTGTGTCTCTGTGCGTGTCTGTGTGTGTGTCTCTATGTGTGTCTCTGTGTGTGTCTCTGTGTGTCTCTGTGTGTGTCTCTGTGTGTCTCTGTGTGTGTCTCTGTGTGTGTCTCTGTGTGTGTCTCTATGTGTGTCTCTGTGTGTCTCTATGTGTGTCTCTGTGTGTGTGTGTCTCTGTGTGTCTCGGTGTGTGTCTCTGTGTCTCTATGCGTGTCTCTGTGTCTCTAAGTGTGTCTCTGTGTGTGTCTCTGTGTCTCTATGTGTGTCTGTGTGTCTCTGTGTGTCTGTGTGCGTGTGTCTCTGCGTGTCTCTACGTGTATCTCTGTGTCTGTGTTTATATAGGTGTCTCTATGTGTGTGTCTCTATGTGTGTCTCTGTGCCTCTATGTGTGTCTGTGTCTCTATGTGTCTCTGTGTGTCTCTGTGTGTCTGTGTCTCTATGTGTCTCTGTGTCTTTATGTGTGTCTCTGTGTCTTTATGTGTGTCTCTGTGTCTCTATGTGTGTCTCTGTGTGTGTCTCTATGTCTCTGTGTGTGTGTCTGTGTTTGTCTGTGTCTCTATGTGTCTGTGTCTTTATGTGTCTGTGTCTTTATGTGTCTGTGTGTCTCTATGTGTGTCTCTGTGTCTATGTGTGTGTCTCTGCGTCTGTGTCTCTATGTGTGTCTCTGTGTCTTTATGTGTGTCCCTGTGTCTCTGTGCGTGTCTCTGTGTGTACAGTATATCTGCGTGTGTGCCGAGCTTGAACAGTTAACAGGACTTGCCCCAACAGTCTTCTAAAGGCGATACGGGGAAATTTGTCCCCATAAAGCCTGTGTGTGTCCTTGTTCTATATGTGTATCTATGTATGCCTAAGCATACGAGTAGGTACAGTATGCGAGTCTATGTATGCATGTCTGCATCTATGCTCCTAAGCATAGGCATGCAAGTACAGCTTACACGGTGCGTCTATGTATGAACACCAATGCAAGCATACACGATGTGCGTCTATGTGTATCTGTGTGCGTATATCTATGTATGTGTACATGTGTGTCTTATGTATGGAAATGTATCTGTGTGTTTGTATATGTTGATGCATGTGTCTGATTTATTGTCTATGTACATGTGTCTATGTATTGTATATGTATGTCTACGTGTCTATGTATTGTATATCCGTGTACGTGTTTCTATGTATTATCTATGTGTGTCTATGTCTACGTGTGTCTATGTGTGAGTTGTGTGTGAGCACAGGCCGGGCCGACGTGGGAGTATGCCGAGCCCCTTTAAAGGGCGGGTTCCCACGCCCCCCCCTCCCCGCTCAGGGCTCGCGACCATTTGACGCCGATGATGAAACAGAAGGGGGGGGGGGGGATCAGGCAAGTCAGGCTTGCTCCTGGTCTCGCTAGGCCTCAGAGGCGGTCACGTTTAAAACAGCCGCAGTCGACGAGTCCCCGCTGCCGTCACCGTGAACGCGATTAGATCACCGTCTGTGAGGCGTCAGTCCTTAGACACGGAGGCGTCTCAGGGTTAGCTGCCCCTGCCCAGGCGGCCCGCGTCTTCACGCTCCACGGTAACTCGGCCGCGACACAGAAGCACCTCGGCGCTCTCCGCTCGCTTGTCTTGGGGAGGCTGCGGTGTTCACAACGCCAATCGGCGCGGTTGGCCACGTGCGGTGCGAAAGAAGTTCAACATAGTACACGACAAATCCTTTCTAGTTTTGCGTCGAACTGAGACCGAATCTCGGATTATTTATCCTGCACGAATCCGATGAAGCGCCCCCCCCCCCGGATGTCCTGTCGGGGCGGGTCAAAAAGTTGCAATTCCTCTACTAAAAAAGCTTTTAAATATCTGAGAGGGGTCCTTGCCTAGTAACCATCAGTTGGCTTGAACTGTGCCGTGTTGAACCGAGGCTGCTGAAGACGCACCCCGAGAGAAAGTTTAGGTGGCTGATGGGAATGTCAAACAATTATTCACGTGGACAGGTAAGCGAGGCGTATTGCCTTATTAAGTGTAAAATCTGATGGCACGTCAGGGGGTAACACGGGGGGGGGGGGGGTGGGTAGCGCTCGGGTTCAGGAACCCACTTGCTGCCGTCAGCACAGCTCCAGGGGGTTGTGGGGCGCGTCGGAACCCTTCCCTCTGTGATCTACCAACCCCCCCCCCCTTCGCCCTCTCTACCCGAGGCGACGTCTGGTGCGGTAAATGACCGCGGTCCCTGAGCTGCACGGGTTCGCGTATCCCTCCGCGTCCCGCGCCCCGGCCCGGGCAGTGACGCGGCGGGGGGCGGGGGCGCGAGAGGGACCCCCCCCCGCCTCTCTATCCCTGGACCCCCCCCCCGCCTCTTTATCCCTGGACCCCCCCCGCCTCTTTATCCCTGGACCCCCCCCCCGCCTCTTTATCCCTGGACCCCCCCCCGCCTCTTTATCCCTGACCCCCCCCCCCGCCTCTTTATCCCTGGACCCCCCCCCCCCGCCTCTTTATCCCTGGACCCCCCCCCCCGCCTCTTTATCCCTGACCCCCCCCCGCCTCTCTATCCCTGACCCCCCCCCCCGCCTCTTTATCCCTGGACCCCCCCCCCGCCTCTTTATCCCTGGACCCCCCCCCGCCTCTTTATCCCTGGACCCCCCCCCCGCCTCTCTATCTCTGGACCCCCCCCCCCCGCCTCTCTATCCCTGGACCCCCCCCCCCGCCTCTCTATCCCTGGACCCCCCCCCGCCTCTTTATCCCTGGACCCCCCCCCCCGCCTCTTATCCCTGGACCCCCCCCCCGCCTCTCTATCTCTGGACCCCCCCCCGCCTCTCTATCCCTGGACCCCCCCCCGCCTCTCTATCTCTGGACCCCCCCCCCCGCCTCTCTATCCCTGGACCCCCCCCCGCCTCTTTATCCCTGGACCCCCCCCCGCCTCTTTATCCCTGGACCCCCCCCCCCGCCTCTTTATCCCTGGACCCCCCCCCCCGCCTCTTTATCCCTGACCCCCCCCCGCCTCTTTATCCCTGGACCCCCCCCCCGCCTCTTTATCCCTGGACCCCCCCCCCGCCTCTTTATCCCTGACCCCCCCCCGCCTCTCTATCCCTGACCCCCCCCCCGCCTCTTTATCCCTGGACCCCCCCCCCGCCTCTTTATCCCTGGACCCCCCCCCGCCTCTTTATCCCTGGACCCCCCCCCGCCTCTCTATCTCTGGACCCCCCCCCCCCGCCTCTCTATCCCTGGACCCCCCCCCCGCCTCTCTATCCCTGGACCCCCCCCCCCCCGCCTCTTTATCCCTGGACCCCCCCCCCGCCTCTTTATCCTTGGACCCCCCCCCGCCTCTCTATCTCTGGACCCCCCCCCGCCTCTCTATCCCTGGACCCCCCCCGCCTCTCTATCTCTGGACCCCCCCCCGCCTCTTTATCCCTGGACCCCCCCCCCCCCCCGCCTCTCTATCTCTGGACCCCCCCCCCGCCTCTCTATCCCTGGACCCCCCCCCGCCTCTTTATCCCTGGACCCCCCCCCGCCTCTCTATCTCTGGACCCCCCTCCCCGCCTCTCTATCCCTGGACCCCCCCCCCCGCCTCTTTATCCCTGGACCCCCCCCCCGCCTCTCTATCTCTGGACCCCCCCCCCCCGCCTCTCTATCCCTGGACCCCCCCCCCCCGCCTCTCTATCCCGGGCCCCCCCCCGCCTCTCTATCCCTGGACCCCCCCCCCGCCTCTCTATCCCTGGACCCCCCCCCCCGCCTCTCTATCCCTGGACCCCCCCCCCGCCTCTCTATCTCTGGACCCCCCCCCCCCGCCTCTCTATCCCTGGACCCCCCCCCCGCCTCTCTATCCCTGGACCCCCCCCCCCCCCGCCTCTCTATCCCTGGACCCCCCCCCCGCCTCTCTATCCCTGGACCCCCCACTCCCATTGCCCCCTCACCCCCGCCCCGCCCTTCACGATCACCGATCGAGCTCTCTCGACACACTGACACACATTGGCACTGACACGCGCTACCACTGCCACACTGACACTGAAGCATGCGCTGACACATTGACACTAACACACGCGCTACCACTGCCACACTGACAAACACACGCGCTGCCACGGACACACTGACATGCTGACACAACAACAACCGCCATTCGCCACTAAGTGACGGTGACATCACCACCACGCTTGTGCCAGGCTATGTGCATCTTGAGGCCACGTGAAGTGTCGAACGCCCGCTGGCAGGAGGTCACGGGGCAGACCCAGGTGTCACAGGTCGACTGACTGAGATGACTGGCTGATGCACCACCTGTGCCCCCTACTGTGCCAACTTGCTGTGCTTTAGCCACCCGGCGCTCCGCTCATTGTTGTGAGCGTCGCTCCGCCGCCCTCCGTTGTTGTTGGAGGGCGACTGCCTCCAACTGCCCAGCAGCGTCCTTCACGAGCCACTTCCACAGAGGCCGATCTTGACACCGCTGGTACCAAGTCATAGGTAAGTCCACTCAGCTCCACATCCTCCTGTACCACGTCACTCCATCTGCCGGAGGATCTCACTGATGGGACTTTGCCCAGGTCTTTCTAGGATTTGTGATCTCACACAATCCAGCCTGGTTAAACCCAGGATGGATCTTAGGCAGGCCAGCTTAAATGCTTATATTCTGCGAAGATGCTCCATTAGGGGGGTCCACGTTTCGCAAGCATAGAGTAGGGATGGAATGACTGTGGCCGAGAAGACTTGAAGCTTCGTCCGGAGTGACAGACCAGGTAGCTTCCACACAGCGTTACGCAACCGATGAAAAGATAATGCCGCTTGACTGATTCTGAGTGAGACCTCTGCTGTCAAACCAGAGCCAGTCATGAGCACACTGCCCAGGTATGGGAAACTCTCCACTCTCTCCACAACTGCCCCATCACCGATTGGGAGATGTGTGGGTGGGTTGCCCGATGGTACAAAATACCCAGGCAGGTGCTTAGTTTTGGTGGGGCTGAAGATAAGGCCCCACCTCTTAGTAGCACGCTCCAGGTTCAGCATCAGCGCCTCCAACTCCTCCTCTGAGTGAGCGGCAATTACCAGATCATCGGTATACATAACATGGTTGATCAATAGGGAGCATCCCTTGACCGCATCCGGGCATCGATCAGCCTCACATTGTATCTGTACCAGATGGAAATTCTTCTGGTACAGCCCTCAAAGGCTTCACGGACTACATGGTCGAAAAAGATGTTAAATAATGTGGGAGCCAGAGGACATCCCTGTCACACCCCAAGGTGAACAGCAAATGACTCCGACTCCTGGCCACGTAGTTTTACCCGGGCCCGCTCACCATCATGAAGGTTCTTAATGATCGTGAGCAGAGGGTCAGGGACTCCGGAAGCATGAAGAACAACCCAGAGCCCAGACCTACTGATGGTATCATTGGCCTTGACCAGGTCAATAAAGCAGAGATGTAGGTCTTGTTGGAATTCCCTACACCTCTGCTGTAGCAAACGGACAAAAAATACGGCATCTGTGCAGGACCGCCCTTTCCTGAAACCACATCGGGGCTCCGCAAGCCTCTCCTCAGCGTGCCTGGCAAGGCGATGTTGAATAATCCTTGCCAGGACCTTTCCCGGCACACTGAGGAGTGAGATGCCCCTGTAGTTGTTACAGTCTGTGCGGTCCCCCTTAAAGAGGGGGGCCACAAGGGCATCCTTCCAATCCTGCGGAACCCATCCAGTGGTCCAGACTGTTGTTATGATGTCCGGCAGTCTGTGCACAAACGCCACCTTCCCTTAGCATTTCGGAGATCATCTCTGCCCGGTGCCTTTCCTAGTCTCAGACTCTGGATCGCCTTTAGTACTTCCTCAACAGATGGCACCTCAGCCAGCCACTCACAGGGGGTGACTTCTTCAAATATTTGAGGCACCGCAGGCTCAGCAGGGTAATCCCCACTTTGTCCCACAAATGTTTTCCATGTTGAGGGATTTCCCCTCCCCCACAACTTCACAGAAATGCTCAGCAAATCTGCAAACCTGTTCCTGGGGGTCGGAGATTGGATCACCGTTTTTTCCCCTAATGATCGTAAGAGGTTTGGCACTGCAGGTTACTTTTTTGATGGAGTTAAATAGGGATTTGTGATCGCGGGCCATTGAGGCAGACTCCATCTCCTCAGCAACCCGCGACCACCACCCAGCCTTGCAGCGCCTCACGGCTCTCCGAACCTCCGAGCGAAGGCTGCGGTAAGCCTCCTCATTCTCTGATGTGGGATGCTGTAGATGATTGGAGTGGGCCTGTCGCTTTTTCTCAACCATCCTGAACACCTCCTCTGTCAGCCAGGGTCTCTGGGAGGTCTGGACCGCTTACCCAAAGCAGCCATTGCAGCTGCATGAGTCACAGTCCTAAACCTCGCCCATTTACCCTCGACATCAGGAGGAGTGGGGGACGATGCCAACCCCAGCCGCAAGCGATGATGAAATTCTCGCTTGCAACTTTCATCAGCTATCTGAGACCAGGCCACCTTAGGTTGCAATGGGGTCCTGGGTGTACACCCACCAACGCAGTGGAAGAATCGGCAGGTGCATCTTACAGATGACAAGTCAATGGTCAGAGGGCAGATCAGCTCCACGGTAGGTCCTGGTGTCAAGGACATGGGCTCGCATCCGCTGTTCCGTCACTATGTAGTCCAGCAGATGGTCTTGCTTGGATCCGGCATGCACCCATGATGTTGTGTGGATGCACCGATGCCGGAACAGCGTGTTGGTAATTACAAGCCCATGGGCTGCACAAAAATCTAGCAGCCTCCTACTGTTGTTATTGAGCTGATCTGGCCTATGCCTTCCAATCACTCCAGAGCAGGTACCAGCATCATGACCAACTCGGGCATTGAAGTCACCCAACAAGATGACTATCCCGAGGGGCCACTTTAGCCAGCACCTGTGACAGGAGGTCACAGAAGGCATCTGACTCATCGGCCTTGCCTACATCCCTCCAGAGATGTTCGTCTTCGGTGGGGGCATAAGTAACCACGACCACCACTCCTCGCCTCTGGTTGATGGGAAGGCGCACTGACAGATGCGCTACCACTGACAAACTGACACTGAAGCATGCGCTACCACTGACACACTGACACTGGCACACGCGCTACCACTGACACACTGACACTACAACTGACCCACTACGTCACCACGGCGCTTGTGCCAGGCTACTTTGAGGCCACGTGAAGTGTCGAATGCTCGCTGCTGACAGGTCACAGAACACACCCAGGTGCCATGACTGAGATGACTGGCAGATGCACCAACTGGGCTCCCCACTGTGGCAACTTGCTGCCTCTTAGCCACCCGGCGCTCCGCTCGTTGCTGTGAGTGTCGCTCCTTTTCCCTCCGCTTAGGCTACATACGGTGCGAAAGAAGTTCAACGTACGTACACACACACACACATTGTTCTCTCGTGCAGGTGGCCATGGGTGACTTGCTGGTGCTTCTGTGCGGAACCACGGAAGAGGATCGCTTTCCTCTCTGGATCAACGGATCCGTTGGCCACTGTTTTAATCAGGTGGCTTTGAACTTACCCTCGCATGCTCTCCTGGCCATGAGCTCGGCATTCTTTATGGGAAAATACAGGTATTTGGTTGTTTTACTTTAATATGCATTTATACATCAGAGAAGCTTTGTTTTTCAAATTACGTTGACTGACGGGTCAAAGCATCCCCATTTATAAATTGGGCGCCGCGGTGGAGAAATGTTAACCACCTCGCCTGGTATATAGGAGGTTGTGGGTTCCATCCAAACCCCACGCCTGTATATTTGTAGTTTGCATGTCTCTCTCCCCATGGCCGTGCTCTGGTTTTTCCCTCCACATTTAGAATCAACATGCGTTTAGAGTATTTGGTGCCTTCAGACAATAGTCGAAGGTGCCATACAAATAAATGTAAATTATGAAAAATTGTCACATGATAAGCCACCTCATTGGCCTTGCGATTATTTGTGGCCAGGTCACTTCTGAAAAAGAGCTATATAGCTCAGTGGGCCTTACCTGGTAAAATAAAAATAGTTTAGTTTTTAATTTAAATTAAGACTGAGCATATCATCCCCTTTGGTGGTTTTGATCCAGTAGTAGATGCTATTTAGAAACAGGAACACATTCCTGCGGAGGGAGCTGGTAGGAACGTTGGGTTGCTCGGTCAATGGCCAGGGTCAACGGCGGCGTGGTGTATTCCGCAAATATGGCCGACTGTGAGGGCGGGCACAAGCCGGCGTGAGTAGGTTCAACGTTGAGTTTTATAAGGGCACCACGGGGTGACCAGCCCCTCCCCATCCAGCCCCTCCCCACCCTCCCCTCTCCACCCAGCCCCACCCCTCCCATTTTTGGATGCACGACGGACGGACACAATCCCCTGTCGGCTGGTGTAACCAGGAGGTTCCTACCAGTAATATGTATTTCATAGAGAGAGGCAGTCAATCCCAGGCAGGGAGTCAACAGCATAGGTGGCAGGAGGAAGGGACTCCCAGAAAGACCAAGGGGACTGACACAAGGACCTCGTGATTGGTGCGGACTGTGAGCTAAGGACATATTTACGTTGCTTTATGCAGTTTAACACGCAGGCTTTTGCGACCAATATTTTCCAAAACAGAGTTTTTGTCGGGTTACATCGCGCAAATATAAATGTGTCGATAAACCCGCCACCACCCAACACAGTTTATTCGTAAGGTTATGTCACGTAAACAAAACGTGCCAATTCGTTGCTGGTTCAGCACACCGGTGGTGTGTTTGAGAATAAACCCGCAATATTTACAATTCGAGTATGACGTTTCACTGGCCATGATAACCAACCTCATCAGGAGATAGCCAGAGTTGTGGAGAATTCCTCTTATTGCTTTATGCAGCCGACTACACGGAATGTTTGTGGACACTAATTGACTCTTACTCATCTGTACTCTGTTACATTATTGTCATGCTGAGAATAGGTTTTACCCTTTTTTCTGGCAACAAAATGGGTGTTAAGATGTTAAAACGCTTTTTGGCATCTGGTCTAACACCATTTGAGACAAGGCTCAAAAGAAAGCAGTCTCTGGTGTGGACCAATCAATTTAAAAGACAATTCATATATTATCAGAGTATGTTTTTTATTTGCATTCTGACTACAAGGTTTGTGGTTAATGCAGACATGATTCCTTGTAAAAGGTTTCAGTTTTGTGTTTTAACATCTTAACACCTGTTTTGTTGCCAGAAAAAAGGGGAACACCTATTCTGATATTTTGGTACTGGTAAAGGAGGTCCCATGATATTGTCATGCTCTTTTACAACACTTTCATTTAAATCGATTATTGCTTTGCACACAGTTTGTAACTTGATGTGAATGTTTTCCTTTTTAAGTTTAGCCAGCAATCAATCTCTCTGATTATGTGTGCAAGACTGTTGCACAACAGTCTTATCTGACATGCACGGACCTGTCATGGAATCACTAAACTGGAAGCTTTTCGGTGCTAAAATCTTCTTTAACTCAGAAGAATTATTGCTGTTCCACAAGCAACAAATTCCACTGAAGTTGGATTCCTGCTGTAATATCTGGGGTGAAGCACCCAGTTCCTGCCTCACTCTACTTGATATAATTAAACATAAAGCAGTCAGGGTGATTGATCATCTGGCACTCAGTGATTTTTCTCCAGTCATTTGGTCACCGGCAGTCAACTGTCTCCATATCCCTCTTCTTTTGCTATTGCCATGTACAGCACTTCACTCATTAATTCTTCACATAATGAGGGCTAAATCTACTAGACTGACTGTTGCGTCTCATCCACACAGTGCCGGATTATCCTAGTAGCAAAAGTAGCATATGCTACGGGTTGTGCATCACTTTCAAGGGCCCTCTGCGCTTGCTCTATTACTATAGTACTATACTGCCTTCAATTTTTATGAATGACTGGGTGTTTAACGTTAGCGATTTGTCGTATTGTCTGATTGTATAGCAAATGAAAAAATACAATTATTTTACTATGCAAGTGTTGAGGTGCAATTCACGACTCGGAGGCAGGTTGCTGTTAGGGGCTTGCACCACGTTTATTTCACGGCTTACACCAGGTTGTTAAGGGCTTACGCCAGGTTGATAAGGCTTACGCCGAACCAACACGCCCCTAGCCAATAACTCCCCAGGGGACAGGGTACTGGGATCCCTACACCCCGGCTAACCCGGCTCTCCACCCTGCCCCAGCCCGGGACCACCCTCAACCTCGGCCGGTCGGGCGGAGTAGCCTCCCCTAGCCTCGTGTGAGGACCAACTCCCCGAGTCCCCACTCCTACCCCCGATGAACCCCGGTTCCATCCCGGGTCCCCCTTTAAATACCCCCCTGGGGGCATGACGTCACCGTCCTCCACGGCCCGCCTGACGTCACGTCCCGCGACGCCACTCTCTCCGAGGGCGCGCGTGACGTGATGTCACCCACTACACCTCTACAGAAGTAAAGAATTTGTGTTTTAATATTTGTGTTTTATTTATTTAGGGCCCCTCTATAACATATGCTACAGGCCCCGCACTAGCTTAATCTGGCACTGCATCCACACTATGTTCAACCACCACACTGCAGGTCACAACAACCCACTCACCTTCTTACCCAACTCACTCACTGCACTGCAGGTCACACCAGCCAATACCAATATTTCGCCATTGGCCACCAATTGACGGTGACGTCACCACGGTACCTGTGTCAGGCCAGGTGCACTTTGAGGACACGTGAATTGTCGAAAGGCTCTCTGACAGGAGGTCTCGGCACAGACCCAGGTGCCATGGGTTGGCTGACTGAGATGACTGGTGGATGCACCAGCTGTACCCCCTACTCTGCCAACTTGCGGAATTTATACTCTTTGGTTCTTTCGGTAAAGTCACGTAGGTATAAAATAAAATAAATCACGACGTTTCGATCGCAACACAAGCGGTCGTCCTCAGGTGGAAAAAAATAGAATCCAGCAGTGGAACTGCTGAACCAGCGAGAGAGCAGTTACAACAAGATTATATATGTGGCGATCGGCAAGCAAGCGGGGTCTGAGCTGGAAAGGAATTCCATCCACGGACCCAAGCACGTCAGTTGTGTTAATGGGGGAGAGAGGGATTAGGGAGGGAGAATAGCATGAATGAGCTTCCATCGCCGCATAAGAGTATCATGCCCGCATATGCGCACAACAGCAGTGTTAATAAGAGATTAGAACCATGAGAGTGCAATCCAAAGGATGTGAACATAAGAATGCAATCCAAAGGACTTGTGAGCCTGAAAAGTTTCGATTTAAAGCTTTCGTGACTGCAGGGATTCATCTTCTTGGTTCTTTCGGTAAAGTCACGTAGAAGGGAAGTAATAAAATAATAAAAATAAAACATAATAAAATAATTCTCACGACGTTTCGGCCACAACGCAAGCAGCCGTCCTCAGGTGAAGAACATGTCTGTCGATAAGACAGAGTCTAAATGACACGTCTTAGGCTTGGAGTGTCTATTTAAGCTGTGAGGGAGGAGGAAGAGAGCCTTGAAAAAAGAATTTGCATTTGAAGAGGAATTTAGCATATTTATGGGAAATGCAGGAATGTGAATAATGCTAATTGTGAAATGCGTGGGAGGTGGGCGGGCGGTTTTCAAAGTCATTATGCCCATGCATTATGCAGGATTAGCAGCATCAAAGGGAGGGGGGGCAGGGGCAGCACCAACAAAGGGAAGGAATGTGAATAGTATGCAGCTGCAGCAACCAAACAACCACGTAAAAAAACTAAAGTATAAACTTCATAGTATCATCAGTATACTAAATATACTCTCCAATAAAAATGTAATATGCTTCCAGCTAAACTTTATTCCCTTACATCAAACAGGTCTACCCCGTACTATATGCTGCCATAGACAAACCCAACATTAAATTATATACTGTATTACTATACACCACCCTATACCTTATACATTGTTATATTACACTATGTATTATTCTACCCACCCTAATGTATATCACACTGCTATATATTCACTATACAATTACGATACTATATATTACTTTGTACATTGTATTAAGCATATAAATGTTATACTATTTGTTATTATACACTGTACCATTGACCGTCGTGTGAAAGATACTAAGAGGCAGCAACGAAATATGAGAATGGGAGAGTAGCAGAGCAAAGAATCCATTCCCTGCGGAGAATACAATGCCAGTGAGTGGAACGCGGTCTGAGAGTCACCGTAAACGTGAACACAATAAGTTAAGATCCGAAATGGTTTATTACGTCCTTCCAATGATTGCTAAGCCAGAATCCATCTTCTCGGTTGAAATTGTCTCTGTGTTTGTATATGTGGATCGCCTCATGTCTCGGACCGCATCCGTGAACATAAAGCAGACCTGAAACACGGTAGGACAAACACCTCAGCCGTGGCAGATCACTGTTACAATTCAGTGGGCTCACATGACATTGACTTCTCCAAGACAGAGGTTCTCTGCAAGCCATCTGGCTATCATGAGAGATTCGTTCATGCGACATAGAATTGTAATGTATTACTTACTGTTAGTAGCTCAGCTTATTGGAGAGTATATTTAGTATACTGATGATACTATGAAGTTTATACTTTAGTTTTTTACGTGGTTGTTTGGTTGCTGCAGCTGCATACTATTCACATTCCTTCCCTTTGTTGGTGCTGCCCCTGCCCCCCTCCCTTTGATGCTGCTAATCCTGCATAATGCATGGGCATAATATGACTTTGAAAACCCCCCGCTCACCTCCCACGCATTTCACAATTAGCACTATTCGCATTCCTGCATTTCCCATAAATATGCTAAATTCCTCTTCAAATGCAAATTCTTTTGTCAAGGCTCTCTTCCTCCTCTCTCACAGCTTAAATAGACACTCCAAGCCTAAGACGTGTCATTTAGACTCTGTCTTATCGACAGACATGTTCTTCACCTGAGGACGGCTGCTTGCGTTGTGGCCGAAACGTCGTGAGAATTATTTTATTATGTTTTATTTTTATTATTTTATTACTTCCCTTCTACGTGACTTTACCGAAAGAACCAAGAAGCCTGAAAAGTGCAATCTAAAGGACATGTGAGCATGAGAGGTGCAATACAAAGGGCATGTGAGCATGTGAGTGCAATTCAAAGGACATGTGAGCATGTGAGTGCAATCCAAAGGACATGTGAGCATGAGAAGTGCAATCCAAAGGGCATGTGAGCATGAGAGTGCAATCCAAAGGACGTGAGCATGATAGTGCAATCCAAAGGACATGTGAGAGATCGAAGAGAGAGGCATAGAGAGAGAGAGACACAGAGTCAGAAATAACAGCTGACATAGGCAGGCAGGATGGAAACATCACAGTCAGTTAAGACTTTGCCTAGTTAATAACGTCCTTCCAATGATTGCTCAGTTTGTACCCATCTTCTCGGTTGAAGTTGTGTCTGTGTTTATATATCTGGATGGCTTCATGAACAAATCTCTGAAGGTAGCCGGTAGGTTTGCAGAGTACCTCCGTCTTGGAAAAATCTATTTTGTGTGAGCCCACAGCGTTAAAACAATGATCAGCAACGGCAGAGTTATTGGTCCTACCGTGTTTCAGATCTGCCTTGTGTTCATGAATGCGGTCCGAGACATGTTGCTTTGTTTCCCCAATGTAACTGCTGCCACAACCACAACTCAGTTTGTAGACACCAGGGTATTGCATGTCAGGAATCACATCCTTTACAGATGGGATTAAATCACGGATTTTGTGTACTGTGTTGAAACGAACCTGGATCTTGTGTTTGTTTAAGATTTTGGAAATATTTTGGTAACCCCTGCTATGTATGGTAAAGTGATGGTTTTGGTTGGATCCTCAGAAGGTTGTCTCCCCATGGCTGGGGGTATCCGTTCATCCTGAGGGCTTGGTGTACTTGCTCCAACTTACGAGCTAGGTGGTGCTGGTCGGAGATGCAACAGGCCCTATGGTGTAGTGTTTTAATGAGGGAATTCTTTTGGGCTGGATGGTGGTGGGAGTCAAGCTTTAGATAGGCATCCGTGTGGGTGGCTTTCCTGTAGACCGAATGTCCCAACGAGCCATCAGGTCTCTTCCCGATCAAAACTTCCAGGAACGGGAGCTTGCCATCCTTTTCCACTTCCATGGTGAATTTTATCGATGGGTGTATGGAATTGATGTGGTTGAGAAATTGGTTCAGTGCTGGCAGGCCATGTGGCCAGATGACGAACGTGTCATCTACTCTGCAAACCTACCGGCTACCTTCAGAGATTTGTTCATGAAGCCATCCAGATATATAAACACAGACACAACTTCAACCGAGAAGATAGGTACAAACTGAGCAATCTTTGGAAGGACGTTATTAACCAGGTAAAGTCTTAACTGACTGTGATGTTTCCATCCTACCTGCCTATGTCCGCTGTTATTTCTGGCTCTCTGTTTGTCTCTCTCTCTATGCCTCTCTCTTAGATCTCTCACGTGTCCTTTGGATTGCACTCTCATGCTCACATGTCCTTTGGATTGCACTCTCATGCTCACATTCCCTTTGGATTGCACTCTCATGCTCGCATGTCCTTTGGATTGCACTCTCATGGTTCTAATCTCTTATTAACACTGCTGTTGTGCGCATATGCGGGCATGATACTCTTATGCGGCGACGGAAGCTCATTCATGCTAATCTCCCTCCCTAATCCCTCTCTCCCTAATCTCCCCCATTAACACAAGTGACGTGCTTGGGTCCGTGGATGGAATTCCTTTCCAGTTCAGACCCCGCTTGCTTGCCCATCGCCACACAAATAACCTCTTGTTGTAACTGCTCTCTTGCTGGTTCAGCAGTTCCACTGCTGGATTATATTTTTTCCACCTGAGGACGACCGCTTGTGTTGCGATCTAAACATCGTGATCTATTAGTTTTCTACCTCCGTGACTTTACCGAAAGAACCAAAGAGTATGGATTCCTGCAGTAACGAAAGCTTCAAATCAAGATTGCTGAATTTAGCCACCCAACTCAATCACCACGCTGCAGGTCACAACACTGTTCTTTCCGCATCTTCCCTTGCACCGCTCCACTTTGGAATTCCCTCCCATTGGTCCAATTCGCCAGTCCTAATAGCTTTGCTCAATTCAAAAAACCTATTAACTCTTACCTTACCATGAGGTTTTTGCAGCCAATATAACAATTTAACTAGTTTGGCTTTGTTTGGTGGTGGATGGTTCTTATGCCTGAAATTTAGCTAGATCATTGTGGCCTAACCCATAATGCTTGTCGAGTACAACTATATTAGTGAATTGTGTTGGTGGTGTTTTGGGCCTTTTGGGCCTTTGCAGCAACTGTGATAAATAATAAATAAATAACACACAAACCCAATATAAAGTGGACTCTGCGAGTATGCGATATGTATGTTAATGGTGTATAACGTGTGTAAGATGGACTAACCAGCGAGCGTGCGATGTTGTGTTTGTGTGCAGACGTGATAGTCACGTGCCCGTATCGTACGGCTGGGTGCTGAGAATCCTCACGTCGGCTTTGGTGGTGGCACTATTTTTCTGCGACCTCGTGTCCCTTTCCTTTGACTTTGATGTCAAAACGCGACACCTGGACGTCATGGCTGCATGCGTTGCAGCGTTCGCTTGGCTGTGCCACTCCCTGGCACTGTCCTCCGTTGCTCAATCTGAGCTGTCCTTTTCCCGGGGACCGCCGCTGATCATCGTTGTCTGGCTCGCAACAATTCCCTCCGCAGTCATAAACGGAGTGGCTTTCTTCACGAGGCCCGAGTTCTGCCTCCTCGGGGCTGCAGCTTGTATGCACAAAGTGGTAATGTGTGGCGTTCCAGTGTTCATGGCGGTTTATTTAATCTCACTGATTCCGTCAAATCGTCTTGTGGCCGTTCATGAGGTGGAATCCATTAATGATGCAGGTGAAAGGACTGCGCTCTTAGGCAGTCGGAAAAGAAAAACTGAACAACTTTTCCCTGATGCTCGTCACCGACAAGCGGTGACTGAAGATGGTAGTGGCTTCATCTCAAAACTTTTTTACATTTGGTTAAACCCAGTAATGAAGCAAGGTTACAATGGAGAATTGAATAGCCCTGATGATATCCTTGAGTTGCCTGAAAACATGAAGGTATCATTTGTGTCTCAAGCGTTTAAAGACGTTTTGTATGCAGACAGTAACCAAACAAGGGATTGCATTCCTGAGGATGTCAGCCAGAGTAGCCCAATTGGGAAGAGATTGTGCATCAACAAAGACACGCCATTACCTGATAGCCAGCCGAGACGCACTCTCTTTTGGTCCCTCTACAAGGTTTACGGCGTTCACTATTTATTGATTGGTCTTCTCTACTTGATTGCCATTGTGCTCGGTCTGCTGGGCCCTGTCATTCTGCAATATTTGCTCTCCTTCATGGAGAACAGACAGGAGCCTGCCTCTCACGGCTACTACTACATTGCCGGCCTCTTTGGGACAACATTTTTTGGGGCTTTTTTCAACAATCAGTTCTCCTACCGGATCAACAAGATCGCCTTGTGCGTACGCGCAGCCCTGGTCACGACGGTTTATCGGAAATCGTTGCGGGTCGGTGCGTCCTCCCTGTCCGAGTTCAGCACGGGAGAGATAGTGAACTACATGAGCACCGACACGGACCGCATCGTCAACTTCTGCCCAAGCTTCCACTCGTTCTGGAGCTTGCCTCTGCAGGTGGCCGTCTCTCTCCTGCTGCTCTACCAGCAGGTCGGCGTCGCCTTCCTGGCCGGCATCGCCGTCGCCATCTTGCTCGTCCCGCTGAACAAACTGATTGCGAACAAAATTGGAGGATTCAGCCAAGCGATGATGCACCATAAAGATGGAAGAGTCAAGGTTGGTTTGAACAATATTTTTTTTATTTGACCAGGTAAGGTCCACTAAGCTATATAGCTCTTTTTCAGAAACGTCCTGGCAACAAATGATAGCTCAACAAAGTGGTTTATATTTTGGAAATTGATTACAGCCAAATACTCTAAACGCGTGTTTAGAGTATTTGGCTAAATGTGGAGGGAAAAACCGGAGCACACGGCAAAAAATCCACGCCTCCACGACCTCCTGCATGCCAGGCGAGATAGATAACATCTTGCCACCATGGATGTGATGCATAATGACCACTATCGTCATTGTACAGAATATGAAAAAATTTAATAAGCAGACAATATGCCTCCTTCACACATCTGTACCCTCCAAATACATTTTTTTTTAAACATTTATTTTGCACATCCTTTCAGCAACATGGCCTTCTGGGAGTGCATAATTTCAGCAGAATTGATTCAACACAATCAAAACGCTGGACCAGTTTTGACATTTAGTGTCTCATCAACAGTCAGGCTTACTAGAACCAATGCCGGTGAACTGCCCAATGTTTATAGGCAAGGACCCTCTCTATAATAATTTTATTTTCAATCGGCGCCAAATTGTCTGGCTCTCTTATGATTTAAGTCGTTTAGAAATGAAGTGGGTTCGTCACGTATAAAACTCAACACCATGTCGGCGATTCACAGCTCATGACCGAGATTCTCTTCGGCATCCGTGCAATCAAGCTGCACTGCTGGGAGGAGAGCTTCTCGCGCAAAGTGAATGGGTTTCGCTCGGATGAGTTGAAGGGCCTCTCGGGCATGAAGTACCTGGATGCACTGTGCGTGTACCTGTGGGCGGTGACGCCGGTGCTCATCTCCATCCTCACGTTCGTGACGTACGTCAGCCTTGGCAACGCCCTCACCGCAACGAAGGTAGGGGAGCGCGCTCGGTCGTTTCGTTGAAATAAATTCTGATAAAAGCCACGGAGTATGTGTGTGGTTTTGTTTTTTGCTGAAATCCACCTTCACATAAACACAAGGGTGTAGTGAATCAGCATTGAGGCCTTTCGGGTATGATATTCAACTTGAAGAGATTTTATTTCCGGTGAAACTTCGTTCCGAAGAACGAGACGTCCTGATGGGTTTGGATGACCAGCACCGAAAGATGAAAATACAAACCCTCCAAAGCTGAAGGCTTCTTTGTCACCCTTTCACCACGAAGCCTAATGTAACATTCCAGTACGGGGGCAGGCTCACGTCCCGAAACAAGACTGAAAAATAACGTGAGAACAGGAAGAAGGTGCAAAATAATCAGAATGAGCTACATCATGGGACCTCCTTTGCCAGTACCAAAATATGAGAATGAGAATGTTTATTAATACTGGAGGAATCCAATGAGCTATAAAGCTCTTTCATATGTCCAGCAGAAGAGGGGATGAGAATAGTAGTGCCCGGCTGAGAAGGGAGGCGGTGGAATCGAAAGGTTAATTCTGCCGATCATACATACATACGTATGTATCTTGAACTTCCTTCGCACCACACGTAGCCAACCATGATAATCGGAGTTGCGGGGAAGGACAACAAACCTAAATACAAAAAGCCGTTCTAAAGAAAAGGAGTCTGGAGCAGACCAACCCCTTAATGCACCACAACTCGCAGACCCTCCACAACAGGAGACTGCACCCACTCTGCCTCAGATGGAAGAAGGGCCTTTGTCCAAATCGTTGCTTATTATATACAGATATACCTCAGTTTAACACGTAGGCTTTCGCGACCAATATTATTCATAATAAAAAATGTTTTTGGGTTAGATTGCAAAAGTATACTTAGGACACATTTATAACGCCCTTTTTTATGGATGGAAAATTCCTGAGCGGAACAGCCCCCCATATATGGAAGAAAGTGGGCATGGCGTTGCCCGTAGGGGCGTGTTTCAGCCCATATAATGGTCTTGTGGAATCTGAATGGAGGTGCCTATTGTATCGATTTTGCTCATAGTCGATGCGATAGCCACGTTAGAGTATGGATTCATCCAGGGTTCATCGCTGCATCCATTTATTGGTGATCCGTGGCTTGAGTAATCCAATTTGTTAGAATAGCTTCCCATGGAGCGTGTGTTTACGGCAGACAGTGTGTAGAAGTCTTACTGTTTCGTTCCTTATATAGAGGCCTAGATGTGTTGACCACCCTTCTGCGCTCCTGCACAATGTGGGGGGGATTACTGAGGCAACGTACATTATGCATGCGCATTATGCGAGCCCTTTGAACTTGTCCTTCCTGTCTATTGTGTTTATTAAAATAGTATGGATATTGGCCGTGAAAGCCTACGTGTTAAAAAGTGATTTTGTTTGTTATAAATGCTTTAATACATTTATCATGTGGACAGTATAATTCTTAAGGCTATTACTGATTCCCCAATGAAGCTTCCCCAATGAAGCCCTCATATCGCTCATAGGTAAAAAGTAGCGGTCGGGAACGCATCCCCATTGGAACCGTGTTACAGTGACCTTTTAGCGCTGTTTTCTATAGCGATTAATTTACCAAGACAGCATTCTTCAGCGCTATAGGAGGTATGCCTGTATATATTTTAAGGCCTCGGTGTTTTTGGAACATGTGTTCAGTTTTATGTCCTTTTACAATATTTCCACCGCTCACACCCACTTGTACGCGAAAGACGTATCGTGAGCTTTAGAGTGAAATCTCTTGTAAATTTGATCTGGTTTCATTGGAAGCTTAATTTACACAATGCCGCTGTCCCACGCACGCTCTTTGCCGCCAATATACAAACTGCTTTGAGTGGCTATAACATCCCTTCTCACAGGAGATGTTGCCACTGCCACTCCACAACTGTCACTCGTAAAACAGTAATTTCAGGGTCATGATTATCTAAGTCATGGTTGACTACTACAGGGCGAAAGAAGTTCAACATACATACGTACACTGTGGTGACTTTTGATAGCAATGGTCATTGATCCCAACCTTGATTTGAAGCTTCCGTGACTGCAGGAATTACTCTTTGGTTCTTTTGGTAAAGTCACGTAGAAAGAAAATAAATTAAATTATAGAATACGACGTTTCGATTGCAACACAACCAATCGTCATCAGGTAGAACAAAATTTGAGAGAGAGACATAACACAGGCACGGAGACAAACAGACACACTATGTTGTGTCTCTCTCTGTGTCTCTGTGTTGTCTCTCTCTGCTTGTGTGTCTGTCTGTGTGTCTCCGTGTCTGTGTTTTGTCTCTCTCAAATTTAGTTCTACCTGATGGCCATTGATAATAATTTTAAACAACAATTTAATATTGAAGTCTTTTCACAATAGCGATAGATTCATGCATTGTACTTGCAATTATTTTTGGCTGGAGAGAAATTGTGACTTGCAGTGCTTTTTAATTTGCAGAATACCGATGAAGTGATAATTGGATTGTGAGTAATTTTGGGTTAATTGGAAGAGGTGTGCATAAATAGAATGAAATAATGTTTGCATTTGTTCTTACACTTGTATTTCCTGCAGGTTTTCACAGCTGTGGCTTTGATCAACATGCTGATTACGCCTCTCAATGCCTTTCCGTGGGTGCTAAACGGACTCATTGAAGCACGGATTTCTTTAAGGAGACTTGAAACATTTTTGTCCTTACCAGAGTTCAGTGCTGAAACATATTACTGCAATAGCAAGTCATTTTACGGTAATGCTCCATCATAGAGTCTGTAAAGTGGAAACGTTGAGATATCCTGGAACACTTGTGCCACACATCGAACCTCTTTGTAAAGCTTTTATGTTCTTCCTGTGTCCCAGTTGGATTTCCTCTGGGTTCTTCCATTGACTTTCATAGCATCAAAAGACCCATTCAATGTAACTGGTATTGACAAACATCCCCAATTCCTGAAAATGACTGAATTAGGTTTACAAAGACAAAGATCCCCGATGTAACCTTTAGAGGTTGTAGGGGCAAGTGCTGTGAGCGAGCACCTATCAAGGCCGGCACCGCACATGAGGGGGTGGGTGACCAGCACTACGCCCAGCCGCCTTTGTCTCCTTAATGGCGATGTTTACACACCGCACCAGGTACTCATTTGAGGCTGAGTTGACCTAGGGGAGGCCCAGGACCTGTTCAGTTTATCGTCACCTATGTGGGCTGTCAGCGGGAATCAAACCTGGGCCGCCGGGTTCGTAGTGCAGCGCGCTCACCGCTACACGACCGCTCCCCATTAATTGGATTTACACACGCACACAGCAGCAGCAACATCGCCCCCTACTGCGGTAACCTGGCAAGACCCTCCTGAACAAGAGTCTTGAGACTCGGTGTTATTTTCCTGGGTAAACAAAGGTTGGCAACCAAGGAGAACTGCCACTGGGAATAACGTGTGGAGCCTGTCGGCACAGGCCTTGTAGGGCCAGGGGCACTTAAGCGATGCTCTGCTGAAACAGAAAGGCTGTATCTCCGCCTCTAACCTCTCTCCGTGTCTCCTCTGGCCACGCTGCCCAACTGTTCAACAAGGTTGCCATGTCGTTGCATAGTTGTGGTCACTTCCCTGTTCCAAATTTTCAGTTTGACACACATGCACCACCGGCCCTTTGGCTGTAAAAGGGAGCTTTGCACCGCCTCAATGCTCATGTGAGCAGGAAATCACCCCAGCGTCCCCCCCCCCCCTTCCGTGCTGAGCAGAGGAAGCGCAGAGCGGCGAATGGGAGGTGGCGCTGTGCCGAGCAACGCTGTCGTGGGGCTCGTTGCTGTGCCCACCGCGGCAGCGCGGCTCCCCGGACCCTGCCGCGGAGGGCTTCTCCCTCAAACGTGTGGAGTTCAGAGTTAAGGAGGTCAGCTGGAGCTTCGTCGCGTTTCAGACATGCGTTATGCCGCTCGCTTTGCAAGCCGATATTCTAGTTTTACAGTTTATAATGATAAACGCTTTAAGGCCGGGATGTAAAACCGGGCAGTGCTGTTGATGCCGCTAGGAATTCACGATAACTTCCTCCTGCCGAATTGCACATCCTGGACAGGCCCGACTCAGCTCCTCCTGGACAGGGGGCCAGTCGAACTGTGGTGTGCGGTGATAGACTGCCAAGGAGAGTGAGCCTGGGTAGTGCCAAAGGGACAATTGGTGGTGCAGGGCCCATCCAAATTCCCGCCTAGCGCCCGCGCTGATCCAGGTCACTGACCCCTGGTGCCATTTCAGTGCCCAGCTCGTGAATTCTCCATCCCGCAGCCATGCCCCACCCTTGGCCATCTCTTCTTCTTGTCTACACTCTGTTCTTGCTATGCTCTATTCCAGACTTTCAATTTGCTTGTCACATCCTGCGATCAAATCCCTTCAATTATCTGTATTCACCAATATTCACATGGTAGAAACTTATTTTCTAGTTTTCTGTAATCTTGTCTTTACTGAGATTTGAAGTTTCCCCTGCCTCAGTTTTCTTTTGGCATTTTAATCCCATTTCTTCCAGTTGGACATGGAATGCTCCACCGCTGTCCACGCAGCCGTGACGTAGCCATGGTCATACCCAGATTGTACGTCGGCCGTCTATATAATTATATAATGAGAGATCAATTGGGAATGTCTCACCAGATGCTGGAAACCAGGTTAGCTGATTGCCACTTGTTCACCCTCTTCCCATTCCGAGATGTCTGCAAGTTGCAGGGTGGGGCGTCCCGTTCACCTCTGAATCTTGGAACGCGCAAGTGTAGTGCCGTTGTTTTTAAAGACATTGTACTCTCTGAAGATAATTATATCGACACGACCGCCCTCTATGATAGCTGGGGCCAAACTGTGCCACGCACCCTTTCGCATGGCCTTGTGGGGGGAGCCTCGGTAGCAATAAATTATTTTATATTAGTTTTTCTTCCGGTTCCGTTCCGATGACATACATTTGTATGTCATCAGGAACCGACTTGGAAGGAAAACTTGACCTACATATGTGTAGTGAGTTCAAGGAGATCTAGACGACGTAGTCGGAGACACACTTATTTATTCAACCAAAGGACAGAACACAATACTTGAAGGGGTAACGGCCCCTTCACCCGTCTAACAGGGAGACACCCCTAGCGCTAGCCCGGCTAGTCTGCTCCCAGGTCCTCTACTAGAGAGCTAGGGGAGGCTAGCTGATCTGGCTCTGGCCAAGCTCGGATCTCGGCACTCTTAGCCAACCAGACCGGCTCTTACAAGAGCATTGGCTCTGGGCTCTCAGGGCCGTGCCGCTGGCTTTCCTTGGTTGGTCCTTATGTAATGTGAGGATATATCCGGCTCAATGACGTATCACAACTCGTCATGATGATTGGCTCTGCCGGTCCTGGTTTATAGCTAATGGGGGGAAGCCTAGGGGCGTGGCCCTGACGTAATGGAAAGGTGACAGCTGTAAGTAGGGGATTGGTTCTGCTGGCTTTGGCCACAGCCAATGGGGACATGAGTCAGGGGCGTGGTCCCGGCAGCTTACGAGGGAGCCTGGAATATTCCATGGAGGCTAACCAGGATTGGGGGAAACATACCACGTGACCCGGGTATTAAATAGGGGTGGAGACGAACGACACGTGGTCAGAACGGGAACGAACAGAGGAAGGGGGCCACGCGGGAGCGGGGCTCCGGGTTGCCACGTGGCAGTGTGTCTCTCTCTCTATCTGTCCCTTTCACGCTGCCTGTCAGCAGCGTGAAGGAAAAGAAGCTGTATACAAGTTGAATAAAAGACGGATTCCAGAAGTGCGCTTCAACGAGCTTTATTACACTTAGAAGGACAGCGAGCCAGGGGAGTCCCAGGGCCTATCCTGCTGGTCTTCGCTGGTTAAGCTGTAATACTCGACTCCGAGCCCACCGGCTGCCCGCCTTATATAGCAATTCCCAGAGGTGGGACAAAGTCATTGTTATGCAAGTCCAAGTCGAGTCTGAAGTCATCAAATTCATGACTCGAGTCTGACTCGAGTCCAAGTCACATGACTCGAGTCCACACCTCAGAGGTGGGACAAAGTCATTGTTATGCAAGTCCAAGTCGAGTCTGAAGTCATCAAATTCATGACTCGAGTCTGACTCGAGTCCAAGTCACATGACTCGAGTCCACACCTCTGGCAATTCCCCCCCAAGGGGGTGGGGCTGTGGGGGATCACAGCGCCGCCACAGCCCCCCAGGGCTAACTGTTGCGGACGTAGATGTAGGCACCCTTACGCGTGCGGGCGCAAACGCCCCTTGTGTGTTTGTTTGCTCTCCCGTAACACCCCTACATCACCCCCCCCTGTACAGCCCACAGCCGTCCCGGCTGCAACAAAATTCAACAATAAAAGATGAAACCCCCCAAAACCGTGTGTGCCTCGCATTAATAACAGCAACAAGAACAACAACAATAACAACAACAATACCGAAAAAAGAAAAAAAACGACGTACCCCATTCCATAAAGAAACCAACATATATACAATACATGTCTTCCCACCCCGAACGGATTTCCCCTGTGACCGCAGCAAGGGCCACACAAGAGGCCAGCCTCACAAAAGTCGGCGCGTTTTGGCGCGCGTTCTTGCAGCGGGACCGTCACAAGGGGCAACCCCGGTCGGCCCGGTGGTGGTTGTCAACAGTTCAGGTGCGAGAGCGTCTGGCTTCACGGACGAGCGACCTCCGAACCCCCCGGGAGGGGTTGGCGGTTGCGAGCGCGTCAGTCCCGGTGCACCTGGAAGTGGAAGAGTCAGTGGTAAATCGGGCACATGCAGCGAAGTCGGACTCCGGGAGTCAGTGGACCCCTCACATGTTCGGCCATGTGTGTGTGGAGTAGGAACATGGGGCACGACGAATGGTTTCAACCGCGAGGGGTGCACGAACCAACGACGCTTCCCCCACTGAATACGGACACATTTTGGCCGCAAGACCTGCACCACTTCCACGGGCCCCCTCCACGGCCGCAACAGTTTTGACGAGGTTGCCAGCAGAACTTGGGGACAGTGCAACCATGCTTTGTCGCCCGATTTCCACCGGTGCACATGTACCCGGCCCAGCTTGAGCCTTTCATTCGCCTTTTGGCAAAGGTCTGAATTTTGGATAGCTGCCTCCCGCGCCTCTGCCAATTTAGAGATGTTGAACTTGACATGGTCGGCCAATTTGGATTTAGCATGCGGCGTGGAGACCCGCAGCTGGGTCGCGATAGGTGGTTCAGCCTCACGACCATACATTAAAAAGAAGGGCGAAAATCCGGTTGCCGCATGAGGAGCCATCCTGTAGGCTGCCAAAACCCCTGGGATATGAAGGTCCCAATCGGTCTGGGATTCAGACACCTGGTGAGACAGCATGGACGTGATAGTTCGATGTAGACGCTTCACCATCCCATCAGTTTGCGCGTGATATGGGGAGGTACGAATCTTTTTTGTATCCAGGAGCTCGTACACCTCGTGGAGAAGTTTACCAGAGAAGTTTTCCCCTTGGTCGATCAGCAGCCGCTCCGGAGTGCCCTTGTCGAGGACGTAGCCCTGGACAAAGGCCTCGGCGATGGCTGCTGCCGACTGGTTGACGATGGGCCAGGCCATAGGCCATCGCATGAAATATTCAACGCCAACCAATATGTACTTATTACCCCTAGGTGTAGTAGGGAATGGACCCAAAATATCAAGTGCGACGAGTTCGTTAACCCGGGTAACCTTAATAGACTGCAGCGGTGGGTCGGACCCCTTTGCTGGTGGCTTCCGTTGCGCGCACTGAGTACAGAACCCTAGGAGATCATCCACGTCCCTTGCCATGCCCGGCCAAGAAAAATCCAGCTGGAGCATGGCAAGGGTTTTGTGAGTCCCCAGGTGCAGGAGCCGCTCGTGAGCAGCCCACACCACCCTACCCCTCAGTGTGGAAGGCACCACCAGCCTGTGGCGGCGGGACCTCCCATCCCAATGCATCAGGAGACCCTGGTACAACCCCCATGAGTCGATATTCGTCGCACCCAGAACAGATCCCCCTACGTGATGGCGCAACGCGAGGAGGGAAGTATCCTCCATTTGGAGGCGCCCCCACTCCACAACGGACAACCCCAGCAAGGAATCCTCCCCTCTTGCTCAATAGGACCCGCAATTGAAGGTGTATCAGCGGCGGCAGCAAGGACCAAATTAGGGTTCTCATTTGGAGGTCTGCAACGCCACGAACCCAGGAGGCAAGCGCAATCGGAAGTGGGCGGCAATCGCGACAGAGCATCTGCGTTCGTGTGGCGAACACCCTTCCAATATTTAGTCTCAAAATCGAAATCTTGAAGAATCTCCAACCATCGAGACAATTGTCCCGAAGGCTGTTGAACCCGCAAGGCGTACTGTAAGGCCGCATGATCTGTGCGGACGGTGAAGTGGCGACCGTACAGATATGGGCGATATTGTTGAATGAAGAAAACGATTGCCAATAGTTCCCGACGGGTGACACAGTACCTTTGATCCGCCGGAGACAAAACTCTACTGCCATATGCCACAACATGCTATACGCCCCCAACAACCTGGGAAAGCACACCACCAATGCCCGTGTTGCTTGCGTCCGTATCGAGCAAGAAGGGTTTTGAAAAATCGGGATAGCTTAATGGCGGGGCCTCCACTAGGGCATCCTGGAGGGAGTGAAAAGCATCCTCCTCCTCCTGGCCCCAGTGAAACTTGACCCCCATCGATGTTAAGGCATGTAAGGGTTTAGCGATCATCGCGAAATCGGCGACAAACCGCCGGTAATACGACGCGAATCCAATGAAACTCCTGACCTCCCCCACCGAGTTGGGAGTCGGTCAGGAGCTGACACATTGTGTTTTCGCTGGATCTGTGGAAATACCTGACCGTCCGACAATGTGACCCAAATACCGCACAGATTCGCGGAGCAAGTGACACTTTGCGGCTTGAATTTCAAATTAGCAGCACGCATCTTGAGAAAAACGGCCCGCAACCTCTGCAGGTGTTCCTCGAATGTTTTACTAAAGACGATATCGTCTAGGTAAATCAGACAAGTATCCCATTGCAAGCCAGCAAGAACCAATTCCATTAAGCGCTGGAAAGTTGCCGGAGCTGAGTGGAGCCCCATCAGCAAGCGGTTAAATTGGAGTAGGCCGTGCGGCGTTCGGAAAGCCGTTTTTGGTTCAGATTCATCATCCAGAGGGAGCTGCCAGAACCCTGACAGCAAATCGCACGTGGAGAAGAACCGTGCCCCAGCCAGGGCGTCAAGAGATTCATCCATTCGACGGAGCGGGTATGCATCGGCCACCGAGATTTTGTTTAGGTGACAAAAATCGACACAGAATCGCAAAGAGCCATCGTGTTTTTTAATTAACACGATGGGTGCACCCCAAAGGCTGGTAGAAGGGGATATAATGTCTGCAGCTAGCATGTCATCTACAGCCGATTTGACATGATCCTTTTCGCCGGGACTCAACCGAAAAGGATTTTGGCGGATTGGTGCGCTGTCACCAGTGTGAATATGGTGTCGCAGCAGTTTAGTACAGCCAATATCATATTTGTGTTGACTAAAAACATCGGAAAAATCGCGCAAAAGGGTTCGTAATTTGGCACGCTGTGAGTCGGTCCGATGATCCCGCACAAAGCGCATCCAGCTACCCCTCATCACGGTTCAAATGCGGCTGCGACGGAGGAGCGGTGCTCACCTGCCCAATGACTGGTTCCTCACAAGGTACTGGCGTTGCGTGTACAAGCACGGTCCCTTGAGGAACCACAGCCGTTCGCAACCCAACATTGAGGACTGCGATGAAGGGGTCCTCGTTCCCTTTAACAATCGTCTGGGCCGCTATCAAATCGGGTCCATTGACCCCGGCCCTAGATGGTCCCAACAAAACACCCTGATCCACAATCCCCTTAGCGAAGGGTCGACGCAGCCGAAGAGGCACGAGCATTTGAGCTCCCGGCGGTACGCGTACCGTTCGCGTAACGAGCGCCTGTACCGTCGCAAAGGCCGTACGCACAGTAGCGGGGGAGGACAGAAACATCATTCGTCGGCCTGAAGGGAGTTCAATGCATCCCTGGTCAATCAGTATTCTAATTGGCATTTTGGCCAAAAAGTCCGTCCCCAACAGGCACGGGACTGCCAGAGAGGAGGAGACTAACACCGGGCCGGATAATTTGATGTCCCCAATACAAATTTGTGCGCGGATCTGGCCAATAATGCCCAACAAGACCCCGTTGGCAGCATAACACGGAACATCGACCGGGAGCAGAGGGCGACTTTGAACGGGAAGAATGTTGTAAATTAAATCGGACACAATTGTTGCTGATGCTCCCGTATCAACCAAGACCCATACCTCCACCCCATCGATATGTCCCACAATGACCGACGACCCCGCCGACGCGGCAACAACACGGTGGGCCAACTCAGACCACTGGGCCGGTTTGAACGCCCTCCCCATTGCGGCACAGTTCGACACAACAACACCAGATTTTCGAAACCCGTTCGTTGCAACGCGTGAGTGAGTAACAGGTGTGTGCGTAGGCCAAACATGTGGGGTGCCACGACTTGCCGGAGTTCGCTGCGGAGCCTTGGGAAGAGGAGCGTCGTCCGGCCGAGGTGTTGCACCGCGCTGCCGAGGAGCCCGGCATTCAGAAGCCACATGGCCCCTGAGGCCACAGTTGTAGCACCGTGTGAGCGCCCCAGTCGGCTTGGGCTGATCCTGGTGGCTCGGCACATCCCGAGCTGGTCGTTCACTGGATCTCCACTCCGTCGGGCGACCCACAGCGCAGACCTCTTCCGATGAGAGGGTGGTTGCAGCCACGGTGTGCCCGGCCGCCGCCTTGCTAGCTTTACGATGTTGGGACAGCAGGTTAGCAGTGGATGTGCCGCGCGGCCCACAGGGAACACATGTCCTTGTTGTCCTGCGCCAAGACGACGATGTTCAAATCGTCAGCCAGCAACAAGATTTTCTCCGCCACCATAGCATCCACTCCCTCTTCAGCCATACGCGGGAAGGCCGCCTTCGCCAGGGCCAGGGAGAGCCGTGTGGTATGTCAGGGGCGATTCCTTCGCGCCCCATTGTCGGTCGTAAAATAGTTGTCTGCAGTCGGAAGGTGGCCCGTAGACTGCAGACAGGAGTTGAAGCGCCGACTGCAGTGTAGCGCGTGCCGATTTCGGCGCCGTAGTGAGGGTGGCGAGAGCGTTGCTGTCCAGCGTCGCCGGGAGCGCACGTAGCGCCTCGTCGTCTGTCCATCGTGACATTTCCTGGTGGGCGAGGAACCGTCTTTCGAATGCTCCCCAGTCGCCCCCATCCGCCACAAACTCCTTCAGGACCGGCAAACGCTGCTGGAACGTGGACTCCGCCGCCGAAGATCGCCAGCCGCCGTTCCCGCCATTCTCTACAGTATTGGAGGGAATGGCGGTCGCCATCGGCGGTCGCACTGCTGGTGATGCGCTGGCCGTTGATTGGCGCTCGCCACAGTCGGCCGTTTTTGATGACGCGGCGGCTGCTGAACGGAGGCAGCAGTGATCGGCCCTCGTTGATGACGTGGCGGCCATTGGTTGGTGACCACCGTCGATATGGCGGGAACTACCGTTGAGTGTCGCCCGTCATCGCACCGTGTTGCTCCTCCAACCCCCAGGCGAGTAATTTCCTCTAGCGTGGCGGCTGCTGCATATAGTAGCTCCGCCAGGCGGGAGTGAGCCGCCCGTCCGCCGACGGCCCCCACCCGTCCGGCTGCTGTGGTGGCGGTGGACTCGGCAGCGGTTGCACGGACTCGTCCTCGATGAGTTCAGGCTCCGAGTCGGCCGAGGTGTCTTCCTCTCCAGGTCCCCCGGTATGAGTCGTCCGTCTTGTATCCATTTGGTAACTTTAGAAGACCACTTCTGACTCCAGTTGTAGTGAATTCAAGGAGACGTAGACGACGTAGTCAGAGGCTCATTTATTCAACCAAAGGGCAGAACACAATACTTGAAGGGGTAACGGCACCTTCACCCGTTTAACAGGGAGACACCCCTAGCGCTAGCCCGGCTAGTCTGCTCCCAAGTCCTCCACTTGAGAGCTAGGGGAGGCTAGCTGATCCGGCTCTGGCTAAGCTCGGATCTCGGCACCCTTAGCCAACCAGACCGGCTCTTACAAGAGCATCGGCTCTGGGCTCTCAGGGCCGCACCGCTGGCTTTCCCTGGTCGGTCCTTAGAAGGACAGCGAGCCAGGGGAGTCCCAGGGCTTATCCTGCTGGTCTTCGCTCTTCGCTGGTTAAGCTGTAATACTCGACCCTGAGCCCACCGGCTCCCCGCCTTGTATAGCAATTCCCCCCCGAGGGGTGGGGCTGTGGGGGATCACTGCACCGCCACAGCCCCCCAGTGCTAACCGTTGCGGACGTGGATGTAGGCACCCTTACGCGTGCGGGCGCAAACACCCCTTGTGTGTTTGTTTGCCCTCCCGTAACACCCCTACATATGTATGCTATCAGAACGGGAAAGGGTTAAAAGGCACTTCCCACAGCTGCCGCTGGTAATGCCGGCGCCGTGTTGTTCACCAGGGTCAGCTGGTCGGCGTAGTTGGAAAAGTCGGAAGCGGGAAGAGCTCCCTACTTGCGGCTATAACCGGTGACCTCTTCAGGTGAGATTCCATGCATTTGTTGGTATTCATTGACATTCATGTCCAAACTCGCCTGAAATGCTCTGAAATAAGAGCGTTCTCATACTTGATTGGTTTGTTCCTCTGGCTTTTTTCTGTGTTTTGATGACGCAGTACTGGAGTTCAATTAAAACGCTTGGAACATTACGGCGTAGCGTACCGTGGTTAATGTAACGAGGAGCCATGTCACCGTTGCCAGCTGCACAAGCTGGCACGCGACTGTCGGTGTGAATTGAGGCTTCAGGTGGGAAGGCATTGATCGCTTACTCCAACCACTCGGTTTGGTTGTTTTTAGGCCTGCAGGGAGGGCTGTTGTGCAACCACCTTTTTAGCAAACTGTGATTGCGGTTGCATGTTTCATCGTAGAAATATTCCACCTGCAGGAACGCCTCTTTGTTTGACCTGAACAGTCCGGGATTTGGCATCTGTGTTTGGGTGACCGTTATCGATTCTTACTGAAATCTGGTGATTTCCTGTTGAACATTATTCTAGTGCACTGCACAGTCATCATACACCTAGGCTGGGAAAATATGTGCGGGTTTGGTCTGTGTAGTTTGGTGGCGAGATGTTAACTCCCTCGCCTGGTATTGTAGGTGGTCGTGGGTTCGATCTCGACCCTCACGCCTGTATATTTGAAGTTTGCATGTTCTCCCCGTGGTCGCATGGATTTTTCTCCGGGTTCCCTGGTTTTTACCTCCACATTTAAAAACATTCATTGGAACTATCATTTGTAGCCAGGTCGCTTCTGAAAAAGAGCTATACAGCTCAGTGGGCCTTACCTGGTAATGTAAAGATAATTTACAGTTTAGTTTGGTTTTAGTGCATTTATAAAAATATGAATTTTTAAGCACCAACGAGTCCATCTGGTGTTCTGCGGGTTAATGGGACCGATTGGTGGTGGGTGTTGAGACACGGGGGCTATGTTGGCATAGGTAGCGGTGTTCCTGGCCCCCTTGCTTCCCTCACGTGCGGCTTCCCGGCAGGTGTCGTGGAGGGGTCCTTGTGAAGCGACTGGAGGAAGGTTTCGGATTGTTCACCCAAGAGACGTGGATCCAGCATGGGACTGTGCGAGACAACATCCTCTTTGGCAGTCGCTACGATGAAGACAAATACCTCTCCATCATTCGCGCTTGCGCGCTGTCGGAAGACCTCAAGGTTTGCAAATATTTTATGACAACACCTCATTTTGTGCATTTTATGCAGCAGTGATCGATGTGAATAATTCAGGGGGGGCACCTGTCTGGGCTTGACCAGTCAGTCCGGTAATTGGGTGACAGGACTTGACTTGTACCGAGATCTGGTACCAGTCTTGTGTTGAACTTTATTACAGTTTACTGCACAGTTTTGATTCTAGACCCAGGCTGATGGAGAAGAATGCCCGGGTTTGATTTGTGGACAAGGTGGCGATCCCAGGAGAACTGCTTTGCCACATGCTGCCTGTATGGAGTTTAAATGATCTACATATTGCAGTCTGGCAGACCTGCGGAGCTTGCCTGTTATACCTCCTGGGCAGGGCCGTCCAGTCGGGTACCAATTTGACATGGAGGATAAAAAAAAAACATAATAGGCGACATCTTGGGCAGTGGCCCGTCTTCAAAGCACGTGTGACCTCTCTATCTGTGGCCTCTCTATGGCATTTCATCTATGACTTCACTATCTTTGGCTTCTCTTCTCTATGGGCTCTGTATGCCCTCGCTCTCTGTGGCCTATCTGTGTGCTGTAAATCTATGTACTTAAATAAGGGTCATTGCCCGACACATCACCTGTGATATATTTTGTTCCGTTTAAGGCCACACTATTATTGACGAATGTTAAGTGTTCTTTGTGCACTGCTGTCAATGCTGTATTTACAAGTAACGTGTTTTCATTTTCAACACACATCAAGCTTAGTTTCTTCATGATTTTTTTTTATTACCGAGCGATTATAGATTCTATGGATTATTTTTTTGTTTGTGAAAAGCCAAACCTGGCGCAGTGGCGGTGTCGGCACATTGAGATGCTGGGCATGGGTGACCAGTGGCAATCATGGCCATGCAGCCTCTGTGTGGTTTTGGTGGCTACGGTAATGTTAAGTTTTTCGTATTAGAGGTTTTTTTTGGGTTAGATCGTGTAAATATGTGTCGCTAAAACCCGCCACCACCCAAGTTATCAACAGAAGGTGTGTACAGGATTAACTGCACCTTGTGGCAAATGTTATGTTGGGCAAACAGGACGATTGATCAGCATTAGACTAAAAGAACATCATAGAAATATTAAATACTCCCAAATGCAACTGTCAGCAGTAGCAGAACACCTGTGCCAACAAGGACACTCAATTGATTTTGATAATGTTGAAGTTCTGTGCAAAACTATCTACTACTGGCCAAGACTAATTAGATAATATATCGAAATTGAAAGAAATACAAATAATTTTAACCGTTCGTATAGCAACCGACTTAGTGCTGCATGGAAGCGAATAATCAAATAATACATTGTTTAAATGCATGCCTATACAGGGCACTATACTTCAATAGGGATTCCCATTGGTACGGCTATTTTAATACACACAATGGACAGGAAGGACAAGTTCAAAGGGCTCGCATAATGTGTATGAATAATGTACGTTGACACATTAATCCCCTCCCCCCTACTTTGCACAAGAGCGCAGAAGTGTGGTCACCACATCTACGCCTCTATATAAGGAACGAAACAGGTGGACTTCTCCACAAATCTGGCTGTCGCCTGATGAAGCTAGTTGTAATTACTGGCGAAATGTCGTACTCGGATTGTAAATGTTGTGGCTTGGCTCTCCAACACACCAGTTTGCTGTACTAGTGACGACTTGGCCACGTTCTGCTTACGTGACAACCCTTACTAGTTGGCTGTGTCGGGTGGTGGCGGGTTTTAACGACACATTTATATATTTACGCAATCTAACCGAAAAAATATGGATGATATTGTTCGTGAAAGCCGACGTGTTAAACAGAAGTTTTTAATCCGACTAAATTACTGCTCTTCTTCCTCTTCCTCTCCCTCTCCTTCGTCCTTTCCTTCTTCCTCTTCTTCCTCCTTATTGCGTATGGCTGCTGATGTAGATGCAGAGAAACAATTACAATTCCACATTCAGGTGGTGAAGCCCAGATATCCGTGTCAGGAGCAGTGGCGTTAATCATCGCCTTGATATCTCCTTTGTATTTGAATTACCCATTGAGCTATGTGGCGAGTTTGTAAGGGTGACTCGAACAGCAGACAGACATGGCAGCAAGAGTGACAAATTAAGAAGCAAACACGATATAAAATATAAATAAGGTAATTAAAACCAAATTATGGATCCTTATTTAAAAATGTGATTTGTAATGCCAGCACTGGGCCGGTGATATGTAAACAGTGGCGCTTTGTGGTTTGCTTGCAATGTGGATCAGTGATGTGAGGTCAATGGCTGGGGAGGCACTGGCTTGTGTCAGAGCCAGATTCACACACTGAGGAGGGCGTGGCCTCACGGAGGGGGGCGTGGCCTCACTGAGGGGGGCGTGTTAGACACGTCCCCCTCAGTGAGGCAGATGTGATAGCTGCCTCCCCTGGTGCTTTTTCATTGCAGTTTCATGACGAGACCAGCGAGCCTAAATATCTTTATACACATACGTGAAATAAGTTACCTGGAGTATGGAAGGCGAGGACATGAAATTAAGGGATCTACAAACATTACATTGGTGACATACTGAGATAGTAACTGGCACACGCTTATTGCCCGCGCTCCATCCAGTTACTGAGGGGTTGTGCAATCAGAGGGGAGGCTGAGCTCGTCGCTGCCTCACCTCTTGTCTCTTCCTGTATTTTCAGCGGAGCTCCGCAAATTTGGCGATTTTGACTATAAAAATGATTGGAATCGTACATAAATTACATTTATAACACAGATCAGTGGATAAATCTTCATATTTATTTTATTTATTATTTTTTATTATTTTTATTACTTTCCGTAACAGCTATTTTCATTGGAGTATGACAGGTGAGGCTCTGCCTCCCCTGCCTCCCCTGACCGCACGTCCCTGATGTGGATGTGTTGTTGTTGCTGTTGTTATTGATGCGTGTGCAGACCTTGGTGAACGGGGACCGGACAGAGGTCGGGGAGAATGGGGTGACTCTCAGTGGAGGCCAGAAAGCCAGGATTGCGCTTGCACGGGTGGCCTACAGCGTGAGTTTATTCTCTCGATCGATTTTTATTAAAACATTTCACCTGGAAAGTCCCTCGAAATGGAATTTTTTTGTCTGCAACGGTGTCCAGGGGTGTCAAATGACACGCACACAGCAAGCATGTGATGACATGTGTACACGCATGTTCACGATGTACCAAACACACACTCATCCACTGACAATCATCGTTTCCTCTCGGAGAGATTGTAAGTATATATGTTGAACTTCTTTTGCACTGTACGTAGGCAACCGTACTAATCGGATGCTGTATTTTGTTACAACATAAAAGGTCTTTCGGCTTTACGTATGACCAAAAAAAAATACAGCTCTTTGATAATCCAGTGCTGGATGAAGGCTTTTTCCCATAGCGTCAGAGGTGGGGGTAGTTTGACCATACGTCATCGTGCTGGACGATATGGGTTGGTGAGGGTGGTTGGTAGGACCAATTCAGAAACAACTCGCCACTTTTGTTAGCCGTGTCCAGGAATTGAACTCAAAGAGCCGGGTTCACCACTCCATCGCATGTTGATACGTGGGTTTCTGATTCACACCTTATTGATGTACAATCAATCGCTTTAATAGATGGTTCGGTTTGTAAGTCATGTAGCACTATCAGAACATCCGTGAAAGTTTACAGACCTGAGCTTTGGTGCCATATTCCATGGGCACATTCATCAACAGGATCATTGTTAATACGTGTATTTACACGTGGTGTTTCAAGGCCAAACATAACTCGTCGTATGCCAGCCCTCTTAGCGGCGGTGGAGATATGTTAACTACTTTGCCTGGTATACAGGAGGTCGTGGGTTCGATTTCGACCCCGACGCCTGTATATTTGGAGTTTGCATGTTCTCCCCATGGTCGTGTGGATGTTTGTCCAGGTCCTCTGGTTTTCCCTCTACATTTAGAAACATGTGTTAAAGAGTATTTGGCTGCTCTACATTTCCACGTGATAAGCCACTTAATTGGGTGATAATTTGTGGCCAGGTTGCTTCTGAAAAAGAGCTGTATAGCTCAGTGGGCCTTATCTGGTACAATAAAAAAATAATGTATAGTTTTCAAATCCGATGTTTATAGTGTAATTTTTCCACTTATGTGAACATATCTGCATCGTTTCCTGTTACGTCAGCTCTAGCTGCTGGTTGAACAAGTTGGTGTGCCAGTTGGGGGTATGACTCGGTCATCTTATGTGGGTATCATGTGCCTGTGTAGCCCAATCACCTTTGAGCATGTGAGCTCCCCTGGCCTTAGTGGCGCTCTCAGACTGTGTAGATCGACACGCTTGACAAGAGAGTTCTGGTGCAACGGTTAGCGCCGCGCTGCGCTACGAACACGGTGACCCGAGTTCAAATCCCGCTACCACCAACAAACAGTGCGATTATCTGAACCCGGTCCTGGGTCCCTTCCCTAGGTCGGCTCAGCCTCAAACAAGTACCTGGTGTGGTGTGTAAACATTGCCATGAGAGAGACAAATGTGTTTGTTAAGGCTATACGGGGGATCTTTGTCTGGTTGCCCCGAAAGCCTCTCGCCTCTTCAATGAAATGACCAGACTAAGTTCACAGCTGAAGAAGGCGGAGCATGCAGGAGGCAAGTTGCTTGGACGGCAGGGTGGCGCAGTGGTAACACTCGTGTCTCGTATCAAGAAGGACCTGGGTTTGATTCCCGACTCGGGCACCTTTCTGCATGGAGTTTTTCTGTTCTCTCTCCCCCTGCATTGCATGGGTTTTCTCCAGGTCCTCTGGCTTCCTCCCACACAACTGCAAAAGCCTCGCAAGGCTCTTCCTGAAGAGGAGTCTTGAGACTCGGTGAGGCGTTCCTGAGTAAACAAGCGCAATATTAATAATCGTGATATTGCGTCATGGTCTCTTGCAGGACAAACCCGTTTGTTTGCTGGACGATCCTTTAGCAGCCGTGGATTGTGATGTTGCTGCTCACCTGTTCAGCAAATGCATCAATGGGCTTCTGCAGAAGAGGACCAGGATCCTGTGCACTCATCGCACCCAGTATTTGGCCGCAGCCGACCTCGTCATCCTGCTCGACAATGGCATCGTCATCAAAGCGGGTACCGGATTTTGGCATTGGGAAGTATCCATAGTTCGTGGCATTTTTAACACTGTACAAATGCTGCGAGCCGGTCGTGTGGCTCAGCGCTTGCGATTTCAGATCTTGATAGCGGAGTTCACTCGGCCCATCATCCCCCTGCGGGGAGTAAAATGAGTTCCACTCTGTGAGGAAGTCAACAATTGTTGTCCTATGGATGTGACTTGCCCCCATAATAGGAATGGGGAGTTTTCACCACTGGCTCAGGGCTGTGAACTGAAGTAGAGCGCAGCCTCAGTGCCCATTTGAGCAGAAATTATCTCCCCCTGTGGGCACATACCCTGCACCGAGTCATCTAAAACACGTTTCTTACACCTCTAGAAGCTGGACTCGAGTCAGCTGGAAGGTTACCAGAAATGTATCAATTATTGTACATTTAAAAGTCAACACAGTTCACGTGCCAATTAAGTAGTGCCGCGGTCTAACTGCTCACGGTGTTAACTATCAACTGTAAGGCGATATACTTATCTGTTGTATGGAATTTGGTAAAACCCATTCGCTTGGATGCCTCAGTGGTCCACGCTCTCTGCCAGTGCTCGCTCTCGCGCTTATCACTTTTATTTCACTTTCATTTTACAAAAAACCAAAGTTAATTCTTCAAGCCCTCCAACGAACCGCAACCATCATCTACTTCTTCATGGTGATGTGATGAATGACTCAGATTCAGTGGTTTTATCAAGGTTATTAGTGTTTCCCATCACATTGTAAATACGTAGTTAAGTGATATGAAGTGAAGTGTTAATTGTCTTAGGTGTGTCTATGCCAGACATCCCTAATAACAGCCACGTGCCCTCCTCTGATCGGTTTACCTGCGTTGCCTTGGCCCCACTCGTAGAGCGTCCTTGAGCAGGGGTGAATCCATTCTGAGCCATGCTCGAGTGACAATTCAGCAAACAGCACTCGTTAAGCATATGTTTAAAACAGTCTTAACCACTCAACATTGAGGCGGAGTATAACCGGCTTGCTGTACGTGGCCACCGATGTCGTTTGCCGTCCGCTGTGCGTGTAATTTATCGGTGTTGCTAGACAACGCCAGGCTGTGCCGGCCTGTGTGTATGTGCGTGTGTGTATGGACGTGTGTATGTACGTGTGTGTGGACGTGTGTGTGGACGTGTGTGTAGACGTGTGTGTGTGCGTGTGTGTGTACGTGTGTATGTACGTGTGTATGTACGTATGTATGTACGTGTGTATGTACGTGTGTATGGATGTTGAACTTCTTTCGCGCCGTACTTAGCCAACCATGTGAATCGGAGGTGTCTGTGTTGCAGGACCGCCCCACGCGGTGCTTCCGGCCGGTAACGCGCTTCCTGATTGGCCCTTGGCCGTCGAGGCTGAGCCACACTCAGATGGTAACCGCGTCTCCCCCCCCTCCCATTTCCCCCCCTCCTCCTCCTCCCCTCCCCCACCTTTCCTCCTCTTCCCTCTCCTCTTCTCTCTCCTAATCCTCTTCCCTATCCTCCCCCACATACAGTGAGGGAAAAAAGTATTTGATCCCCTGCTGATTTTGTACGTTTGCCCACTGACAAAGAAATGATCAGTCTATACTTTTCATGGTAGGTTTATTTGAACAGTGAGAGACAGAATAACAACAACAAAATCCAGAAAAACGCATGACAAAAATGTTTTTAATTGATTTGCATTTTAATGAGGGAAATAAGTATTTGACCCCTCTGCAAAACATGACTTAGTACTTGGTGGCAAAACCCTTGTTGGCAATCACAGAGGTTTGCACACATCTTAGGAGGGATTTTGTCCCACTTCTCTTTGCAGATCTTCTCCAAGTCATTAAGGTTTCGAGGCTGACGTTTGGCAACTCGAACCTTCAGCTCCCTCTACAGATTTTCTATGGGATTAAGGTCTGGAGACTGGCTAGGCCACTCCAGGACCTTAATGTGCTTCTTCTTGAGCCACTCCTTTGTTGCCTTGGCCGTGTGTTTTGGGTCATTGTCATGCTGGAATACCCATCCACGACCCATTTTCAATGCCCTGGCTAAGGGAAGGAAGTTCTCACCCAATATTTTACGGTACATGGCCCCGTCCATCGTCCCATTGATGCGGTGAAGTTGTCCTGTCCCCTTAGCAGAAAAACACCCCCAAACCATAATGTTTCCACCTTCATGTTTGACGGTGGGGATGGTATTCTTGGGGTCATAGGCAGCATTCCTCCTCCTCCAAACACGGCGAGTTGAGTTGATGCCAAAAAGCTCCATTTTGGTCTCATCTAACCACAACACTTTCACCCAGTTGTCCTCTGAATCATTCGGATGTTCATTGGCAAACTTCAGACGGGCATGTATATGTGCTTTCTTAAGCAGGGGGACCTTGCGGGCGCTGCAGGATTTCAGTCCTTCACGGCATAGTGTGTTACCAACTGTTTTCTTGGTGACTATGGTCCCAGCTGCCTTGAGATCATTGACAAGATCCTCCCGTGTAGTTCTGGGCTGATTCCTCACCGTTCTCATGATCATTGCAACTCCACGAGGTGAGATTTTGCATGGAGCCCCAGGCCGAGGGAGATTGACAGTTCTTTTGTGTTTCTTCCATTTGCGAATAATCGCACCAACTGTTGTCACCTTCTCACCAAGCTGCTTGGCGATGGTCTTGTAGCCCATTCCAGCCTTGTGTAGGTCTACAATCTTGTCCCTGACATCCTTGGAGAGCTCTTTGGTCTTGGCCATGGTGGAGAGTTTGGAATCTGATTGATTGCTTCTGTGAACAGGTGTCTTTTATACAGGTGTAGAGGTATTACGTACCGGGGTGTAGCAAGCCGTTACGTTGGGGTGTGTCTACATCAACATCCGCATACAGCCCCGCCCCTCGGAGGGGCAGTTGGGTATATAAGGCGGTGCGCGAGAGAGCTCGAGCCAGTCGTTGGAGCAGAAGAGCCAATGAAGACTGAAGACCAGCTAGCTAGCCCTGGGACTACCCTGTCTCGCTGCTCTTATAAGAGCCGAGCAGGGCAAGCCAGGGGCGACCTCAGAGCAGCGAGGTCTGTGTCCTTGTGAGGGCCAGGCTCGTGTGGCTGAGGGTCGGACCTGAGCCGAAGCTGGGCCAGGTCAGTTAGCCTCCACTAGGATGGTCTGGTTTAGAGGGGTGTAGGAGCTAACGGGGAAACGTTAGCTGAGGGACACTGCCTCAGATAGAACCGGGTGAAGGGGCCGTCACCCCTTCCAGTGTTAGGGTGCACTACGTGCTGTATAGTAGCAACTTACGCCATTACACAGGTAAAAGCTGAGATTAGGAGCACTCCCTTTAAGAGTGTGCTCCTAATCTCAGCTCGTTACCTGTGTAGTGGGTTAGAATTAGGTGCACACACACGCAGCTTGGAGGCAACACTATTTATTAACGGTAAGTAATATAACACTGTACATGAGGTGGTGACCACCTTCCTCAACTCACTAACACTCTGGAACACGACACAGACTGGACCAGGCAGGCAACGGCATGCCTGGCCCAGGACGACGACTCGGGACTTGACGACCGATGATGTCTTCACTTTGGAGTACAGTACAACAGCCTCGCTCTGCGTTCACACCACGCTTATATCTGCTTTGGCGTGGCCGGCTCCGCCCAGGCATGGCTGGCTCTGTCCAGGCCACGCCTCCCTTCCCAGGCCACGCCTCCCTTCCCCCACCTCTGGGAAGGTCTGGATCCCTCCACCACGTGACCCCCCAGGCACCCCCTTGGCGCCCCCAGCCCTCGTACGGGCCGACACAGTAGTGACCGTTCTATGTCACTACATCACCCCCCCCTGTATAAACACACAGCCGTCCCCGGCTGTAACACAACTGTGAAACATCGAAAAGGTGTGCCTCCCAACCAGCAACATCAATAAATAACCGGCGACCGATAAGAAATACAATCACGTAATATACACAGAATCGACGAGGGTGAAAGGAAGGAAACCGCATAGAAAATGGGGAATTAACAACAAATATACATGAAAACTGGCTAACCCACTTACGCTCCAGCACAGCCTCCCCGTGAGAATCACTCATGCACCGACATGTGAGTGTGGCCATTGGAACGACGGCGTAGGCAATGAGTCTGAGAGGCATGTAGAGCAGCCAGTCTTCAACGAGTCCATGTGGCCGGGCCTGGGGAACCACAAGCGGCCCAAAGGGCACGGCCCCTCCCCCCAGGAGTCAAGAGCAGGAGTAGCTGACGCATGCTCCACTCCCTCCCCCCCCAGTCCGTAGCCGGTCGGCATAACCGGCGACTCCAAGGTGCCAGGTAGATACTGCCTCCTGTGACGAGAAACAACCCCTCCTGAGGCATCACTCAACGAACACTCGCCTCCGCTCTTCGGACATGACAGTCACCCAATAGCACCCCCCCCCCGCCTTTCCGACATGGCGTCTCCATCCTAAAACCCGCGCACGTCGGCCATATCGGGGGGGGAATTTCCATGTTACCACCCCACCGCCTTTCCGACGCGGCATCACAACCAGTAGCACGCGTCGGCCATATCGGGGGGGAATTTCCATGTTACAATCCCACCGCCTTTCCGACGCGGCATCACAACCAGTACCACGCGTCGGCCATATCGGGGGGGAATTTCCATGTTACCACCCCACCGCTTTTCCGACGCGGCATCACAACCAGTAGCACGCGTCGGCCATATCGGGGGGGAATTTCCATGTTACCACCCCACCGCCTTTCCGACGCGGCATCACAACCAGTAGCACGCGTCGGCCATATCGGGGGGGAATTTCCATGTTACCACCCCACCGCCTTTCCGACGCGGCATCACAACCAGTAGCACGCGTCGGCCATATGGGGGGGATTTTAACCCAGTCTCTCTCCAAGACTCGCATCGCAGCATATAGCTGTACCGACCGAGCTGAGACGACCCATCGTTCACTCACTGCACAACATGCACCCTAACAACCGAGGGATACAGTCCCAACGTAACGGGACAACTCCACCTGAACACTACGAATCTCCAGCCCACTTTTTCAACGCGCCTCGTAGTGTCTCACTCTCCAGGCCGTCAGGTCAAGCCATCAGACACAGCATGATGGGACCACACTCTCTGAGCCATGTGAGCGCACAGCCCACTAGGCTAGACAAGCCACGGAGTGTCTCGATCTCCGGGCTGTCAGGTCAAGCTGTCAGACACAGCATGACGGGACCACACTCTCTGAGCCATGTGAGCGCATAGCCCACTAGGCTAGACAAACCACGGAGTGTCTCGATCTCTGGGCTGTCAGGTCAAGCCGTCAGACACAGCATGACGGGACCACACTCTCTGAGCCATGTGAGCGCACAGCCCACTAGGCTAGACAAGCCACGGAGTGTCTCGATCTCCGGGCTGTCAGGTCAAGCCGTCAGACACAGCATGACGGGACCACAATGTTCGTGTTAGACACGCAACTCTCACTGGGCCATCCTGGTCAGGATCTGTGCTCCAAGATAAGTGACAGCCAGCACCACAATTCCAAATCCCTGGCAGCATGTCACCATCGCAATTTAACACCATCACAACACATACAATTTGAATTATGATCCCCCACAGAACTGATCCAATGCCGAACAGGTACGCACAATTTGTGACGATCCCAAATATTCAATGGTCACAACAATACACCTCACATCCCGTATCCGTACACATCATCTCCAAGACTCGCATTGCAGCATGCAGCTGTACCAACCGAGTGGAGAGAGCAATGCAATTTGACGGCAATTAACGGAAACGCACCCCCGATCCATGTAGAACACAAGGGGCATTCCCGCACAAAAGACATCATCTGTGCAACAACGGACAGGAACCAACCAGTGAGTTTGAAACAAACCAAAGCTGTCATTTCAAAATCCCCTTCAACATTAACCATGGGACTCAGGGCATTCGAATTTTGAGAGCAAAAAAACTAGACACAAACCCCAAGAATCGCCGAATTGATTAATACAGTATATGCAGTATACGAAGTTCGTACAGTCAATCATTTGGCGCAATGCTCCATCCAGTCCCCACATGGCAACACACACAGTCAATACTCCAGACAATCCGTACATAGTAAATAATCACAAGCAAGTACCCAACAGTCCATACACTGTTAATAATTTCAAGCAAAGCTCCATACGGTCTGTACATTGGCAACAATGACGATCAAAGTTGCTGACAGTTACGCGTGACAATCACGAGCGAAACTCCATACAGTATACACAATAACAATGGCGATTTCGCAACAAAACGACGTAACAACACGAGTCATTAACACGGCAACCTACAGGATATCAACGGAGGTCGGTACACCAAACAACGAATTAATCATTAACTACACCCAGAAGATACCGATCTCGACGCCGTAATTAACAACACTGTTACAAGCAGACACCCGCATGGAAGCCGCATCAATTTATCACGCACACAACCGGACGAACACGCTCCGCAAACCAGCGAGTTAAAAAAAAAACACCCGCGATCGCAACCCGGCGCACGTAAGATGGGTGAAGATATTATTATTTTTCTTGGGGCCGGGTGCTTGTCATGTCACGACTCGCCTGGCAAACTGTGAATAGCGGAGGGCGGCAAGGTGGAGCACTGGGACGGCCCGAAGAATCTTTCATGGTGAACACGGCCTGCTCTTGCGAACCCATCCACCTCTCGCGCTAGAGCAGAAGGCTGGAACTCCCCCTCTGCAGGCGTTGATGTCGGCGGGAGCGGCATTTCGGCAGCAGGAGCGGCGTTTTGGCGGGAACCGCGCCCCAACCAGCCCTCGAGTTGGCGGGAGCGGCGTTTTGGCGGGAACCACGCCCCGACCAGCCGCCGAGTTGGCGGGAGTGGCGTTTTGGCGGGAACCGCGCCCCGACCAGCCCTCGAGGTGGCGGGAGCGGTGTTTTGGCGGGAACCGCGCCCCGACCAGCCGCCGAGTTGGCGGGAGCGGCGTTTTGGCGGGAACCGCGCCCCGACCAGCCGCCGAGTTGGCGGGAGCGGCGTTTTGGCGGGAACCGCGCCCCGACCAGCCGCCGAGTTGGCGGGAACAGCGCCACGATCAGCCACCGAGTTGGCGGCCCCACCGCGTGGCCCGCATGCCCGGGCCTCCCCCGCCAGCCCCCGCAGAGACGACGGTGTCCTCTCCCCGCGGCTCCATCGCTCCGTTCCCGATGGCCGCGAAGCAGCGGTGCGATGCCAGTCCCGCCGCTCCGCGTGCAGCGCCATCTCTCTCTCTCTCTGTCACCGGGGCTGCCATCCCCGGGGCTGTCCGAAGGATGGTCGTCACACCATCCCCGTCGTACGAAGGCGTCCAGATGAGTGTTGTATTTGTTTTTCATGTGCCCATTTTACTTCCCTAGGATAACACCTAGCAATATTTATATTTCCACAACTTCTGACGCCAAATGTAGTGGATTCGAATTAGGTGCACAAACACGCAGCTTGGAGGCAACACTATTTATTAACGGTAAGTAATATAACACTGTACATGAGGTGGTGACCACCTTCCTCAACTCACTAACACTCTGGAACACGACACAGACTGGACCAGGCAGGCAACGGCATGCCTGGCCCAGGACGACGACTCGGGACTTGACGACCGATGATGTCTTCACTTTGGAGTACAGTACAACAGCCTCGCTCTGCGTTCACACCACGCTTATATCTGCTTTGGCGTGGCCGGCTCTGCCCAGGCGTGGCTGGCTCTGTCTAGGCCACGCCTCCCTTCCCAGGCCACGCCTCCCTTCCTTCACCTCTGGGAAGGTCCGGATCCCTCCACCACGTGACCCCCCAGGCACCCCCTTGGCGCCCCCAGCCCTCGTACGGGCCGACACAGTAGTGACCGTTCTATGTCACTACACCTGTATAAAAGACACCTGGGAGCCAGAAATCTTTCTGATTGAGAGGGGGTCAAATAATTATTTCCCTCATTAAAATGCAAATCAATTTATAACATTTTTGACATACGTTTTTATGGATGTTGTTGTTATTCTGTCTCTCACTGTTCAAATAAACCTACCATTAAAATTATAGACTGATCATTTCTTTGTCAGTGGACAAACGTACAAAATCAGCAGAGGATCAAATACTTTTTTCCCTCACTGTAGTCCTGCAATGTGTGCACATTTGCTCATGTGAGCTGTTGGAGTCTTGCCTGCTTTCATAAACGTGTTGTTGAATAATATGCAATTATAGCAGGTAATAAATCACAGTCATTTGTCAATTAAATGGTGGACATGAAGGCTTCTTTGGATCAAAATTGGCCACGCTTTGTCAGTGCAGGTTGGTAGGGGTGGTGGGCAGGCTCGGTTCACATGTAACTCGCCACTGATGTAATCCGTTGACTGGGAATGGAGCTCAGGTAGAGAGGTTCGTAGTGTGGCACACGGAAACGCTGAATCGCCGCTGCGCGGCTGAAGCTTGCATGCTCAGTGGCCCGAGTTCAGACTTTCATCGTCATGAAAAAGTTTCAAAAAGGGCCTGAATCTAACTTGGGCATCATCTATTATTACGCAACGAATATGTAAGCGCACTCTATGGTGTCACACCAGGAGTGTGACACCATAGACTGCTGTTGTATTCTACAGCCATTGTTGCTTTCGCTAAACTTTTATCATGGATTCATCTTCTTGGTTCTTTCGGTAAAGTCACGTAGAAGGGAAGTAATAAAATAATAAAAAATAATAAAATAATATAATATTATAAAATAATATAATATAATAAAATAATTTTATTATTTTATTGTTACTTCCCTTCTACGTGACTTTACCAAAAGAACCAAGAAGATGAATCCCTGCAGTCACGAAAGCTTTAAATCGAAATTTTATCATGGACTTATATGAATATAAACATATGAATAGAACATGAACACAGGCCATTCTATTCAACTAAACTATAAACTATTTTATTTTACCAGGTAAAGCCTACTGAGCTCTCTAGCCCTCTTTTAGAAGCGGCCTGGCCACTAGTGATAGCTCAACAATGTAGCTTATCAGGTGTAAATTGATCACAGCCACATATTCGAGTAGACGCAGAGAAAAATCCACACAACCACTGGTACAGAGACGCGCAAACTCCAAATATACAGATGTCAGGGTCAGGATCGAACCTACGGCCTCCTGTATACCAGGCGAGGTGGTTAACATCTCGCCGGCTCATTATTTGTTGATGTTTCCTTGTGCACGCGTGGCATGTGATGTCATTGCAAGGGCTGGGAGGCCTGCGTCATTTACAAAGGGGGTTTTCACCGAGTCTTGGGGCGACCCTTTGGTAAATGTGCCCGGGCGTCTATCGACTAAGTCCCTCATAGCAACACGACTTTATAATGAAGTTTTGTTCATATTGGATCTTCTTTACTAACGTTAGCGTTATCGTGACCCCCGCATTACATCTTGTTTAGAACGTTGTTGATGCTGACCAATGATATGTTGTCCTTCTATGCAAGCTAACAATTCTGCAATGATGATTTCCCTGTGTGACAGAAGGAGGAGGTGGAGGAGATGAGTGTGAGGGTGATGCTGATTGTGTGGCTGGCGCTGTGGCTGCAGGAGCGTGTGGTGGTGGTGTGGCTGAAGGAGCAGGTGGTGGTAGTGGTGGTTGCGGTGTGGTTGCAGAGGTGCGTGGTGGTGGTGTGGCTGGAGGAGCGGGTGGTGGTGGCGGCAATGTTGCTGGAGAAGCGATTAGTGGTGGTATTTGTGGTGTGGCTGATGGAGCGGATGGTGGCGGTGTGGCTGGAGTAGTGAGTGAGCCGCTGGTGCAGCAGGAGGAGAGGATGGTGGGTGCCGTGGCTCTGGGCGTGTGGCTCGCGTACTGGCGCGCCGTCGGCTCCTGCCTCTCCGTTGCCGTCATCCTTGCCCTCTTTCTCATGCAGGGTGAGTCTTGTGCTTGCTGGGTGTTGATGACGATGTGCAATGTTGATATGTGAGGTTGTTACCACGCCAGGGCCCCTTGCACACTGCGAAAACCTAATGCTCACCACGTACTAGGTCTGTAAAAGTAATTAATCTCACGCTTCTCAGTGAGCCACCATTTATTGCAGTGGCATTAGAAGATGGATATTAAATTTTTTAACAGTGTAGCATTTAACTTTTTAAATATATAACAGGACGTCCACCTCTGCTTTAAGGCCTACGGTGCTACTAAGAGCCCAAGGTTTAGGGCTGCTCTTCGCGCTTTCAGGGTCTCATGAAGCGATGGCCCCTGAGTTGTGCGCTTGGCTGAAATGAACAGCGACTCCTACGTCTATGTCCAAGTCAGGAAATTCCTACGTACGACGTGTGGCAGAGACGTGCAACTGAATTTTCGAATAGCAGCACCATTATAAGTTGACGTCTTTAGCCGTGCAGCTGTGCTGGCTGTGAGCTCAAGAGTTTCTGCCATTCAGCAGTGTTGGCAAGCAGCGATCGACCACGTAGCGCATCGGTCTGATGAGATAAGGCATAACAAAATAAAGGTGGCCTGGTTGGATGTGCTGTTCTGGAATAGGATGATAAATGCTCTGTAAGTGTCGGTAGTTGAGATATATGGTGATGATAAAATGTATCCTCATAGAGGTTATTTTCCTGTTTCTGCAGCAACTCGTAATGTTACAGACTGGTGGCTGTCTTACTGGATCGCACATGTACAGGAACATAAAAATGCAAGTTTCCACGATAATTTCGAGAGGTACGAATATTACACGTAGCGTTCGATGCCATGTGGTTTTGCTGAACGCCGTGTGCACTCAGTTTTCTTTCCAGCGAGAGGCGCTGAAATCGGTCGACCCCTTGCAGACACGGTGGGGGGGTGTCACAGTGGCTAGGAGATGTTAACTACCTCGCGTGGTATACAGGAGGTCGTGGGTTAGATCCCAACTCTGACGCCTGTATTTTCGGAGTTTACGGTGTCTCTTTCCCCGTCGTTGCGTGGATTTTTCTTCGGATCCTCCGATTTTTCCCTCCACGTTTAGAATCATGGGTTTAGAGTATTTGGCTGCTATAAATGTAAGCATGATAAGCCTCTTCATTGGGCTATTAATTGTGGCCAGTTTGCTTTCTAAAAAACAGCTATATAGCTCAGTGAGCCTTACCTGTTAAAAAAAAAAATTTTTAGTTTATAGCCGTTCTACATCTCCCTCACACAGTTCTTCTCCCGCAAGGTTGTGAGTTCCTGAGGCCATTGCCCAAAAATTGGTGACTTTGTCATGACCCCGTAACCGCGTTCGCATACGTGGGAGCTAAAAAATCCGGTTTAGCACAACCGTTTACCAAAAAACTCACCACTTGTGACATTATTCTGATGGATAAGCCACATTTGCTGGCATAGAGGTGTAGCGGCATCATTGAAGGTTGTGTGTAACTGCCGCTACTTATGGCCTGTAATCTCAATTTCGGAGCTTTCGTGACTGCAGGAATTATTCTTTGGTTCTTTCGGTAAAGTCACGTATAAAGATAAAATAATAAATTAAATAATTATGGCCTGTAGTTACGGCCTTGAGCCAACAGGGGGGAGAAAGGAAGCCGATGGAGATGAGTGAGGCCGCTAGGCCAAGGTAAACCCCAGTGTAGCTCGGGACCAGGGGTATAGACCCCAGACCCCCAAGAGGGGGGCTGGGGAATAACGTCACGCTCCAGGCCCCTCCAGACGGTTCCAGAAGGGGGGAGTGGCTAGGGGCGGAGTGAGCTAGAAAACGGTATAAAAGCCGGTCCCCTGAACGGGACCGGCGGTCGTCGTTTACCTGAAGACCGAAGAGCCACCCCAGAGACCTGGAGCTGCCACCTGGGAGACCCGAAGTGAAGAGCCCAAAGGGCAGAACCCGAACCCCTGGCTAGGGTCGGGACAAAAGCTTAACCAGGGCAGGGTTAGAGCTTAACCAGGGCAGGGTTAGAGCGTAACCAGTGTGAGGGCAGAATAGTCTGGATGAAATACCTCCTTAGTGTATCGGGTGGAAGGGGCCCCTTTGTGTAAATGTAAATGTTACATAAACGTTGTGCCTCCAGAAGAGAGAAGTCTCCTCAACTTTTGTACCCACTACAAAACAGTACAACTCTCTCAATTTTACAAACTACGCATAAATTACTGAATTGCAAAGAGTCACATCGCAGCAATTCCCACGAGTGGCGGATTAACGCCCGCTTGCAAGGTCAGTGCTGCGTTTACCTTGTGCCACACAGGGACTGCTGCCATGGGGGGGGGGGGGTTCCCTTGGCTAGACTGCAGAAGGGCATTGGAGCAACTGAGATGGAGGGGGAGATGTAAGGAGCTCTGAGTTGCTTGGGTGTTTAAGCGAGCGCCACTTTTGTCAAGGAGCATAAACCGTCGAGCGAACTGCGGTCGTCTTTGTTCAATGGCTAGCCATCGAACAAAGATGGTCACTGTATCGCACGTGTTCAGATGCGCTTCTGTGGCCATCCTTCCGATATTAGGAAGCCACTGGAGCTATGTACTTATAAAGTAGAGCCGACATGAGGTTGGAGGTTGCGGGGGGGGGGGGGTGTTTGTCGTTTATTTTCCCCCAGTCCACACTTGCCCACAGCCCTCTCACAATCTGTTCCCCGACATAATTCCCCGAGCTCGCCTGATGCCCCCCTCCTCCTATATCTCCTCACCTGCTCCTCCCCTCTTCCCCTGTTCCTGCTCCACTGCCACCCTCCTTTTGGCGGGAATCCTCTCCATGCCGCTTAACCCACTGTCCATCTCCATTCCTACCCCTGACATCCCTTACATTAACCCCCCCCCCCCCCCGGGGGATACAAAAAATGTCCTCGGTTCTGCCTAGCCCTCAGTACCCCTACAATAACAACATCAACAACATCAATTGAATGGTCTGCCCAGGTCTCCAGCCAGTGCCCTGTAACAGTCCGGACATTCACAGGCTATAGATGACCACGGCGGCTCCCTCCGTCGGAGCCCCTCTTGTCGCGGTCCTCGGTTCGGTGGTGCCGGCGTTGCCTCGCCCTGTGCGTGCTGCCATCTCTCCAGCCCCTGCGACCACCGGTCTTGCTGCCTCTCTGTCAAGCCTCACATGGGGTGCTGTAGGCTACAAGGGAACACAGGGCACCGAACCCCCCTCAGGTCGGCGAGTAGAGGCGGGCGACCTTGGCTCGGGCGGCGGTGATGATGATGGCGGTGACGATGGCGTTGCCTCAGCAGAGGATGATGGAGGTGATGGAGGTGATGGAGGTGAAGAGAGATATATGGCTTAAGGCAGGTGGGGTGCACAAACCATCGGCGCTTACCCAGTTGGACCTGGACGCACTGAAGTAGGAGTGCTTTGACGACCTCGACCGGCCCTTTCCAGGGTCGGTGCAGTTTCGGTGAGGACAGTGTAGCCATGCCCGGTCCCCGACTTTAAAGGGCTTGGCTATCACCGTCCTCTCCTGTATCTGTACACTGCTCTTTGGACTATCGGCTGATGCGGCCTCGGCCACTTGGTGTGCCTTCCTCAAATAAATTAGGGAGATCTTTAGTGCCTTTGGCCATGCGTTTACCCTCACGGGGATGTCCGTCAGCTGCACCTCAATATGCTGGATGGGGTCTCGTCTGTACATAAGGAAAAACGACGAGAACCCCATCACCGTGTGTGGGGCCACCCTGTATGCCGCTAAGACCGACGGGATGTGGAGGTCCTAATCGGAGTGGTTCTGGTCCACCACTTGGGACAGCATGGCCGCTATGGTGCGGTTAAGTCATTCCACCATGCAATTGGGCTGGGGATGATACAGAGATGTTCGGACCTTCTTAGTGCCCCAGATAGAGCAGACGTCCTTTAGCAGCTGTGACGAGAAATTCCTCCCTTGATCCGTGAGCAACCGCTCCGGCGCCCCTTTATCAAGAACATAGCCCCCAACGAAGGCACCAACGATGGTCTGTGCATTTGGTCCAGGAGGGTGCTCGGCTTACCTGGGGTGGTGACATCCGCTACGCGCATTCGACGCAGGTTGCGACCCATCGGTGCACGTCAGCAGTCATACCTGGCCAGAAGTACTGACCCTGTAATGTGGACAGTGTCTTCTGCTCGGCCAGGTGTAGCAGCTGGCGGCAGTGCACATCCATGACCAATTGTTGACGCAGCGACTCCGGAACCACCAGGCATTTCTGGCGTCCCGCCGGGTTCAATCACATGAGGAGGTCCTCCCATACAACATACTCCACCCCCCCTTCCTCCACTGAGGTGCGTAGGGCCCGTAGGGGGGCCTCCTCCTGCTGCAGACATCTGCAGTCGTCCAAGGTTAGCCCCAGGTTGTGGTCGGTCAGCTGGACCTCACCCTATGCGCCATCTGCCGTGTATACGGGAGCGATAACCATTCCCTCCGGCATCGCCTCCTTGCAGCGTGCCACGCCTGTAGCGCATATACAAGTGTAGGGGTGTTACGGAGGGGGTGTTATACAGTTGTGTCGGACGGTAAACAAACACACTGGGCGTGGCTATGTCTGTGCGCGGGGAGGTGCTCACAGCGACGTCCGCACCGTTCAGCCTGGGGGGCTGACACGGAGCTGGGATCCCCCGCGGCCCCACCCCTCAACGGGGGAGGGATATATAAAGGGGTGAGCCGGAGGGCTCGGGGCAGTATGTATTAAGCTTAAACCAGTGAAGAAGGAAGATCTACTAGATAGAGCCCTGGGACTCCCCTGGATCGCTTCCCTTCTGAGGGCCGACCAGGACTGAGCCAGTGGCGTGGCCCCGAGAGCCAGAGCCGATGCTCTTGTCAGAGCCGGTCTGGGGACTCCGGGCGCCGTAATCCCAGCTTAACCAGGGCTGGGTTAGCTAGCCTCCCCTAGCCCGATAGTGGAGGACCTAGAGGTAGGCTAGGTGTAGCCTAGAGCGTGACTTCCCAGTTAGATGGGTGAAGGGGCCGACACCCCTTCCAGTGCTGTACGTCCCGGTCTGTGTTGTACCTTGTACTGAATAAATAAGTGTGCCTCCAACCCCGGCGTCCAAGTCCTCCTGAACATTACTACATCTGGCGTCAGAAGTGGTCTTCTACGAAGATGGACACGAGACGGACGGCTCGTACCAGGGAACCGGGGGCGGAGGAAACCACGGCCGACTTTGAGCCCAAGATGGCTGAAGGCGACACCGAGCAGCCAAGGCCAAGTCCATCCACACCGCAATGTCTGGACGGATGGGGGCCGTCGGCTGACGGACTGCGGCAGGCTCATTCGCGACTGGCGGAACTACCTTACGCTGCAGCCGCCACACTAGAAGAAATTACGCAACTGGGGGCTGGTGGAGCTGCACGGAGCAATGACAGCCGACATGCAGCGCCGGTTCCCGCCATTTCCACGGGGCCTGATTTCGAATTTTCCGCCATGGCTACAGTGAGTGCTGAGGGCGTGGCTGGGCTAAGTCACGTGTCCGACGTCGGGCATACAGAAGCCGCCACGTCGTCAGGAGCGGCCAGCGCGTCACCAACAGAGCGACCGCCGATGCCACACGCCCTTCCCGCCAAAACCGTGTGGAGTGACGGGAGCGACGGAGGGCGACCCTCGACTGCGGACGCCGCGTTAGACCAGCGCTTACCACCTCTCAAGGAGTTCGTGGGCGAAGACGGTGACTGGGGCGGCTTCCAGAGACGTTTTCTCGCTCACCAAGAGATGGCACAATGGACGGATGCCGAAGCACTCCGCGCGCTGCCGGCGATGCTCGACAGTGATGCCCTCGCTACCCTCACCTCGGTGCCGAG